AAAAATCCTGTCTCTTAAATTAGCAAAACTGTTTTTCAAGTATGAGGGTGTGGTGAAACTAGTGGTAATCTATTGTTGGTAGCATTGTAAATTGGTACAATTTGCCCAGAAAATGATTTAGCAGCAAGTAACAAGATCTGTAAAAATCTTCACACCCTGTAGAAATAATGTAAATTGTAGAAACATTTTTTTTTTTTTTCTGGGAGGTAAAAACAAGGTGTTCAGAAGAGCACTATTTTTTTTTTCCCTTTGATTTTAGAGAGAGAGGAAAGGAGAGGGAGAGATAGAAACATCCATGAGAGAGAACCCTGATTGGCCGCCTCTTGCATGCACTGGGGATTTGGCTTACAACTTGGGCATGTGCCCTGACCGGGAATCGAACCTGCGACCTCTTAGTGCATGGGTCAACGCTCAACCATCGAGCCACACTGGCTGGGTGAGCACTATTTTTTTTCCTTTATTGATTTTAGAGAGGGAGGGAGAGAGAGATAGAAACATCGATGAGAGAAAACATCGATTGGCTGCCTCCTGCATGCCCTCCACCAGAGATCAGGCCGACAACCTGGGCATGTGTCCTGACCGGGAATGACCTCTTGGTGTATGGGTCAACACTCAACCACTAAGCCACACTGGCTGGACCAGAAGAGCACTCACTATTAATGTAGTAGGGCACCCTGCATTCAGACAGAAGGTCCAAGTTTGGCTAATTATAGAAGCATGGGCCTATAATTTTCTGGACATTTATTTGTACTACATAAGGGGAGGGTTTCTTTTTAGCTGAAGGAAAAATGTGAAAGTGTAACTGAGAAAGAATGGAAGGTATTAGCCTGATGTGTGTCGAGGCTCAAGTACCTGTATTGCCCCCTTTTTTTATTTCTTAGTAAATCAACTTTATGAGATTTAAATGGAAAAGGTGAGTCTTTGGAAAAGTGTTCTGTTTCCCTATTTGCTTTTTTCTAGTGAAATATCTTACAAATAAGAAAAATATAAATACAAATTATTTTAAAGAATTTTTTTAAAAAACTGTGTACACAGAAAACTGTGTATTCAGCTTAATAGAAACGTAGCATTCTTCTTCATTTCAGTTAACTTCTACCCTGACTTTGTTTCTTTTCTTTCATTTTAAGAGAGAGAGGAAGGAAAAGAAAGAGAGAGAGAGAGAGGAAGAGAGAGATTCGTTGTTCCACTTATTTATGCATTCATTGATTGATTCTTGTATGTGCCCTGACCAGGGATCAAATCTGCAACCTTGGTATATTGGGACGATGCTCTAACCAACTAAACTTCCTGGCCAGGTGGGCCTTGTTTTTAGATTTGGTTCTTTATCCTAAAAGCTATCAGTTTTAAGCATAGAGGTGAAGTGATTAGATTTAGGATTTAAAAAAATCATTCTGGTTTCTCTGAGAAGAAATTAAAGCAAAAATAAAATCTGGGGTATCGGTTAGGAGGCTGCTCCAAGGATTCAGGTAAGAGATGGTGGTCATTTGGGACCAGAGATGGCAATGGCGATGGAGAGACTGATAGGTGGTTCTGAGAGGAGTCTGAGTGGTAAAATTGACAGGGCCTGGTGATGACATGGGTTTTGAAGTGAAGGAGAGAGAAGGTGTGGAGCATGTGCAGGGAACTAATGGCCCATCACAGGGTAGAAACAAAGAAAAAATATGGAAAGTCAGTTACCTTGACTCTCACCAATGCCATTCAAGGATTCCCTGCTCATGGCTGGAGGGGGAGCGGGAGGCAACAGAGCCACAAAGCAAGTCACACAGTGCCTCTCAAGAGTTATCTTATAGGAGAGACACATCTATAGGTATACAATATGCAAAAACATGATAGAAAAAGACTCCATTCACATTCATTACAAGCTAGTGACCCGTGCCTGTTAAATACTGTTAGGAAGGCCCTGGCCGGTTTGGCTTAGTGGTTAGAGCGTCAGCCCGTGGACCAGAGAGTCCCGAGTTCAGTTCCCACTAAGGGCACGTACCTCGGTTGTGGCTTGTCCCCAGCCCCGGTGGGGGTTGTGTGGGTGGCGACCACTCGATGTGTCTCTCTCATGTCGATGTTTCTCTCTCTCCCTCCCACTCTATCTGAAGATAAATGCAAAAATCCTCGGGTGAGGATAAAAAAAAAAAAATACTGTTAGGAAGTCGGGATAGGAGGGGCTGGAGCCTAGGAGACTTGAGTTTGGAGGTACCGCGCTAACTCTGCTGGCAGCTACTAGGTTGTGAGTCAGAAGCCTCTCTTCCAAGAAGCTGGGGGAGAGCTGAGAGAGGGAGAGGGAGAGGGAGCCAGGGTGTAGACCACCTGCCTCTCTCTCTCAGATCACGTAGGTGCACATGTGGCAGAGCCTGCTCGCAACATTGGACAGTAAGGGGCCTGTGAGCACTCCAAATCGTAAAGTGCTAGAGACAGATCGTTTTCTGATTTAACAGATAGCCTGGGGCCTAGAGTGATCAACTGGCCTGGCCAAAGCTGTACCACAGCTAGAAGCTGGGTCTTCTGCCCCAATTCTGTGCTACTTCCGTGACCTACCTCCTAAATCTAGGGTCACTCACGAACAATGAGCACATATCACATCCCTAGCCGGGTTAGGGTTATGGCTGCTGGTGCTAATAGTGTCGCTTTTGTCACCCTCTATGTCCTCTCACTGGCTCCCTCCTGTGGGACACTCTTCCAGGACATTTTACATTAATCTGCAAAATTCTCAGGTCTCTTCTGAGGGATATCCTACCATACTCAGTGCTAGTCTCATACTACATCCTACCTCTGGGCCAAAACCCTTCCGCCCCACCTCCATCCCCAGAGAGATGGTATCCCTGGAGTTCATATCTGTTACCCCTAGAGTTTCTGAATCAGTAGGTCTGGACAGAATTTGGTTTTTTTTATCTTCACCAGAGGACATTTTTCCATTTTTTATTCAGATAGAGCAGGAGGAAGAAAGAGAGAAAGAGAGAGAAACATCGACGTGAAAGAATCACCAACCAGGGCCAGGGACAAACTGCAACCGAGGTACATGCCCTTAGTGGGAAGTGAACCCGGGTCTCTCCAGACCACAGGCCAATGCTCTAACCGCTGAGCCAAACCAGCCAGGGCCAGAATTTGCATTTCTATCAAGTTCCAGACGCTAATGATACTGGCTTGGGCTTACATTTTGAGAACCACTGCACTGGATTAACCAGATTTTTTTTTCCCTCGTCAATCATCTAATTTCCCTGTCAAAGTGCTTAAGTTACCAGCAAGTTCTGTCTCACATGAATTAAAGCCAGCAGGTGGCAATCCATAGAATGGAAGGGAACAAACTAGTGTTCCAAGGCTGATATAAAAATTTAGTCTGTTTTAACACCTTGAGGCACCCACTTTTCTCTTTAGAGTATTAAACACCCAATGCCCTCCTTAACCCCTTAACCACCTTGCCTCTTCCCTTACCTGTCCACTCTTACTCCTCGAGGACCATGACCCCCAGCCTAGGATCCTGTAAAGTTCTGGGGAACTTAGGATACATGCCTCCATCATCTCCAAATTCAGAGTAATTTGAAGGATAATACGGGTCCTCCAGTCCTGTCATGTCTCAGAGACACTGACAAATCCCAGAGCTGGTCTGTTCCATGTTGCTGGCGAGGAGAGCTGTTCTGCTAACTGTGTGACCCATGAATTGTTCTGCATTTTCAGGCCTTAGGTTTTCAACAGGTGAGAAAAGAAGTCCCCCATTATGAGAGAAAATGAGACATCTAGAGAAATATTATCCAGAGTTGGTTGGGGGAAAAAAGACATTTGCAACAATATTGCAACATTAAACTTTAGAGATATCACACTTTATAGCCTAACAACAAGTGCATGAGTGCGTGTGTGTGTTAGAACCTCACAACAGCTTTGTGAGGTAGGTAAGGTAGGACCTGAGAGAAGGCAGAAGTCTGGCCAATGTAAGTGTCAGGGCCAGGACTCAAACAGCTCAACTTCTCAGTGGGGTCAGAGTTCTTTTCAACTCTGCCCTCCCTCGGTGCACGTAAATTAAATATAGGAATGTATCAGTGTATGAAATGAATGACCCTAAAAGGGCCAGAGTCGCATTAACTTAAAACTAGAAGGCAAATGACCCAGGAAATTAGAAAACAGGAGCTGCTTCCTGCAGCTGAATGACAGAAAGGGTCCCTGTGCTATGACTTAGCAGTCTCAGGAATCTTGCTGCCACAATGTTACAGACTCTTCCAGGTCCCCAGGGCTTGCTCGTCAGGGGGTATTTCTGAGCCTCAGATGGCAGCAAACCTCCAGCAGGAGTACCTGAGGCCCTGCTGTACAGAAAGCTTCTGAAATTCGTTTAGCCTGTTAGTCATAAGACCGCAAATATCCTCTACGGTAATTCTGCCTTGTCACGGCAATGAGGCATCTGGTGACTAATGCCTGCACAGCACTGGGTTGGGAGAGTGTTTTGTTTTATTAAATCTGTGTGTTCACACCCCAAATCTTCTAGTGCCAACCTAATCTCCTGCAAGTCCTCGGCTTGCAGAGCTGCCCTCACAAATTCCTTACTGCAGAACCTCAAAGGGAAGAGGGGAGAGAGGGCAGGATGAGATAAAGTAAAGAACTTCTATGCATATATGCATAACCAATGGACACCGATGATAGTGTGGGGAAGGCAGGAGGGGGGTGGGGTTGGGGAGGAGGGGGCCAATGGGGAAAAAAAGAGGGGGACCATCTGTAATACATTCAACAATAAAGTGAGTTAAAAAAAAATTCCTTACTGAGTAATAAGGCTGATATAAGCAATCCACTTTGTGTGGAGTGTCTTTTAAGGGCCGGGCCCTCTACTGAGGACTTTATATAAGATCTCAAATAGTAATCATTATAGTGATAATGTGACCATTTTCTTACTGAGCACCTGCTTTGTGCCAGGCACTGTACTAGGTGGCTTACACAAGATCTTTAGGTCACATTTATCTCACTTCTTTTAGTGACCAGGCATCAACCATTAAACTCATACTTCCCTAAGAGTCAGTCAAAGACCCTGAAGGGATACCCTTTGTGTTCAAACATTATTTGGATCCTATAGGTTTATCCTCGCCATTAAACACGGAATAAAAGAAAGAGAGGGAACAGATCAGGGCCCAACTTTGGCCACTGACACCCAGGTTCAGGTGTCCTCTGTTTGGGGTACTTGTCGACAGTAGCAACGGCAATTTGGTAGGGAGCAGCAGAACCATTCAAGATGCTTTCCTAACCCAAATGGGTGTTTTGATGGCATAGAAGATGTGCTTTCTGACGGAAGCTCTTGCCACACTTACTACAGTGAAAAGGTTTTTCTCCTGTGTGTGTTCTCTGGTGTGTCAGGAAATGGGAACGCTGATTGAAGGTTTTGCCACACTCAGGACATCGATACGGTCTGTCTCCTAAGTGGATCCGCTGATGGGTCATGAAGTGGGAGCTCTGGTTGAAGCTCTTCCCGCACTCGCCACATTGGTAGGGCCTTTCTCCCGTGTGGATCCGTTGGTGTTTCACGAGGGCAGAGCTGTCAGCGAACCCTTTCCCACAGCTGTCACACTTAAAAGGCCGCTCACCTGTGTGTGTTCTCTGGTGCGTGACCAGATGCGAGCTCTGACTGAAACTCTTGTGACAGTAAGGACAACTGAAAGGCCTTTCTCCGGAGTGAGTACTCATGTGAGCTACAAAATGAGAACTGTCTCTAAAGCCCTTCCCGCACTCGGGGCATTTAAAGGGCCGCTCTCCGGTGTGGGTTCGTTGGTGCTTAATCAAATCTGAGCTTTGGCTAAAACTCTCCCCGCAGTCATCACACCTGTACGGCTTCACTCCTGTGTGGGTCCTCTGGTGGGTGATGAAATTTGAGCTTCGACTAAAGCTTTTATGACACTCAAGGCACGTGTAGGGCTTCTCTCCTGTGTGGGTTCTTTGGTGCATTATGAGGTGTGGCTTGCGCCCAAAAGTCTTCCCACACTCTGAGCACTTATAGGGTCTCTCGCCTGTGTGGGTTCTCTGATGTTTGATGAGGGTTGAGCTGTCACTGAATTTTCTCTCGCATCCACTGCACTGGTAGGGTTTCTCTCCCGTGTGTGTTCTGCGATGGGTGACAAGGTCTGAACTCTGTTTGAAGCCTTTCCCACACTCAATGCATTTATAAGGCCTCTCGCCAGTATGGGTTCTTAGGTGTCTTGTGAGATAGGAACTCTGGTTAAAGCTTTTCCCACATTCTGCACACAGAGGCTTCTTTCCTACACATCCACCCAGGAGCGTGTTTAAATCCTTGTTCTGTGTGAAGGGCTCTTGGTGGCCCTCTCCTGGAAGGGCTCCATGTTCTTGTAATTCAAGGCCCCTCTCCCAGCTTCCTCCCCAGCTCGGAGTATGAGAAATATCATTATTGGCCCTTTTTGAGGATGTTCCATATTGTTCTGCTGAACTGTCTTGATGGAGTTTTTCCACTTGATTCTCAAAGTCTGAAAAATTAACAGAAGTGACAGAGAATACAGTTATCGAGAACAAACAACAAAAAGCAACAAGAAAGATTAAAATTAGTGTTTTTGCAACAGACTACTTCATTTGAATACTTTGAGTTTCACTTTGTAAAAAGTTTATTGAAGTTCACTGAGCTTACAGAAAACATGAATTTCTAAACCCTTTTTATTTTAAGATGACTAGATAAATCTTGAGGTGACCTTTACATCCTTTAAGAGTAAGCCACATATTGTCAAAATTGGGCAGCTCCTTTCAAAGATGTAATAGTGAAAATAAAAGTGAAACGCTTACTTAGAAAGAGATTTTATTTGGTCAATTACTGACTGCCCAAGAACTCAAATTTAAACTTCTAATAGGAAGAACAAAACTCTAGGACAGCATTCCAAATTCTCCTCCCTCCCAGGCACATCTCACCTGTGTAACTTTCACTTAGGACCTTCCTCGCCTCAATATTTTGGAGTGGAAGAACCCATGGCTCTTCTTTCTGTTCCAGCTGGGAGATTATCCTTGGTCTAGAAATCCTATGCAGGAAGTTGAACATAGGATGTTAATCTGAGCCGATCACACAAGCCTGGCCAAAATCTAAGCCCTCCTCCCTCCCTAGGCAGAAGGGAACACCCAGAGAAACTCTAATGTGTGTTTGGTCCCATTAAAAGGGCAGCCATGCCCTGGGCCTTGTGGCTCAGTTGGCTGGAGTGTTGTCCTATATACAGAAAGGTGGAGGATTCAATTCCCGGTCAGGGCACACACCTAGGTTGTGTTGTGGGTTCAATCCCCAGTTGGGGTGTGTATGGGAGGCAAATGATTGATGTTTCTTTCTCTCTTGTTCTCTTCTCCTTTCTTAAAAAAAGGGGGGGGCAGCCACAATAAAGTGATAAAAGAGGGTGATCTCCCCAAGAGACTGAGAAAAAGCCCTTTTCCTCCCATTAAAAAACAATCAGATTTTGCCCTGGCTGGTTTGGCTCAGCAGTTAGATTGGGCCTTCAGATTGAAGAGTCTTGGGTTCAATTCCGGTCAAGGGCACGTGCCTCAGTTGCAGTTCAGTCCTCGGCTCTGGTGGGCGTCTCACAGGAGGACACCAATCTACGTGTCTCTCTCGAATCAATGTTTCTCTCTCTCTCTCTCTCTCTCTCTCTCTCTCTCTTCCTTCCTCCCTCCTACTCTATCTGAAGATAAATGGAGAAAAGAAAAAACAATCAGACCTTGGTCATTGAAACTCTAGGGTAAATGCAATAACTCATCTCTGAAGGCACAAGGCTAAACTCATGTGGAGAGATAATTTTACTAGAAATAAAGCCTTCTTGACCTCACCCTTAGAGAGAATCAAGGAAGTTAACTATAATATTAGGCTTTAAAAATTTCCCAGAAGGGCAACAATAGATACAGCTATGAGAAAAAGACAAACACATAAGAAAAGAAAAAAAAAATGGACAAAGGAGATGAGTAAGTCATTTATAAAAGAAAAAAAAAAAAGTAGCCTATAAATATATGGAAAACCTTTAAGCTTACTATTAACCAAAGGAATTAAAATTAAAACAATGATACTCTTAGGCAATATGGTGTAGAGGTCAAGAGTACAAGCTCAAGAGCCATATCGTCTGATTTTGAATCCTAACCCTCCTCTTACTAACTGAATGACCTTAGGAAAGTTACTTAAACTCTCTATGTGGATGTCTTTATTTATAAAATAGGGATAATAATAAGATCTACCTTATAGAGTTATAAGAATTAAGTGGTAAGTGCTCAATAAATGTTAGCTATCACTATTAATTAACACAGACTTTTAAATTATAAAATTCACCATGATGGTAGAATATGAAGAAATGCACACTTTCATATAATGCTTGCAGAAATAAATGAATTGATTTAATCTTTTTACAGGGCACTTGACAAAAATATCAAATGCCTTAGAAATGTACCTATTTTTTGACACAGCAATTCTAATTCTGGGAATTGTAAGAAAATAAAAAACAAAACGTTGTGCAAAAGACATATTAGCTAATTATTACCTAATTATACTTCAATAAACAAGACTTAAAATTTTTTTTTCCTTTATTGATTTTAGAGAGAGAGGATGTGAGAGGGAGAGAGAGATAGAAACATCAATGAGAGAGAATATCGATTGGCCACCTTCTACATGCCCCCCACTAGGGATCAGTCCCACAACCTGGGCATGTGCCCTGACCAGGAATCAAACTGGTGACCTCTTGGTCGACGCTCAACCATTGAGCCACACCAGCCAGACTCAATAAACAAAATTTTAGAAAAAGACAATTAGCTAAGAGTGTTCATCACTACTGGTGAAAATTTGAAAATGACCTCAATGTCCCTCAACAAAGGAATAATTATATTTGTGTTATATGAAACTGCCATTTAATAAGTCAAAATGGTCAAATATGTGGTTCAATCTAATGTAAATTATACTTACACAAAAAGTACTATTTTAGCCCTGGCCGGTTTGGTTCAGCGGTTAGAGCATCGGCCCACGGATCAGAGAGCCCCGGGTTCAGTTCCCGCTAAGGGTGCATACCTCGGTTGCAGTTTGTCCCCAGCCCCAGCTGGGGTCATGTGGGTGGCAGCCAGTCGATGTGTCTCTCTCAGATCATTGTTTCTCTCTGTCTCTCCTCCCCGCCTCTCACTCTATCTGAAGATAAATGCAAAAAAAAAAAAAAAAAAAAATCCTCAGATAAGGATTAAAAACAACTATTTTATTTTAAATGATATACAGAAAGATATTCATTACTGTCGAAATCTATTCATAATATAATGTTTAAACAAGTAGGATGTACAATTAAATGTATAGTATAATCCCAATTTTTTCTTTTGTTTTTGTATTATTTTCTAATTCTATATATGCTTGTTTTGTTTTTTTTTTCAGGGAAGAGCGAGAATGCAGTACCCTACTACCACAAATTATGCAGTCAAATTTCTGACATTTGGGGAAATCGCAGAGGTCAGCACAACCGGAGTGCAAGGGAAAACCACCTTCGTGATCATGGTATCTCCCCTGCCAGGTAAGTATACGTATGCTTGTTTTTAATTATATATGGACGCATAGTAACTCTTCAGTGGTGGAATGGATGACTTTTGCTTTCATTTTGCTTGTCTTTTTATTCAATGAGTATATATTGCTTGTGTATATATACTCCCCATTTTCCACAAAGACTTGAGTTGGACTCTCACCTCTGGTACTTAACTTTGAATCTCTGTCTTGAGCTGGAAAAGGGGGAAGATGATACATATACATCAAAGTGTTATGGTGATATAGTAACAAGACAATAAATATCAAAGACATCTATAAACCACGGAGTGCCATAAACATGGAAGTCCTCCTTTTTCTGCCAGGGAGGCAATAGTTATTTTCACAGGAATCTGAAGCTCTAAGAAACCAGCATCTCTAGAGACCACTTAGACTTGGGCCCTTTTTATTTATTTTACTTTTTGTTAATCCTCACCTGAGGATATTTTTCCATTGATTTTTAGATAGAATGGAAGGGAGGGAGGGAGAGAGAGAGAAAAAAACATCAATGTGAGAGAGACACATTAACCAGCGGCCTCCCGCATGACCCAGACTGGGGCCAGGAATTGAACCTACAACCCAGGTGTGTGCCCTTAACCTGGAATTGAACCCGAAACCCTTTGGTCCACAGGCCGACGCTTTAACCACTGAACCAAACTGGCCCAGGAGACCTGGGCCCTTTTAAGATATATGTCTTAAATGTAAAGGAGAGTAGCATCCTTACCCTTTGAGAGCCCATTCTTCTAACTGTGCTGGGTGGTATCCCTGAAGAGGATTCTCTAAGCAGTGCCCACTCTTCCCTGAAGTTCCCAGCCACATCATTGAGGGTCATCAGGTCCTAAAGCAAGAGACCTCATTATGCAACAGTAACTCTCTGGATATTCTTACCATGGTCTGAAAACCAAATACAGCAACCAAGGACACTAGTATATTCAAACAAAGCCCCCTGACCAGAATAGCTCTCAGATAAATTCTGTCAACCCCAGAAGGTTTGCTTCTCTTATTCTCTTTTTACATAATCCTTCCTGTGGCCAAGTTTCCCATCACTAGAGAGGCTTGGGCCTCCCACACACATGAACATCACCCTGTCTTTAGACATACTATCTTTTCGAGGAACAAATTGTCCATGATGGACAAAATAACCAAAGGAGAGAGTGTCCAGGTATAACTCGATTTCAGGAATGCTTTAGACTCTCTCCAACTACATTTTCCTCAGCAAGCAAGCAATTGTGGATTTAATTATACTCACATTAGTTATGAGGACAGCTGACTTTTCCCGGCTTATAGATCAATCTCCAGGGCAGACTGAGCAGAACCCAAAAGGGATGTTCTCTCTCATCGATGTTTCTATCTCTCTTTCTCCCTCTCCTTTCCTCTCTCTCTCAAATCAGTAAAGAAAAAAAAGAGAAACTTAATGGGGATTACCACAAAATAGACCCTTGGGGGCTAAAAACAATCATCAATACATTAATAAAATTGACAACAGTATCAAGAAAAAAATTATTGATCATTGGTTACAATAAATTGCCCAGAAATGACTAAAATCATTTCCTAAAAATTTCATTAAAAGAATAATTTTTTAAACTACAGAAGATTATTTAATAAATGGTGTTGTGATAACCAGGTTCAATTTAAAAATCAATTCAGATATACTGAGCACAAAAAGTCAAATTCCAGATAAAACTAAAAATTTAAATATAAAATAATATAATAAAAATGAAACCTAGGTGCCGCCTGTGTGGCTCAGTAGATTGAGCATCGTCCCATGGACTGAGAAGTCCCAGCTGGATTCCTGGTTAGGGCACATGCTGGGGTTTTAGACTCGATTCCCAGTGGGTGGCATGCAGGAGGCAGCCCATAGATGTTTCTGTCTCACATTGATCTTGCTATCTCTCTCTCTCGCTTCCTCTCTAAAAAAAAATCAATAAAAACATATTTAAAAACTTTTAAAAAGCCCGGCCAGTGTGGCTCAGTGGTTGAGCATCAACCCATGCACTAAGAGGTTGCTGATTCGATTCCCAGTTAGGGCACATGTGCAGTTTGTGGGCCAAATCCCCAGTGGGGGGCATGCAGGAGGCAGCCAGTTGATGTTCTCTCTCATCAATGTTTCTATCTCTCTAAAATCAATAAAGAAAAAAATATTTAAAAAAAACCAAAAACAAACCTACAATGGAATATAAAAAAAAATTATTTTGGGAAGATGACCAGATTACTGGATGGGTCAGTAATTTATCCATTAGATAATATATTGTAATGCATTAGGAGTCACAAAGAAATATAAATAGATTCCCCCTCTTTAAAGAGCTTCCAACAAAAACAAACACAAGTCAGCCACGGAACCTGCAATCAAGAATTCTGCATTTCAGTGCAGGATGGACCAGATGGGGGTGAGGAAGTTCTCCTCTTTCACATCTTTGTCTCACCAATCAAAGTCCCTAGAGCTTTTAGAATACACACACAAATACTTTTCATGGAAACATTGACAGCCATTGCTATCGGTCACTTTTACTGAGTTTTTAAGAACCTAAAACCAAAGGAATACATTTAATCTCTCTGGCTTACAATCTTCACGAACAAAAATAATGTAATTAGGAAGTGAAAACTGTACTGAGCTTTGAGCGTGAATTTTATTTCTACGTCCATTACAAAACACAGCAGCAGGGCCCACCTGCAGGAGACAGCAGGAGAGCGGGGACTCAGTTTCCAGCCAAGGTTATACACACACTGTGTCCCACGCTGTCGCCAGCCCCTGTACAGGTGACCTCAGAGGCCCTAGGTGCCAGGTGCTGTGCCTAAGTGCCATTGTGAGAAGCACCGGTTTGTCACTGGATTTATTAATAGGAACATGACTGCCCGGGTCGGGCCGCCACCCATTCTCCCCCCTCGCCGTGCTGCAGGCCCCAATCGGGGTGCGGCGGTCAGGGTGTCACAAAAGCTAAGCTGAGACCCGGGGACCACCACTAAGGAGCAAGAGAATTGATACGAGGGTTGCTATCCCGATGACAGCACCGAAAACCGCAGCTACCTGTCCCCACTGCTCAGCAGACCCGCGGGCTCCGAAAGGCAAACGCGGGGAAGCGGCAGAGACAGTGTCGGGGCGGGAGGCGAACCCCCTTCCACGCTCTTCAGCAGCGCCCGGCTGCGGCCACCGTCGCCTTCCTCGGACCCACTCACTGCCCCGGGCCCAGCCAGGGCTGGAGCAGGAAGGAGAGTCCTTCACCGCCGAGCCGCACGCGGCCGGCCACACGGAGCCGGTCCCTACCAGAATCCGAGCGGGATTCGTAACAGGACTGTTGGAGACACAGGTGGGACTCTGAGCTCGACAGCCAGCCGCCGGAAAACACCGCCCATGTCCGCTTGCCATTGGCTCCTCAGTTCCCGGACGAGAAAGCTTCCTCATTCATAGGCTGGTCGAGCTGTCAATCACCGCGGTGCCTTCTGGGAAATGTAGTCCTGCACGGCACTCGAACGATTCGGAGTCCCTGGACACCCAAGTCCGAACGGTGACAAGTGCTAAACACAATTCCCCAGCCACCCGATTGTGGTAACCGCCTCTCTGGAGCTGAGAAGGGGACCAAAGACTGTCCTCCCAGAGACAGATCTGCACATGCGAACCTCCGGGCTTCACCCGACAACTGTAGGGCAGCCGGGTACCAACTGCGGTGTATCCCGCGCTCTGGTACCCAACCCCTTCCTGAGTGCGGAGAGAGCAGCTCGCCGCTCGCACTGTGCTGCGCATCGTCCTCTGGCGGCTCCTCCCCACCCGCCCCGCAGCGGCCGGGCTATGAATAACGTCTGACGTCTCCGGGTTCCTGGCCAATTCAGACTGCGCATAAGAAACCCCAAACAGAAGCCGTTAGTGGCAGACAGGTGTTCTGCTTCTTGCCATTAATGTTACAGTTTCCAGGCTATCTCCCTTCCATTGGGTAATACACCTGTTTGTAGCCAGAGGAGGCAGGCGAAGGAGTCAAGTATTCTAGGAACCTTGTTCTTGCTGGGGCCCTGGAGTTCTTGTTCTTCAACCCTCTGACCTACCCAGTGTGTCCTTCCCTGCTACGCTCAGGCTGGTAGAAGTGGTCCTCACATTACCTAGCCAGAGGGGTCTGTCCAGCCAGCGCAGCTCCCACCCCAGCTCCATCCGCCTTTCTCTTTCCTCCGCATTGACCATTTGGTTTCTGCCACCTGACTGACTGACCTGGGGAGTGGAGAGGAGATGGGAAAGACCAAGGAGGGACACCTGGGCCTCAGTGCCCTGGGCTGACCGCCTGGAGGAGAATCTTCCCTCCCCTGTTCTTCCTAGAAGCCTGCCCAGTTCCTTTATATATGCATAGAAACTTTCACATCCCTAGGGAAATTATTTAATTTCACAAATGTTTTGAATCAATTGAGAACTTATTACTAAAAATGAATGAAAATACAGTTTGTCCTCCAGGAACTCCTGAACAGCTCACTGGCTGCTTCTTAAGGTTTAAGGCCTTGAGAAGAAGCTAAGGTGGGAAACAAACAAAACAGACTACAGTGTATGGACGCCACCTTGTTTTACTGGAAATTTAGAAATGGAAATGTTTATTTGTTTTCTAAGCACAAGAAATAATTCTAGCTTTTCTTACTTTTTTTTTTTTTTTTAAAAAAAGAAAGAGTTTAGCCCTGGCCAGTTTGGCCCAGTGGTTGGAGCGTCAGCCTTCAGAGGCAACCAATCCATGTGTCTCTCTCACATAGATGTTTCTCTCTCTCTCTCTCTCTTCCTCCCTGCCTTCTATCCTATCTAGAAATCAATGGAAAAATATCCTTGTGTGATGACTAAATAAATAAATAAAAGAAAGGGCTTATTAGACCATTGCTAGCAAAAAGAAAAAGGAGGAGGAGGAGGAGGAGGAGGAGGAGGAGACTGATACTGGAGTATAGAGTCAAAACCCACCAGTAGCATGGCTAGGTAGGAAAGACATGTCCCGAATCTAGTTTTTCTTGATAATTCATAATTATGAACTGTCAATCTTATCCTAACCCTTTTAGATAAATTCAGTAATCTTGAAAATAAACTGTTTATAGAATTAATCCAGACCATGACCTATTAACCCATGCCTTGAATATGGGCAATGTTTAAAGGTAATGTTTTAAAGGGCACATAATCATAACTCTTGTGCAGATATAAAAAGAACATATGTCGCCCTGGCCGGTTTGGCTCAGCGGTTAGAGCGTTGGCCTGCGGTCTGGAGAGACCCGGGTTCGGTTCCCGCTAAGGGCATGTACCTTGGTTGCAGTTTGTCCCCGGCCCTGGTTGGTCGTGCGGGTGGCAGCCACTCGATGTGTCCCTTCACGTCGATGTTTCTCACTCTCTCTCCCTTCCTCTCTCTCCCTCCCATTCTATCTGTACCAAAAATGGAAAAAATATCCTCGGGTGAGGATAAAAAAAAAAAAAGAACATATGTCAAAGATTTTATTTAACTCATTAATTAATGAGGGAACCAGTAAGATGTTACTTATTAGGTCACAGGAGCATTCAAAGAAGTACACACACATCCGCAGAGCAGATAAGAAATGCTAAAATTGCCCTGGCCGGTTTGGCTCAGCGGTTGGAACATCAGTCTGCGGACCAGAGAGTCCCGGGTTTGGTTCCCACTAGGGGCACGTACCAAAAAAAAAAAAGAAATGCTAAAATGAATTTGTAGAGGCAAGTGTGTCTATCTAACCCCAGGGCAATAATCAATTGCATTCCACCAGACACACTAATTTACATTTCTATGGACAAGAATAATTTGAATTAATATTGGTTTTATACAATTTACAGAGTTGTAAAAGAAATTACAGGCAAGAAAAGATAACATGAAATGGTACTCTAGATAAGAACAACCCCCCCTTCCTGGTTTTTTTTTTTTTTTTTTGTGGTCCATTTCAAAGTATTTCACTTTTTCCTAAAAATGAGCACTGGGGGAGAAGACCAAGAAATTTGAATATATACAAATTAAAAACAGCCCTGGTCAGTGTTGTTCATTGGTTAGAGCATCAACTCTTGGACCAAAGGGTCACAGGCTCGATTCCCAGTCAAGGATATGTAGCTGGGTTGCAGGTTTGATCCCTAGTACCAGTAGGGGCCCATGCAAGAGGCAACCGATTGATGTGTCTCTCTTACATGGATGGTTTTCTCTCTCTCTCTCTCTCTCTCTCTCTCTCTTTCTCTCTCTCTCTCTCTTTCTCTCTCTCTCTCTCTTCCTCTCCTCCCTCCTGCTATCTCTAGAAAGATCAGTGGAGGAAATATCCTCTATCCTTGGGTGAGGATATAAAAAGAAAATTAAAAACATGTGTATGGCCCTGGCCAGTTTGGCTCAGCGGTTAGAGCGTCAGCCTGTGGTCCAGAGAGACCCGGGTTCGGTTCCCACTAAGGGCGTGTACTTCGGTTGCAGTTTGCTCCCGGCCCTGGTTGGGTTGTGCGGGTGGCAGCCACTCGATGTGTTCCTTTCACGTCGATGTTTCTCTCTCTCTTCCTCTCCCTCCATCCCACTCTATCTGAACAAAAAATGGATGAGGATTAAAACAAAAAAACAAAACAAAACAAAAAACATGTGCATGATGGTGTATGTATTTGTTAAAACTCTGATATATGCACTTAAGATCTATGAATTTCATTGCATGTAATTTTACTTCAATTTAAATAATCTTTAAAAATTATAAATTGAAAACCTTGTAGACATTTAAAATGTTAATAAAATTTCAAAATAAGCATTAAACTGTCTTGGCCAGTGTCTTTCAGTGGTTAGAGTGTTGGCCCTCACACTAAAGGGTCACAGGTTCAATTCTTGGTCAAGGGCAGGTACCTAGGTTGCAGGTTTGATCCCTGGCCCTGATAGGGGTACATGCAGGAGGCAACCAATTGATGTTTCTCTCTCTCTCTCTCTCTCTCTCCTCCTCCCCTCCTCCCTTCCACTCTCTCTAAAAAAATCAATGGAAAAATATGCTTGGGTGAGGATTAACAAAAAGAAAAAAGAAACAGAAACGACTCCCCATGGCAGCTGCACAGGAGCCCGGCGAGCCCAGGAAAGGGAATTCTAGATGTCGAGAACATTCCCTGTGCATGGGACTTGGTATTATATTGTTCATTAGGCTCTGTTGTGGCTGGTCTTGGACATTTTTTGTTAACTAGTAGAATTAGAAGATCATGTGATGTTGCAGTGGGAGGATTTATCATGGTGACTTTCGGGTACTGGTTCCATTGTAGGTATAATTATGCAAAGCTAAGAATCCAGGGAAGAATAGCCATAGAAGGAATTAAAAATAAGATGTTATATGAAAGTACCCACCTTGATCCTGAAAGAAAACAAACCAAGAGCAGCAACTAAACAGAATCAAACATAGAAACCCTAATACAACTCACACAGACATCAACGTGAACCAAGTTGTGATCAACTATGTAAAACATTGTATGTACCACAAGAAGGCTTCCAATCAAGTAAATAAAGTATGTGTAAGTTGTAAAAAAGAAAAAAAAAGAAAAAAGGAACAAAATGATATCAGAAGGGTAGACCCAAATTTTCATGAGAGGCCAGATGCTTCAGTGCCTGATAGTGATGGTGAAAAAAATACAGATGAAAGTTCAGATAGCAAATCTTCTTTTAGTGACTAAGCTTAATTTTTATAACAATTACATATATACATATGTAGGTATGAGTTTGCATTCTATCAGAAAGAGAGCCTGAACTTGAAGTCTTTGTCAATAAAAACATCAAATGGCCAAATATCCATCACCAATCTTCTTCTGTGTTAAAAATAATGATGACGACGATGATAATGATGATGATAAAGCATTTGAAACCTGGCAAAAAAAATTTTTTTCAATTATCCAATAATGAGAGATTTTAAAAAAGTATTTTAATTACTTTTCATAAGGACCCAATAAGTTAAGCTTCTGTATCTTGCTTGCTGCTGGTCGTGATATAGCAGGCAGTTAGACATGAGCAGAGTTGGAACCACAGGCCAGGTACCAAGGCTGGTGCTGTGGTAGTGGAATTTGAAGGACTGCCCTACAGGGTGACATTGATTTGAATGTGCATAGAGTGACATCTTGTGGCACCTAAGAGCAATTGCAGATACAGTTACAGTCGAGTTGAAGACAATGCTTTGGGGTTTTCCCCATAGGTGTGAGTGTTCACAGAGCTGCTTTGTGTGTTACATGTATTGTTTTAATTGTCATTTAAATTTCACTTCATGAAGATTTAATTTTCATTTCATGAATGTTTGAGAAATGTTTTATGTCTAGATGATTTTAATCTCATTTTCTATGGCTGATTGTTCATATCTTCTTCCCATTTTTTTTTTCCTTTTTATTGAATTACTGGGTTGTTCTTCCCATTTTTGAAATTGAATTTACTCATAAGAGCTCTTTGTCACTGAAACGGCTATTTATGCAGTTTTATTATTATTATTATTAATATTTTTTTGTATGTGCCCTAGCGGGAACTGAACCTGGGACTTTCTCGTCCGCAGGACGATGCTCCAACTGCTGAGCCAAACCGGCCAGGGCTTCAAGCTTTTGCTAAAGGTTACATCATATATTTTTTCTCTTTCCAATGGTCAACTAACTGTTCTAGTGATAATTTTCTTCCTATGAACTAAGCAACCTAGGGACTCTGTGTGTGTGTGTGCGCGCGCTTGCTTGCTTGCTTGCTTGTATTTAAACTTCCTTCCAGTCTTTAAAAGAATGTTTTTCCTTTATTAATTTTTAGAGAGAGAGGAAGAAAGAGTGAAAGAGAGTAGAAACATCGATGATAGAGAACATCAATTGCCTGCCTCCTGCATGCCCCCCACTGGGGATCGGGCCCACATCCTGGGCATGTGCCCTGACCAGGAATTGAACGTGCGACTTCTTGGTGCATGGGTCGATGTTCAACCACTGAGCCACATCGGCTGGGCTTTTTTTTTTTTAATGAATTTTTAGAGAGAGAGGAAGGGAGAGGGAGAGAGAGTTTCCTTCCAATCTTTATAATTAGTTTTTGTTTGTGATAGACATTGAAATTTCTGAAGCTAAATCCCCTCGAAAACACACCCTTTCTCAAACCACCCCTGTGCCACTAGTGCCTCTGGGTCCTGGCAGCACCACCTCACATTGGGGTTGCCTCCTGGTCACTCCGTCCAGCCCAGAGCACCCTTGTGTCTTCCCAGAAATATCCCTGAATAGAGCCGTTCAGAACAGGGCATGGGAACCGGCCGGAGGCTGTGAATCCATTCTTCTCCTTGGCACAAAAAGGCTAAAGAAGCCCAGGCCAGCCCAGGACATCTGAGAAAGAAAAAAGCCAGCATCTCTCGAGGAGCAACACAAAGTCCAAAGGACTTCCCTCTGTCACACTAAATAAATACAAACCACTCATAAGAAAGAAAGAAAAAAAGAAAGAAACAGGAAAAGATACAGCCTTGGGGGATTAAAAAAAATTCTATTCTAAAAAAAAAAAAGTCCTGCTTTATTTTTTTATTTTTTTTAAATTCAGGGTAGAGTGCAAGTACAGTCCCGCACTACCACAAATTAAGCTGTCGAGTTTCCCACATTTGAGGGAATCTCAGGGACCAGCACATCTGGAGTGCAATGGTAAGCCTGGCCCGGAGAAAACCACCTTCGTGATCATGGTATCTCCCCTACCGGGTAATATTTAGCTTCTTTTTACATGGGGTGGGTGTGTGACTTAGGCCCAGCCTACTAAATACTCTCCCTGGATTGGAGCCCCAAGAGGAAGGCAGGCGAACAGGCAGCACCAGGACTCACAGGTGGGTAGGCTGGACTGTTTCTGCTACGAGATTTTTGCTGTGGTTCATGGGGCCTTACTCTGTTTCTTGGTCCCCAACTTTTCAATCCTTTAGCTCTCATTTACACTGTGAGTTCCCTGATATTAAGTAAGTCCCTTTCACTTAAGTTAGCCAGAGTAGTTCTCTGAAGCTTTTATTTATTGTTTGTTAATCCTCACCTGTGGATAATTTCCCCCCATTGATCTTTAGAGAAAGTGGAAGGGAGGGGGGAGGGAGAAAGAGAGAGGAGAGAGAAATATCGATGTGTCTCTATCACATCAGTTGGTTGCCTCCTGCAGGCACTCTGACTGGGGCCAGGAATCGAGCCAAACCTCCAAACCAGGTATGTGCCCTTGACCGGGAATCGAACCTGCAACCCTTTGGTGAGTAGGCTGATGCTCTAACCATTTAGCAACCCCAGTTAGGGCTCTCTAAAGCTTCTAATCATGACTGCTCATTGGTAGAACAGAGCCTCTGTCATCCCTATGGTTTGGAGAAAGGAATCAACTGCAGGAGCAGTCCTACTCACTAAATGGGGCTATGGTTCTAGGCTCGGTTTGCTACCCTAGGCTGGTCATAGGGCACTGGATTAGGGACCAGGTTATGGCAGGAATTGGTCTTAAATACAACTTATTGTCTATCTAAACCCACGACAATTGACATTGGCCAGGACCAACTTTTTGGAGAATGAGGCCCAGGGCAGAGATGGCTGACTTCAGGATTTTCCTGTAACAAGACCGTGCCTTTCTTGTGGTCCAGGGCTGACTTACGATAAATAGAAGCAGAGGTAAATGAACTCTTAGACCGCTGGAAAGTTTCAACTTTATCCCCACCCCAAACCCAACCAAACATCTTTTCCCTTTTGTGTAAACTTACATCCCTAGTGAGGATGGAAAAGTGGAGAAACAAATCTTTGTTAATATTTGATCAACTCTAGAATCATCATCCTCAGGCATCTTGGAGATCTTGCACTCTAGGAATGCTGACTGCTTGCTGGAGAGGTGATGGCAGGGAATTCTGCATTCAGGCCCTTGGTGCAGACTTCTCTGGCGAGCCTGGAGGTGGCGCTGTTTGCATGTGGTCACTTTGGGCTAATAAATCAAGACACTACTAGGGACCTAGGATTTAATAGCGGAACGTCACTTTGCAGCTTTATACTTCGATTAGTTAAAGGGATTATAATTAGTGAAAAATGAGTGAAATTCAAATAATCATTGGAATGGTGCAAAGAACTTTCTAAGAATCACACAACACTCAGAAGTTATAAAAAGACAACATTAACAAAATTAACGTCGTAAAAATGTCCAAGTCCTGTATTAGAAACAAAACAAAAAACAAACCAGCATAAAGGAAACAAACAAAAAAACTGATCCCTGACCGGTTTGGTTCAGCGGTTAGAGCGTCGGCCTGCGGTCCAGAGAGATCCAGGTTTGGTTCCCACTAAGGGCACATACAAAAAAACAAAACAAAACAAAAAACTGAGAAAACAGCAGTTTCGGTGACAAAGAGCTCTTATGGGTAAATTCAGTGTAAAAAACGGGAAGAAGATATGAACAATCAGCCTTAGAAAATGAGATTAAAATCACCAATAAACATAAAACATTTCTCAAACATTCATGAAATGAAAATTAAATTGTCATGAAGTGAAATTTAAATGAAAATTAAAACAATAAATGTAGTCATTTGTGTGTGCCTCCGATAATTGCTCTGTACAGACATATGATTTTTCTATCACAGGTGTTTAAGAGTGTCTCTCTCTCCGTTCTTACGTTTTTTCCTTGGATTTTCAGGCAGTTTCTTACTTGTCATACAGCGTCGGGCAGCCTTTTCTTCAAGAATGCCAAGCTTGAGAACATCAGGGTACAGGACCACCTCCCATCGGCAACGGGAGGCGTCGAAAGGTGTGCAGAGGGCGGTGTCTCTGCCGGGGGAGTTGCCGACGGAGACAGACGAAAGAACGGGAGTTTCTGGCAGAGGAGACTGGACGAGGCATCCTTTTTTTGAACACCACGTTTGAAAACAGGTGTGTGCAAAGGCCAGGTGCACCTGCAAGTTGGAGGAGGAGGTGCTAGGCTCGGGCGACAGGGGTTTTTTATTATGCAGATGCCTTTCCTCCTCCGGAGCAGCTCTTGCCGTCGAGGGGCCTACCAACAGCTGAAAAGGACTTTGAAGTCCCTCCCTTTAACTTTCACTATTCATTGACAAATATACGAAAGCCTTAAGTGTAATGACCCGTTCCAGGTCACAGCTCTGGCCAACACTCGGGTCCTGGGGGCCAGTCCGCGGATGTTCTGCCTCTGGCACCGCCCACACTCTTCACCCCAAACTCTGCTCCCAGGCCCGCAGCCCGGGTGGTCTGGGTGGATGGACTACATCTCCCACAATGCTTCGGGCCCCGCCGCCTTCCCGCCGCCGGCCGAGCGCCGTATCCGCCAATAAGAAAGCAGAGTTCCAGGGGCCGTTCTCGGCAGCCAGTCAGAGCAGTTGGGGGAGGGCTTCTACCGTCCATTGTTCTCGGTGCCCCTCGGGCCGGAGCCGTCGTGACTCCAGAGGGGCCGGGCCGTTCCCGGGGGGCGTTTGCACGCGGAGCCGCCGCCGGAATAGGATCTGGTCTCCGGAGAGGTGAGCCCGGGGAAACAGGCCTGGAGCCTCGAGGCCCAGGGGAGCAGCGCGAGGCGTGGGAATAGCGGGCCTGTAGCCAGTGCCGGCAGCCTGCTGGGGGAGGGGCGTCGGGGGCGCTCTCCGCGGCCGGCGGACTCGGGCGGTCTCGGTTTACGCGCTGGTCCTCTCGGCGAACACAGCCGGGCTCTTCTCCCAGCGGTGAGCTCCTTGCATATCCAACCGGGGCGCAGGGTTTGGACTGGACGACATCCCGCGCAGCTCCTCGTTTTACATAAGGGGAGACTGAGCTCTCAGGGGGCGTGTCTTGCCCCGGGTTACGCAGAGAATTAATTAGCTTACTAGGAACAGTTTTCCCGGGTTCATAAATGAGAGTTCTGTTATCCCTAGTTTCTTCAAGTCATTGTAAATACACACTGGGAACTTCGGTTTCTATACTAGCATTTCTATATTGTTCTTTATTTAAAGTTTTTTCTTCCCCCCTTTTCCCTTTTTTTTGGGGGGGGGTGTTAATATGAGTCTTTGTGATATAGTGATGATTTTTTAACACAGTTTTTCATTGCTTTTGTAGTCTTTAAATATTTTGTAACTTCATTGCTCTCAACATCTTGTAGAATTTCTGTCCAGGTCTTTTCCCCCACCTTGTTTGTGTGTGTGTATGCCTTTTTTTTTTTTTAAATCCTCACCTGAGGACATTTTTCGATATTTTGTTCAGATAGAGTGGAAGGGAGAGAACGAGAGAAACATCGACGTGAAAGGGACACATCGCATGGTTGCCACCCACACGACCCAACCAGGGCCGTGGACAAACTGCAACCGAGGTGCTTCCCCCCAGCAGGAACCGAACCTGGGTCTCTCCAGACCTCAGGCTGACGCTCCAACCACTGAGCCAAACCTGCCAGGGCATTTGTATGCATTTTTAAAGGTAATTGGGGTCATACTATAACTGATTTTAATGCCTTGCTGGTTTTGTTTTTATCCCTAATTTTCATATTGTGAGGATTATCTTAAATCTTTAATGATTACTAATCTTTGTCAGCATAACTTAAAAAATATTTTAAAGTACATACAGCAGAGTGCACAAATCTTAAATTTCATAAGTATGCTCTTGTGCAACCATTGTCAAATGAAAATATAGAACATTCCCAGCACCCCAGAAGGCTCCTTTGAGCCCATTCTCGGTCAGTACCTCCCAAAGGTAGCCATTATTATATCAGCATAGTTTTAAATATATTTTATTGTATGGATATGTCATAACTTATTTATTTATATATATTTTAAACATTTTTTTCTTTATTGATTTTTAGAGAGAGAGGGAGAGAGAGAGAGAAATATCAATGAGAGAGAACATCAACTGGCCGCCTCCTGCATGCCCCCCACTGGGGATCAGGCCCACAACCTGGGCATGTGCCCTGACCAGGAATCGAACTGGTGACCTCTTGGTGCATGGGTCAACAACACTCAGCCACTGAGCCACACCAGCTGGGCAGATATGCCATAATTTATTAACTGTTCCCCTGTTGCTGGGTTTTTAATGTCAATTTTTTTTTTTTTTTTCTGATTAGAAAGAATGCTATGGTTGGATGTCCTTGCAAATAAATTTCTCTTTGTAAAGATGGTTATTCATAAAAGATAAATTCCCAAGGGGCCAAGGCTTGATTGAAGAGTCTGAACATTTTGCCCAACTAGTGTGGCTCAGTGATTGAGTGTCCACACATGCACCAAGAGGTCGCAGGCTTGATTCCCAGTCAAGGCACATGCCCAGGTTGTGAACCAGTCCCCAGTAGGGGGCATGCAGGAGGCAGCCAGCCAATGTTCTCTCTCATCAGTGTTTCTGTCTTTCTCGCCCTCTCTTTTCCCCTCTCTAAAATAAAAAAATCAATAAAGAAAAAATATTTTTTAAAAAAAGAACTAATGTTTAAAAGAGTCTGAACATTTTAAAACTTCATACTTTAAAATATGACAATACAGTTGAGACATTGTCTTCCTTCCAGTGAGGCTCAAAGTCTCTTGACATCTGATTCATTGCTAATCCTTAAGATGTCCCCATAAAATAAGAAGGATGGATAGTATTATCTTTATTTAGTGGTGGTCAGTGAGGTTCAGTCTGTTAGGTCAGGGTTACTCTGCAGCAAGTCTGAACTGACTTAGGGCAGGATAACTCAGTTCTGGATTCTTGCAAGTACTTTGGTCTTTTAGAAAGAAAAATGCTACATATTTTGTGCTTTTGATTCTTCTTAACTTCTCTTGCCATAGAGACAGATGGGTTTTCAGGGAAAAGCCATTTTTCCTTTAAGAGGGACAGGAAACGTGTGTTGATTTGCGGATGTAAGAATCACTTAGTGGCCTGACCCAGGCTACTGAGTTAGAACATATTAGGACAGTTTACTTATTGATTCTGATTTTCTTTCTCATTTCTCAGCTAGGCTCCTTGTTGAAATTTGAGGACGGAGGTACCTTTTCAGAGAGCCTGGCTGGACTAAAGTTAAAGACTAGAAGCCTGTGTGACTGCCGCAAGAACGTGGATGATGGCTGCGGAGGTACCGAGAGTAACCACTCCCCTGAGTCCCTTGGTCCAGGTACCTCAAGAGGAAGATGAGCAGGAGGAGGAAGAGGAGGAGGTCACCACCATGATCCTGGAGGACGACTCTTGGGTACAGGAAGCTGTGCTGCAGGAGGATGGCCCTGAGTCCGAGCCCTTTCCTCAGAGTGCTGGCAAGGGCAGCCCCTGCGAGGAGGCAGCTGGAGGGCCACAGGGTGCACTCGGCCGCCTTCGAGAGCTCTGTCGGCGCTGGCTGAGGCCAGAGGTACACACCAAGGAGCAGATGCTGACGGTGATGCCAAGGGAAATTCAGGCCTGGCTGCAAGAGCATAGGCCCGAAAGCAGCGAGGAGGCAGTGGCCCTGGTGGAAGACTTGACCCAGACCCTTCGGGACAGTGGTGAGATGCCAAAACTCATAGGGAGAGGGTGGGGACACCTTTCGAGGTAGAGGAGGAGAAGGTGGTATCCAGGACAGTTTTGGACGGCCCCATCCCTCTACATTATCTATGGAAAATCAGCACATTGTCACCTTTTTAAAGTCCCTGGGGTGCAATGACATTTCCAGAATTTCAGTGTAGAAGGGGCTTAGAGGAGTATTCTTGGAACTGTGTTTGCGTAGTAAGCATGGTTTCACTTCTGTGTTTATTCTGAGTGGTTAGGAAGCGGATGGAGGTTTTTGGGGGAGCAGCTGATGACCCTATAAATCACCCCTTGGCACCTTCACTTGGTTGTGCAATAAACATCCAAATATTTGAAGTTTTCCAGCAGTTAGAAAAACCAAATCCTAGTTTTAAAAAGTGATTATTTTTATGAAACTAAGATGAATGGCGAGTAGACTAGCTAGTAATTAGGGGCTTTCCGTGGCATAAAGTCATGCTGGGTTCTTAAAAGAGAAATTACAAATTTGAGTTATTTGCAACAGTTAATGCATTTGTCTTCTGTGTGAGTAATACACTGAGGGATATAGGCATGCCATTTCACTACTCTGCTTTCATCCTACTCTTCACTGTAGGCTGGACTCCCTTGATTTCTAGATATTTTCTTCCTGTCTGTCTGCCCCTAGGACTGCTTCAGAACCCATGGGGAACAGCTGCCTGTTTGCTGATGAAGCTGTGGGAAGAGAGGGAGAGGTCAGAGAGGCTTCATGGAGCATGTAGAACTTGAGCAGGGGTTGCAGGCTCGGGTAGAATTTGGAAGGGTGCAGGGCAGGCGGAGGGGGTGGCATCCAAGGGGAACTGTGCTAAGCAGAGGCTCAGAAGGATGGACCAGCATGGCACAGTTCAGGTGGCAGTAAGAAAGGCTGGGTGACTGCAGTGGAAAGTGTGTGTTAGGAAGTAGAGTTTGGGGGAAGGGTGGGTGGAGGCTTGGCCTCAGCAGGTTCTTGAACTGGGGCCCGAGGGGCAGGGGAGGAAGCTGAGTTTGGCAACAGGATGTGGGTTTGATTAGAGTAAGGAGAGGCTGGAGGCAGGAGAGCAGCCAGGAAGCCACTTAGACATCAGGTGTGCAGGGGTTGGGCCAGGATGGTCACACAGTGGTAAGTGGTGGAGCCAGGACTCAAACTCCCGTCTGTTGCTGCTACATGTGTTGGGTAGATCCTAGGTTTTATCTGAAGCAAAAATACCTGGTATTTTTTGGTCTTGAAAAGTAACTTTTTTTTATGTGAGAGAGACACATCGATTGGTTGCCTCCCACATGATGCTTTAACGGCTGAGCCAGACTGGTCAGGGCTGAAAAGTAACTTAAAAAAAAAAAGTTTTTATTGATTTTTTTTTGGAAAGAGATAGAAACATTGACGTGAGAGAGAAACCGATCTGCTGCCTCCTGCACGCCCCCAATGGGGATCTAGGCTGCAACTTGGGCATGTGCCCTGACGGAATTGAACTGGGACCTCAAACATGGGACGATGCCCAATCCAGTGAGCCACGCTGGCCAGGCCTGAAAAGTAATTCTACTCTTCCTATTTAAAAAAATACCAAAACTTTTCATCCTACTCAACATATAACCTCTACTCTTTTTATCCAGCATGGGACTTTTGAACACATTTACCCAGTATGGTGGTTTAATATTGACTAACAGGCACCTCTAGGTGTTCACAGTGTCTTATCATCCCACTTGAGATTGGACCTCTACTAATAGGTTAAGGGGTAAAGCTCAGCTCTCTTGGTGAGTGTTTCCCACCTTTTAGTCCCTAGCCCTAATTTAGGCTCTTGGTATTTCTCTTGACCTCTTGCAGGAACCTCCAAAGGGAGGTTCAGCCTCTTTCCCCTTCATTACAGTTGCTCCACTCCTACCTGAGTGATCGGTCATTCTCCTGCTTAAAAAAGTCTTTGTCAGTTCTCCAGTGTCTCCAAATCTTTGTGAGTTCTCCAGCATCTCCAAATCCTTGTTCTGCTTGGAGGCCGTGGCCCTGTGAGACCTGGCTCAAATGGCCCTGCAGCTAGTTTTCCCTGGTCCCCTTGCCAAAGCTCCTGCTCCATTCAGACCTGGTCTTGCTGTTTCTTGAACATTCCTGTACTTTCTGGCATTCACCAGTGCTCCTGAATTTTGACTTGGAATGGTTTTGTCCCATCTCTATGTGATACTATCCTGATCATCCTTTGAATGTACAGACCCACTCCATAAAGCTGTCCTTACTTCCAGTCCCTCTTCCCTGTCCCCAGCTCCACCCACCTGGGAGCATCTCAGATCACCTTTGCTAGAAGTCTTCAGTGTATTTTGATTCTTCTTTTTGGCTTTTTATCCTATTCCACCTTGTTTTCTATTTCTGTGAACACTATCTTATTTTTTTTCTAGGAACCTATAAAATCCAAGAAGGCAAGGAACCTTTTTTTCTTTTTCTTTCTTTCTTCTTCTATCTGTAGAGAAATGGAGTTTGTCAAATTCAAACCTACTTTTGTCCAACAGGTGAGCCGAAGAGTCTTGGCTGACCTTTCCAGCATCCCCAGCATCACCTGGCTTTCTGTGGGCACAAGCGACAGTTTACCTACTTTGAGTTTGCTGCCCCAGCAGAATGCTCCCTTAGTGACAACAGATGAACAAATATAATCATTTTCTTAACAAGAAGGGGAGTGGAAAGTGTTAGAGGGTTGGAAAGGTGTATGTCTTTTTTTTTTTTTTATCCTCACCTGAGGACACTTTTGCATTTATCTTCAGAAAGAGCAGGCAGGCCCTGGCCGATTTGGCTCAGCAGTTAGAGCGTCGGCCTGCGGTCCTGAGAGACCCGGGTTCGGTTCCCGCTAAGGGCACGTACCTCGGTTGCAGTTTGTCCCCGGCCCTGGTCGGTCGATGTGTTCCTTTCATGTCGATGTTTGTCTCTCTCTCTCTCTCTGTTCCTCTCTCTCCCTCCCATTCTACCTGAACAAAAAATGGAAAAATGTCCTCGGGTGAGGATAAAAAAAAAAGAAAAGAGCAGGCGGGAAAGAAGGAGGAAGAGAGAGAGAAACATCGAGGGGAGAGACACATCCAGTGGTTGCCAGCCACACGACCCCAACTGGGGCCGGGGACAAACTGCAACCGAGATACGTGCCATTAGCGGGAACCGAACCCGGGACTCTCTGGTCCGCAAGCTGACGCTCTAACCGCTGAGCCACACTGGCCAGGGCAAGGTGTATGTCTTTTTAAAGCTATGATTCTCAGCTTCAAAACAAAGTCACTTTGAATTCACTTAAGTATTTGAAATGTATACCATACAGAAATAATTCTTAGAGAGATGTAATGTTATAATGTAAAATGTTTGGCAATCGTTCGATAAGAGAGTTCGTTGCTGTTTTTATCAGTGGTTAGTGTTTCAAGCAGACAGAGTCCAGCTGGAACGATGTTCCCAGTCACCCAGGTACGATCAGGTTCTTGCCAGGCTTTTCAGGCCAGAGCTCCCACGGGGAGAACCCAAGTCACAGCAGGAGAGCCTGAGCTGGACACAGGTTGTCTGAACCACTTCTGTATTTCAGGCCAGTGCCTCTGACCATGGTATTTAGACATAGCGATATGTCACAATCAGGTGGGAGGGGTTTTGCAAGAGTTTTGAGCCTGATCCACACTAAAGCACCACAGTGACCAATTTCATTGTTATAAATAAATTATAGTGAATTCAGGTTTATCACCATATTGACATCAGTTTTCCTCACACTCATTCTGATACATTTTCTAGCATGGGAGGGAAAGAGGAGGCCCCTGGCCTGGCAGGGGGACACACACAGCCCTCTGAACAGCCACAGGAGTGTGCTGTGCATGGGAGTCGAGTGTGTCGCAAGTTGGAAAGTACGAGAACCACTGGTTTAGATTGACGTCGACTGCAGCTTGTGTCTACTGACCTATGAGGGAAGAAGCCTTGTGGCAATTCAAGAACCATTCAGTGCATGGTATTTGGATAGTGGTCTAATCATTTTGAAACAATAAAATTGGATTCCTAGCCCTGGCCGGTTTGGCTCAGCGGTTAGAGCGTAGGCCTGCGGTCTGGAGAGACCCGGGTTCAGTTCCCGCTAAAGGCACGTACCTCGGTTGCAGTTTGTCCCCGGCCCTGGTTGGGTCATGTGGGTGGCAACCACTCGATGTGTCCCTTTCACGTTGATGTTTCTCTCTCTCTCCCTCTCACTCTATCTGAACAAAATATCAAAAAATGTCCTCAGGTGAGGACTAAGAGAAAAAAAAAAAAAAAAATTGGATTCCTATTCATTACCTACACAGAGACAGATTCCTCCTTCTCAAGTTATACGATATAAATTCAGTCTTACAAATTATCAGGAAAATACTCATTAAAGAAGAAACTTTTTTTTTTATCCTCACCCTAGGACATTTTTCTATTTTTTGAGAAAGAGGAAGAGAGAGAGAGAAACATTGACATGAAAAAGACACATCGAGTGGTTGCCACCCACATGACCCAACCAGGGCCGGGGACAAACTGCTACCGAGGTACGCGCCCTTAGTGGGAACCAAACCCGGGTCTCTCTGGACCACAGGCTGACGCTATAATCACTGAACCAAGCCAGCCAGGGTGCAAGAAACTTTTTTTTTTGCCTATTAGACCATTAGAAATTTAATAGTGTTTTGGCTATTGTACATAGTGTTGTAGTAAACATGGGGGTGCAGATCTCTCTTTGAGATAGAGATTTTGTTTTCTTAGGACATAGTGTACACCCAGAAGAGGGATTGTTGGGTCATATGGTAGTTCTATTTTTAATTTTTTGAGGAACCTCCACACTGGTTTCCATAGTGGCTGCACCAACTTACATTACCACCAACAATGCACAAGGGTTCCCTTTTCTCCATGTCCTTGCCAACACTTAATCTCTTGTAGTAATCCCTTCCTAATGTTTGTTTTGTACTGTTAAAGACACTTAAACTTCATTTACATGATTTGTCAACTTTATTTTATTTATTTATTTTTTTTATTCTCACCCGAGGACATTTTTCCATTTTTGTTCAGATAGAGAGGGAAGGAGGGAGGGAGGGGGGGCGGAGAGAGACAGAGAGACAGAGAGACAGAGAGACATCGATGTGAAAGGGACACATCAAGTAGCTACCTCCCACACAACCCCAATCGGGGCCGGGGATAAACTGCAACCGAGGTACGTGCCCTTAGCAGGAACTGAACCTGGGTCTCTCTGGACCGTGGGCCGACACTCCAACTGCTGAGCCAAACTGGCCAGGGCTGATTTGTCCATTTTAAATGATATCCTTTGAGGTCCCGGTATTACAGATCAGGCAATCAATGAACATATCCTATATTCCATCTTCTTTCCCCCAACCACAATTTTGATTAGAGTATTATTTCTGCATCGTTGTATAACATTTACATTCTCTTTTTAAAATATGTTTTTATTGATTTTAATGTTATTTAAAAAATTTTAAAAAATTTTTTTTCTTTATTGATTTTAGAGAGAGAGGAGAGGGAAAGAGAGATAGAAACAGTGATAAGAGAGAACATTGATTGGCCACCTCCTGCACACCCCCCACTGGGGATCAGGCCCACAAACTGGGCATGTGCCCTGACCAGGAATCAAACTGGTGACCTCTTGGTGCATGGGTCAGTGCTGAACTGAGCCACACTGGCTGGGCTATGTTATTATTATTATTTTTTAAATTTATTTTTTAGAGAGAGAGGAAGGGAGAGAGATAGAAACATCACTGTGAGAGATTGGCTTCTACACACCCCCTATTGGAGATCAAGCCCACAACCCAGGCATGTGTCCTGACCAGAAATCGAACCAGGACCTCTCAGTCCATGGAATGACACTCAGTCCACTGAGCCACACCGGCCAGGCTTACATTCTCTCTCTCTTTTTTTTTTTTGTGGACATGCCCCTGGCGGGAACCAAACCCGGGACTCTCTGGTCTGCAGGTCAATGCTCTACTGCTGAGCCAAACTGGCCAGGGTTACATTCTCTTTTAACATCCTAATTGCTATGGTTGTTTTAGACTTATATTCTAAAGTCATATGTATCAGGTGTTCATCCCCAATCTTTTTGCTGGAGTTCTCTTTATCTCTTGGTTGACTGAAATTCAGTCCTAATAGTTTCCTCTGGAAGGGCTCAGAGGACCAATATTCCGTGAAATTGTATATATTCAAAGCTGTTTGCCTATAAACCTTATACTTGAAGGACAGCTTTGTTGAACATAAAATCCTTGGCATACATTTTCTTCTCTTACATATCTGGTAGCTGTTGCTGCACTGTATCTGCTGGCACTGAGTGTTAGTGCACAGAAATCTGAGACCAGTTGGTTTTCTTCCCCCATATAAGAGATTTGATCTTATGCCTTTTTATCCCCTGGGTTAGTTTTCCTTGGCACACAATATACCTTTCAAGGTTTCTTACATCTTTATAGATTAAAGTATTTGTTCTATACTTTGGGCTTAGTTTCCTTTTTTTTGAGAACTCCAGGTATGTTTATCAGTTCTCTTTTGGTGTAACTTCTGTTTCTATATTCTCCTTAATTCTTTTCACCTCTTTCTTTGTTTCCACTTTGTTTTATTGCTTTTGTCATTTCACTCCTCCTGCGTTTCTGTACTTCCCAAGGTGTCTGTTTTCCTCTGTGTTTCTTCCCATTTTACTCATTTCTGGACTTTCCCCTCCTTTCCTTAGTTTTGCCAGCTTGCATTTCACTGTCTCACTGTCTCTTCCTCAAGTTCTACATGAGGGTCTTTCTTCACAGAGGTGGTTGCTTCATTTAACTATTTTTAATGGGTGAGAAACGGTCACTCTCTAGAATAGTGATTCGCATGGTTAATGCCTGAGAGTCAGAGGCACTCTCCTCCTGTGGCTCTTCTGTGTGATTCCGGTTGTAGCCTCACTTCCTTTTCTTTGAACAGAGAAGCCAGCCCTGCCTGCCCCAGCCCCAAAGGCACTGCTGCGCTCGAAGGCCAGTCCTTACCTTCAGGAAGTGACTTTCTCCCTGAGCTGTTCGAGATCTTCCCCTGAGTACTGTCCCTTTCCACACACTACTGTCCGTGCTTGTTCTCCCTTTTCCGCCCTCGCTGGCTCTGTCCAGTCTCTGCTGTTTTTAGAAGCCCTTACATGTATTAGTGTCTGCAAATTAATCCTAGTCCTGATCTCACTGAAATTCAGTTTAAGTTTTTGTTTTCCCTGTTGTTTCTGAGCTCATCCCAGAGCATACCAGGGGTTCTGGGTTTAAGGTAGTTAAACCTTTATTTTTTTTAATTTGAGCACTCTTTATTTTATTGTTGTTAATCCTCACCCTTTTCCATTGATCTTTTTTTTTTTAGATAGAGTGGAAGGGGGAGAGAGAGAGAGAGAAACATCAACTGGTTGCCTCCCGCACGACTGGGGCTGGGGATCGAACCTGCAACCCAGGTACATGCCCTTGGTCCTGGGGCTGACGCTTTAACCGCAGAGCGAAACCAGCCAGGGCAAGGCAGTAAAACCTTTAATAGCTAATGTCCCTACTCAGAAGAGAACAGTTTAAAGTCGTTTAAAAATGTGTTTGGTTGTATCAGCTTATAGAAAATAAGTCAGGCCCTGATTATAGAAGAGATGTGATGGCACAGGTGTGTGCTAGAAACTTGTAAGAAGTTTGAGGAGCCAGAGACCTGCTGGCCCTGGCCCAGTGGGAGCCTGCATTGTGCTCCTTATGCCTACATCCACCCCTGGAGATCTGTGGGACACGAGAGAGGGCAGTTACATGAGCTCACGGACTACCAGCAGCGTACGTTAATGTAAGCACAAAATATAATCATATGCCTATTCGCAAGTCTAAATACAATCTTAATATTGACTAAAGGCATGAGTGGAACCCAGGTTCTACCTGAAAGATGCACGCCAAATTTTATTGTGTGTATAAATGGAAATTACTTTAAGTCATAGAAACTAATCACTGAATTGAGCATTACTGTACATACAGTTTATTAGTTTTATTAATGGAAATGTCACTAGGGCCTTGTGTAATTATTTTGCTAATTGTCTTCCCTGCTATGGATAGATTTACTTTTCCAAGGGGGTGTTAGGTTTTAGAAATAATCAGGCTGTTGTCTTTATCGATAAATCACTGACTCATTTCTGTATATGCTACAGAATTGAAAAAAAAAAAAGAATTGAGGCCACCTTATAAAAATAGTGCACAAGAAAATTATAGTAAAAAATAAAATAATGGTAGGATAAAAAATGAAAGAACACAAATTACATGCTAAAAGAACATGCAGTGTTCTTGCTCTGAGTTTTTGGCTCCAAGCTTCCAAGCAGGCAACACAAAGATGAAGCCACAACCAGGGCCGTGAGGCAGACACAAATATGGTATTTTGGTCAAAGGGAGATTTCCTCCTTAGGCTCATCAAGAGGACATTGTGTGTTATAAACAATGTCGTCAACAACTTCCTGGCAGCGTTAATGTTCCTGGCAACCATACAGTACTAATGACACTCCTTAGAGTGTTTGTCACAATCGGCCAGAGCCATTAAACCAACACACAGTTCAGTGAACGGGTTCACTGGGGTCAGAACAGTGTGGTCTAGGCTCACAGCTTTCTGCTGCTCTGGCTTTATCCTGGGATAGATTTAATAGAGTCTCTAATCTAAGGAAGGGGTAGCATATTCTTCCACAAAACCTCCCTAGTGATTTCTTTCACCTAAATGTTTGGTAAGTATTGGGTAGGAGAGGGTTTGACAAGGTTCTAGAAGGTAGATATTTTGACTCTTTTTTTTTTTTTTTTTTAATGTTTTTATTGATTTTTTTTAGAGAGAGAGGAGGGGAGAGAGAGAGAGAAACATCAGTTTGAGAGAGAAACATCAATTGGCTGCCTCCTGCACGCCCCTTACTGGGGATCAGGCCAGCAACCCGGGCATGTGTCCTGACCAGGCATTGAACTAGGACCTCTCAATCCGTGGGACAGTGCTCAATCCACTGATCCACACTGGCTGGGCAGGAAGGTAGATACTTTGTGTTACAGATGGGAGGTCTATCTATAGGTGCTCTCTGCAGATAAAATTGAGGGCTTTTTAAACTGCCCATTTACTAGTTTCCAGTCATCTGGAGGATTACAAGAGTCCTTCTTGCAGGGGTCCTATCATCTTGTCTGTGTCTTACATGCCAACTAAGATTATAAACAGGAGACATATTTTAATGCAAATTATTATATAAACTCCTTTTGAAAGGAGAGTCAGCTATAGGGACATTTTTGTGATGCCAATAAAAATACTCATTCATCAGATTTAATTGAGCACCTACTAAGCATTAGGCACCATGGTGTGCACTGTGGTACCCCATTATTTTCCCTTGGTTAGGATCTTAAAATTCCTACTTGCCCTCATTTCCCAGTGGAGGAACAAGTAGAGACAGAACCCACAGCTTTAAGACTTAGAAATTCTGGGTGATTATCATACAGTTTGAGGCCTGGTAACTAGATAACCAGTTAGAAGGAAATAAGCCTGTTTTTTTTTTAAGTTGTAAGGATTCTTTAGCCTCTTTATTTTCACTAGAAGTTGAAATTTTAAAAATTTCTGCCCAGCCAGTGTGGCTCAGTGGATTGAGCATTGTCCCATGGCCTGAGAGGTCCTGGTCTGATTCCCAGTCAGGGAACATGCCTGGGTTGTGGGCTCGGTCCCCAGTAAGGGGCGTGCAGAAGGCAGCTAGTGAATGCTTCTCTCTGTCCCTCTCCCTTCCTCTCTCTCTAAACTAAAATAAATCTTTAAAAAAAAATTCCCTTGATTTTCTTTTCTCCTCATTACAGGGAACTGCATATAAATTGCATGTTTTTCTTAATTATTTTAGATTTTGAAATCCAGAGTGAAAATGGGGAGAACTCTAATCAAGACATATTTGAGGACGTGGAGTCACATGAGATCTTCTCAGAAATGCATGAAGGGGAAGGCATTCAGCAATCTGATTGGGAAAGTGACTTTGAGAGAGACTGTGGCTCCAGGAGGCCCCAGGGAAATGCCTCAAGTGAGGACCATGGGGATGTGCCATCACAGGGCAGGGACGCTGGACAGCTCATAGGCCTCCAGGGCACCTACCTGGGAGAGAAGCCCTATGAATGTCCCCAGTGCGGGAAAACCTTCAGCCGGAAATCCCACCTAATCACACATGAGCGGACCCACACAGGAGAGAAATACTACAAGTGTGACGAGTGTGGAAAAAGCTTTAGTGATGGTTCAAACTTTAGTAGACACCAAACGACTCACACTGGGGAGAAACCTTATAAATGCAGGGATTGTGGGAAAAGCTTTAGCCGGAGCGCAAACCTCATAACCCATCAGAGGATCCACACAGGCGAGAAACCCTTTCAGTGTGCTGAGTGTGGCAAGAGTTTCAGCAGGAGCCCCAATCTCATCGCTCACCAGCGAACCCACACAGGAGAGAAGCCATACTCATGCCCTGAGTGTGGCAAGAGCTTCGGCAACCGGTCCAGCCTTAATACACACCAGGGAATCCACACTGGAGAAAAGCCCTACGAATGTAAAGAATGTGGTGAAAGCTTTAGTTACAACTCTAACCTGATCAGACACCAGAGGATCCACACAGGGGAGAAACCATACAAATGTCCTGACTGTGGGCAGAGGTTCAGTCAGAGCTCAGCCCTAATCACCCACCGGAGAACTCACACAGGCGAGAAACCCTATCAGTGCGGTGAGTGTGGGAAAAGCTTCAGTCGCAGCTCCAATCTGGCCACACACCGCAGAACCCACCTGGTGGAGAAGCCCTATAAATGTGGGGAGTGTGGGAAGAGCTTCAGCCAGAGCTCCAGCCTGATCGCGCACCAGGGGATGCACACGGGTGAAAAGCCCTACGAGTGCTTGACTTGCGGGGAGAGCTTCAGCTGGAGCTCCAACCTCATCAAACACCAGAGGATTCACACGGGGGAGAAACCCTACAAATGTGGAGACTGTGGGAAGTGCTTCAGCCAGCGCTCCCAGCTGGTGGTACACCAGCGGACCCACACGGGCGAGAAGCCCTATGAATGCCTCATGTGTGGCAAGAGCTTCAGCCGGGGCTCCATCCTAGTCATGCACCAGAGAGCCCACTTGGGGGACAAGCCCTACAGGTGCCCCGAATGTGGGAAGGGCTTTAGCTGGAATTCAGTTCTCATTATACACCAGCGAATCCACACAGGGGAAAAGCCCTACAAATGCCCTGAGTGTGGCAAAGGCTTCAGCAACAGCTCCAATTTCATTACACATCAGAGAACTCATATGAAGGACAAGCTTTATTGAGGAAAAGTGAGGGGGCTGGCCTAGGAGAGGGAATTGTCAACTGCCCTCAAGTAGGAATGACTCATTAGAAGAGCCACTCTTCCTGATTGGTTTTGGGGGATTTGTGCCAGAATCTCACCACTGCTCATCCTCATTTCCAGGATCCCATCATCTTAGTGGTCGGAGCCAAAGCCCAAGAACAGTGTAGGACTGGAAGGTCGGAAAGCTGGGTCTCTTTCTGTTGTTTCATGGCTTGACTGGTTCTCTCTCTCTGATCCCTCTGTGCCCCAGTTTCCTCTGGTAGAACGGGGGAGTGTTTCTCCGTGTGGAACGCAGACAGCATGGCCCACATCCTGCGGAGTCCTCAGAGAAATCTGGAGATCTATTGGTGCAGCCTGGTGGTTATGCTGCCACTTTGCTGGGCTGAGGTGCCTTCGGCCCAAGCTACTAGCATTCCAGGCCCCTTGCTCATGTCAGTATCAGCTCTTCCTGGCTCTGCCCTGGGCTTAGATTTCAGGTCAGAGTGGAGAGATGTCTCTCGTTCTGAGTTACCACATGAAGGTAAAGTCCCTCTCTCTTTCTAGAAAGTGTCAAGAACACTGAAACACAGAGCTATGACCTGGTACCAGTGTCCCAGTAGCCTTTCCACTGAGAGGAGTTGACAGGGCCTGCCAGGGAAGGTGTAATAGGAAATTTACATGTCTGCTTTGTCTCTGCTGTTGTCCTGTGGTGAGTCAGCTGCCAGGCGGAATGCACTAGTTTTTGTGAGGCTTCCTTTTTGTGTGTGAAGGCGGAGACCCCCAGCTGTCTACCCTGGTGGATGGCGGTTTCTCTCTCATCGGGGTTTAGTGAAGTAGTCTTGCACTCTGCAGGGTGGGCTTGTGTCTTTACCCCACAGACACAAAGTTCCATAATCATTACTCTGCACTTTTCAGTTCTTCATTATGTTTTTGATTTTGTACATGCAGAACTAGAATTCTGTCCAGTAGCTTTTGTATACTAAGAATGTTATTTTTAAGGGAGTATTGGTTTTGAGGACACATCATCTGTCCTCTGGAGGGGTCTGGGCTTGAATCAAGAGTTGTCCTACAAAGGTTGCCCTTGCTTTAAGGGTGCTACCAGGGCTTTGTTCTTGGGTCCTTGAGCTTTGAAGCAGTAAAGATGGGGTGATAGCAGGTGAAGGGGTTTATTATGAGAAAAAGAGAATAGATAAGGTGTTTCTGCGTAATGTGAAACCTCCTCCTCCTGTGCATGGGGCCTTCGCTCAGAATGGGCCTTGGTTCTTATAGGATGGATGCTGAATGTTGCCTAATAAAGTAGAGTCCTATTCTTTCCCTGACTCTGTCTTTAAATGTGTGTTAAAAAACCTGAACTGGACTGTTGTTAGCAAACCCACCATCCCACCTCCTGCCTCTGACTGAAAATGGTCCAGGACCTTCAGGGAGTAAAAATCAGTTGCTTCAAAGAGCACACCTTTGGGTGAACCTAGATCTGTATGCTTGACCAGTGCACACACCTTTCCAGTGTCCTTTGCCAACTCTACATCCAGTCTGCCAACCAAGACTTGGAGTGGCAGCTTTGGCTAAGGAGCCGGGTGGCCTGAATCATTTCTATCCAGAATCAACTAATATAGACACAAGGTTTCTGACCTAGACAGTGACCATTGTTAAACCAAACCACATTGGCTGTGAAATCCCCATCATTAATTCTATCACCGTGCTAGGTTGTGAACAGGAAGTCCCATGGCCTGTCTTCATAAAGTTTTACTAGAAGAAAGATTCCCACCACTTCTTCCATGAGACCTTCCCTGCAATTTTCTGGCAGGCCTGACCCTGCCTATAACCCCTACCCTCTCCAACATCAGTGCCTGTGACTCTGTTACACATCTCTCTTTCTCTTTTCCCCCGCAATTTTTCAAAATTGATTTTAGAGAGAGAAAAACATCAATTTGTCATTCCACTTATTCATGCACTGAGGTCCCAAACTCTGTCTCCAGCACCCAGCTCAGGGCCTGGGATACCACAGTAACTCAGTAAACTTTTGCCAACTCAGTTCTCTTCAGGGAGATATATATAAAATGCAGAGGCAGGTGGAGTCTGAAATTCTGACTTGGAAAATGGATTAGGTTTCCTACACTCTCCTTTGGTAAGACGATACACGTAAGTTAGTTTTAACTTCAGTGCCTTCTCACCTAAGTTGTGATCTGCTTTTGGTGAGTGGAGACAAAGCTGAAGACATTTATTAAAACCAACCAACCAGTATCCTAATGAAACAACATACAGTATATTGAAATATCACAGATCATCAAAAGCTAGTGAAAAACCAGTGGTGTGGATAGAATCTTGGGAGCTGGACAGACCTGGTTCTAGACATACTTGTGCCACTAACCACACATTGTCATTCTCTTTTTTAAAAATAGGTTTTCATTGATTTTTTTAGAGGAAGGGGGAGAGAGATAGAAACATGGATGTGAGAGATGTTGGTCGGCTGCTTCCTGGGGATCGAGCCTACAACCTGGGCATGTGCCCTGACCAGGAATTGAACCGGGACCTCTCAGTCCTTGGGACAATGCTCAATCCACTGAGCCACACCGGCCGGGCACCACATATTGTCATTCTCATCAGAGATTTTACCATTTGAGGCAAGTCATAATGAAACTTCCTTTTCTTTTCCCATGGAATTTTACTTTCCTTTGGGTTGCATTTATAGTTCCCAGTAAGTCACAATAGGTTATATAGTAACACAATGTATGAAGTGGTTACTCTGCTAAGCTCTTTGCAAGCATGTCTCAATCTTGACAACAACCCTATGACAGGTCTATATCCCCACTTCCCAGCTGAGAAGTGGGGACTCTGGAGAAGTTAATAAGTGACTTACCCAGCACCTGTTGCTTAACCACTTAGTCCTGAAGTCAGTTAACGCCATTGCATTGTCAAAGCCAAGAGCAGTATCTATGGAACAAATTAAGAAAACAAAATGTTAATATAAAAACAACATATTGGCTATGTGTTTTGAGTCTTCTCTCTAGCTAGTTTCAAGATGATCCATAACTGCCCGGCCGGTGTGGCTCAATAGATTGAGCATCGTCCCATGTACTGAGAGGTCCAGTTTGATTCCTGGTCAGGGCCCGTGCCTGGGTTGTGAACTCGATCCCTAGTGGGGGGTGTGCAGGAGGCAGCTGATTAATGTATCTCTCTCACATTGATGTTTCTATCTCTCCCTTCCTCTCTCTCAAAAATATCAATAAAAACATTTTTAATTTTTTTTCCTTCATTGATTTGAGAGAGAGAGGAAGGGAGAAGGGGAGAGAGAGAAACATCAATGAGAGAAAACATTCATTGGCCGCCTCCTGTATGCCCCCAACTGGGGACTGGGCCCACAACCTGGGCATGTGCCCTGACTGGGAATCGAACCAGCAACCTCTTGGTGCTTGGTCCGATGCTCAACCAGTGAGCTACACCTGCCGGGCTAAGAACATATTTTTTAAAAATTAAAAAAAGATGATCCATAACTGTAATTGTTCTTCCTTGTATGTGACTGGGGCTGCTCTTTCCAGCCCTTTATCCACCTATGGGGGTCCTGTCTCATAACCAGGGTGTTTAGCAGGTGCCCAGTATGCTGGGTTTGCTGCACCCACTGTCCCCTAGATGGCCCTGGAGTTTTTCAAATGCAGGGCTGTTTCAACCTCCTTGCTGCCTGGGAACTATTTCAAATCTCTGGACAGGATATTAGAGTCTTTTCTTTTTTTCTCCCTCTTCATTTGATAAAATAGCCCAAGGCCATCGAGGAAGTGGAAGTAGAATCCTATGGATGGTCAGACTTTGAGACAAGATTTCAGAACCTGGTGGAGAGTAGGGCTGGTGGTTAATTCCCTTTGAATTTTCCACCCAGTCACTGGTGCAAGTGAGCTCATGCAGAGGCTGTGGCTCCAGGGCCTACCTGGCCCCGGCTCCCTCTCTCCTGCTCCATCTTCCTGTGTACCAGCTGAGGATTTCCCATCTGTTCATAGGCCCAAGGCAGCTGTAGAACTGTTATGGGAAGGAGAAGTGTCTGGCTCCTAGGAAACACTTTGCCTGAGCCCCTTCTGGCTCACAGGCCTGGCAGCCAGTGTCTCTGCTGTTTGTTTACTCTTTTGGTGTCTTGAGAGAGGAGAGCCTGCCAGGAGGCCTCAGGAGGGTGGCATATCTTGGCAAATTCACCACTGCTGAGTTCTAGTCCCAATGCAGAAACTGGGTTTCCTTAGTATACTCAGAGATGACCAGAACTCGGGCTATAGGCTTCTGTTAACAATTTCCAAGAGACCAATAGATTCCAAAACCCTAATTATTATTAAATTGACAGTGGGGAATCTCCTATACAAAGCCACCTGCAGAGCACACCTTGCTCCTGGTCTTGAGTGACTGAAATGGTAGCTTTGTGATCAGTTAGTGGTTGGTCCAACATGTAATGAAAGAAAGGGTCAAGTGAGGGACAGGTAGAAACCAGCCATGAACCCGCTCGGGTGATGATGCTGAATTTCAGTCTTCCTTCTCTTCCCTGCCCCCAAGTGCCCAAGTGCTGTCTGCTCAGTGCCCAAGATTCCCTTGTTAACTCTTCCAGGTTTCCCTGCTGAACATGCCCCTTCTGCAGACAGGTTAGTGTCACTGGTTAGGTTGGAGTTAAATGGATGATCCAGCAGGCCAAGGAAAGAATAATCTCCACTCATTACATGTGGCTGTAATTAGTTGAATTCCTAGAGAATAAGCTTATTTCCTTCATCTCAAAATCCTCTTCTCTCCTTATGCACTACTATAGACCTCTCTGTGCATTATTTTTTCTAAATATATCAATGATCTAGAAACCAAATTCTTGCTGAAACTGACTTACTGATATCTGCCTCTCGTTATCCATATGGCGCTGCCCTTCAGAGTCATTAGGTCCTGTACTGAAATCTATGGTGTAATGGATGGAGTACTGGAGCCCAAGAGACCTGACTGACCTGGTTCTAGACACCCTTGTGCCATTAACTAGCAGTGTGACTGGGGTACATCACTTACGGAGACCTCATTTTCCTCATCTGCAAAATTAATGACAGTACTTGCTCTTCCAACCTCAGAAAGCTGCTGGGAAAAGGTAAGTCACTCTGCATGGCAGTGAACATTGACACACACCCTATTCTCTGGTAATATTGACAACTCTGAACTTGATGGGGCCTGCTTTCACCAAAGAGTTTTCTGTCTAGCCCAGCCGGTGTGGCTCAGTGGTTGAGCATGGATCCCTGCACCAAGAGGTCGCCAGTCCGATTCCTGGTCAAGGGACATGCCCAGGTTGTGGGCCCGATCCCCAGTGGGGGGCATCTCTCATCGATGTTCCTCTCTCTCTATCCCTCTCCCTCTCTTTCTAAAACCAATAAAGGAAAAATAAAAAAAATTTTAAGAAAAGAATTTCCTGTCTAGGTTTCTGAGACTAACTGTCCTCCGAGGAACCAGGAAGCTGCAAGGGGGGGGGGGGAGCATCCCATTTATGTAGACTCTTGGGGGTCCTTTAGTCCTAAAGTTTGGGGAGTGTGGCTCACAGCTCAAGGACATGAATACTGTCTTCTCCCTTGAATTACGGGGTGTGGTGTAATGGTGAAGGTGACATGAACTGTGTTAGGGGCGACCCTTTCCGAAATCTGATTTTGCTTCCAGTCAGCGTTTCATGGGCTCAGAAGCACCTTGAGTGAAGGGAACAGGCAATGAACTTGAATTTTCAATTTTATTTTCTTAACAGTGGAACCTGTTCAAAGTAAAATCTCAGTGACAGAGGCAGGGGAAAGCAGGGCCGGGCTGTCGCACCCAGCAGTCCCCGAGGCAGCCCGTGGGACTTCGGCGGCCCAGGGAGCAGTCTGAAGGCCAGATGCGTGTCCGCGCCGAGGGTGCTGGCCTGAGTTTCCCCCGGAGCCGTCTCGGAAATACTGTTCTGAGACCAGAGCAGACTCCCGGGCTAGACTCAGTGAGGGGCTGGGGACTCTCTGGGGAGCCCTCGTGTCACCCCGTCCTTCCCTCACTGCACCACGGGCTTCCCTCCCTGTGCGGGGATCACCTCATCCACCGGCAGCTGAATTTTGGACCTTTCATCTCAACGAGGGAGGGAGACCAGCACTGCCAGATTCGTTGTCAGAATCAGGCCACATAAAATATGTAAAGTCGGCTCAAAAAGTACGGCTTCCCGCCCCCGTCCCGAAGGCAGCTCCCTCCAGTGTTCCTTCCCAGCGATCTCCACAGGCTCACGGCCTCCGGGGCGCGGGAGTTAGGGCGCCGCTCACCACAGGTCCTGGAAATGCGTCCTCGCGGGGAGGGAGCGCTGTGCGGGCTCAGGGGAGACGCTCCGCGGCGGGGGAGAGATCCGGCGTCCGCGGCCACCACCTGCCTCTCCCAGGCCTGCGCGCACTGGACACGAGGAACGCGCGTGGCGTTGGGCGAGGGATGAGGTGGGAGGCAGAGCACAGGGGGCAACAGGACAGAGACGTCTTCCTTCTGGGCAGAAGGACGGAAGTCTCGGTTGCACACGAGGGCCTCGGGCCCCAGCCGGCTGGGTCTCTCCCCGTGTGACAGGTCCAAGGGGACGAGCGGGGTAACGCCGCTGCCGCTGCGGGGCTCTGGGAGGGACCCGCTCTCTGTGCCGCCGCGCGCACGCGGGAAGCCAAGGCCCCGGTTCCCTCGGTCACTTCTGGCTGCGGCTCCGCTCCCCAAAGTTCGCTGTGGGAAAGTCCCGCCCCCGCCGACCGAAGCCACCGTGTCTCACGGGTCAGCGCTGCCGGCGGTCTGCGGGCGCCGGCGGAGGCTTTGGGACGTGAAGTCCGGGAAGCGGCTGGGGCTGCGATTCCGCTTCGGTGCTTCGGGCACGACCGGGAGCCCAGACTGGGGGCTGGCTAGGGTTCGGGTGCGGTGTGGGGACGCGGCGAGGCGAGGGTGCCGCGGGGTCAAGCCTCCCGCAGTCGCAGGGCCTGGGGGCGGGAGCGGCCCTCACCTCGGGCTTGGGTCGCTCTGGCTCTGGCTCTGGTCCGCCGACGCCCAGGGGCGGGCGGGGATGGGGCTGGATGCGCCGGCGGGGACCCTGCTCCTGTAGCCGCCGACGCCTGCCCCAGGGTGGCCTGCGGAGCGGTGCAGCCTGTGGCCAGCGCGGTCGGTCGGGGCACGGCCACTCTCCATCTCTTCCGCAAACCCGCTGTGACCGCGGGCGTCTCCGAAGCGTAACAGCTTTGAGAGTGGAAGCCGGCGTGTCTAACTTTCTTTTCAACTCTGACACCGCGTGAGCCTGTGTTTTTATTATCCTTTGCTCGCAAAGCCTGTAACCCTGACCACGGTACGTCTTGGTGTTCGGGAGGCACGGTGCTAGGACGGAGAATCCTAAGCGGGGCGCCCAAGGCGGCTGAGCGGTCGGCACTTCAGGGCAGAGCCGGCCGCCAGGGCGCTGCTCTCCAAGGTGCTGCTCCTTTGGGCGCCGTCGGGCCTGCCCCGCACCTTCACTTTGCACTGATGGCCCAAGGCTTGGGAGGGTGGGCAGTTCATTGTCCCTATTATCTCCAGCAGTTCGTCCTCATTATTCTGTATGGATCACTGGCATTTCCTCAGCTTTAACTGAATTGGTATGTAAACACAGCTTCAAGCTCCCTTGCTTTTCAACCAGATCACCAGCCCTTGACCCCAGCTATCAAATTTCTGGAGCTGCCTCCCCAGGGACAGAGGGTCAGACTCCAAGGGCACCAAGACACAGGGAGGGGACAACAGAAAGGTTCTTTCCTTCACCTCAATCTCGTGGTTTTCACTAGGGTTCACTCTATAATGTATGTGTCTGGCTCTAAAATGTCAAGTTCTACTCAGTGACTCCCATCTGAAGGTGGCTTCCCAGTAAGGTAAAGGGAGAGGTTTGAATTTCAGAACACAGCTGCAAGGTTCTTCTCGGAGCTGAACAATGGCTGTAGCTATGGACCAACAAACCGAGGCTCCTTCAGTACAAGAAGAGCTTTGAATAACGAAGAATATTCCCACTCAGAGCAGGAAATTTCCCTTCAAGGGAGTGACCACAGACCATAAATCTCCTGCCAGCGCTTTTGGCATTTCCACTATCAAGAAGCATCAGGGTGTGGCTCAGTGGCTGAGCATCGGCCCACGCACCAAGAGGTCGCCGGTTTGATTCCTGGTCAGGACACATGCTCAGGTTGTGAGCCAAATCCCCAGTGCGGGGAACACAGGAAGCAGTTAATGTTCTCTCTCATCAGATGTTTCTATCTCTCTCTAAAATCAATAAAGAAAAAAAAAAAAAAGAAGCATCAGAACCCAGAGAGGCTCTCATCCAACTGCAGAAGCTCTGTCGCTAGTGGCTGAGACCAAACAAGGGTACGAAAGAGCAGATCCTGGAGTTGCTAGTCCTGGAGCAGTTCCTGACTGTCCTTCCCCAGGAAATCCAGATCTGGGTGAGACAAAAACATCCAGAAAGTGGAGGAGGCAATGGTCCTGGTGGATTTGAAGAAAGAACCTGCAAGCCCGGCCGGTGTGGCTCAATAGTTGGGCACTGACTCATGCACCAAGAGGTCACCAGTTCGATTCCCGGTCAGGGCACATGCCCAGGTTGGGCCAATCCCCGGTGGGGAGCATGCAGTAGGTGGCCAATCGATGTTTTCTCTCTCCCCCCTCCCTTCTTCTCTCTTTAGAACCAATAAAGGGGGAAAAAAAAACCCTGTAAGACAGCAGCTGCAGGTGAGATATGAGAACCTAGTTCTGAGTAGTTAAAATAAGGGAATAGGAGAGACAGAGCCTCCTGTGTTGTTTGGGGGATGTGTAGTACTATGCTGTTAGATCAAAGTAGAATTTGCTTATTCCCAGAGCCTGCAACTTTCCTCCCAACTTCAGACTGACTCTTCAGAGAACGCAAACTTTGGTTTTTCTGAGTGTTGTCCCTGTTAAGTGAAAACTGCTTAAAATGGCTGAGCACCACTCTGATCAAGGAGCAACACACAAAACTGTTTTCTTTTTGGAAAACTGCTGTCCCCCAGCAGCAGCCAGCCTGAATCATGGGGCTTCACTGGCCTTTACTGACATTATTGAACCTTTGCATCCTATTGCAAAGTAGCTGTATTGTTGGTTAGATCTCTGCGTTTTGCCTAGGGGTTGACAGGAGCAGTCCCAAGAGAGCTGGTGGGCCTGGGTTCCAGACCTTGTCCCTGAGGCCTTCCACACTCCTTACTGCCCCTGCAGTGATCTGCATATGCCTGACTTCCCCCTTTGCTTCTTTGTGTCTTGGGATGATTAACTTTTAGTGCCCACAGAATCTGAACCACTTCTAGTCATGAACAGGGGAAAGAGGTGCTCTCAGAGAGGGAACCCTCAGAATCAGTACTGGGTTCCCTAAACATCCCTCTGAAGCGAGCACAGACAGAATCCATGTGTCTGTTCCAGGCAATGGTGAAACATTCACAGCCAGAACCGAAAGAACAGCTGAACCGCTGCCCCAGAGTAGAACTCCAGCTCTTCACAAGAGCAGTGAGCAGCCGCAGTGTGGGGAGGAAGGAGGGACCTTTCTGTGGGGAGGGCATGAAAGCCCCCACTGAGTGCGGAAGGTGGGGCAGAGGGGATGTTCCTTCCCACTTGGAGGATGTGGCACATGAACTGACCACATGAGTCTGTGGGATCCTTGATAGGTACCTCCAAGGGGAAAAAAAGACCTGGTGTTTTGTAAACTACTTACAGGACTCTGTGGCACCTCTCCTGATGGTGAGAGACTACCGGTCCCAGGAGATAAGGTTGAGTGCAGATTCTAGGCCTGGTTGGTGGGAAAGGCAAAACGGCAAACTAAAGTGCAGTAATTCTCAAAATACATGTATCCCCAAACCAATTCAGATGATTTGTGTGTGTTATCAAAACTGAATAGCCCAGCCAGTGTGGCTCAGGTGGTTGGAGCACTCTCCCGTACACCAAAAGGTTGTGGCTTGATTCCCTGTCAGGGCACATACCTAACATACCTAGGTTTCGGGTTCAATCCCCAGTTGGGGTGTGTACAGGATTGATGTTTCCTTCTCACCTCTCACTCTCTCTCCCTCTCCCTTGCCCTCTCTCTAAAATCAAGAAGCATGTCCTCGGTGAGGATTAAAAAAAAAAGAATAAATGCCAAAGGAATTTTACCCAGCAGGGTGACCCAAAACTTTGTAGATTAGGCTACAAAATACCATCAGCCTGCATGTGGCCCATCTCCTTCCTTACGGAAGGCGGCCCCACAGCTGAGGTAGTAAGGGAGTGTATTCAAGTCCTTCTTTTCCTCTAGACTGTATTATACTGATTTACTTGTTTGCCTTAAAAGTAATGGTTACTTCCATCTTCCACATCTGATCTTGCCCATGCGGTATGCAGGATTGTATAGTGAGGGGAAAACAAAAGCTTGTGTCACACAGCTCACAGTTCAAATCCCAGCTATGCCACATAACTGTAACGAAGCAAGTATGAACAGTGTCCAGCTCAGGGCATAGGTGTTCTGTAAATGTTAGCTTATTTCTTCCTTTTCTTTATCTTCCCCTGCCCCCTAATTGCATTTAAAAGCCAAAGGAAACTCACTTGTTAGTTTCTTCAAGTCTGTTTTGTCCCCTGCCCTCACCTCCGCCTCTGGCACTACAGAGGCACTTTGTTCAACGGTAGCCTATTTTGAAAAGGGGTGCTGATTTCTCAGGACTGGGTGACATCTGGTGATGTGGCCGGGTGTGTCTCCTGGGAGACACAGAGGCAATCAGAGCCTGGACAGGAACCATCTGGAAATAAGTTGGGAGAAATCTGCAAATGCGGCCTTGCTAGGTAAGAATGTCTTTTTCCTGTATGACCAGAGTTAGCTGTGGAGTTTCTATAGTATTCACTCCGGACCTTTTTGGGTTGAATTTTTCAAATCTATTCCTTCCTCAGTCCTGCTGGGAAAGGTACGTATAAATCTAATACCGCAGTCAGTGCTATCATGATGAGTTTCCGGAGTCCCGAAAGGATGCTGCATTGAAGCTCATCTTAGGAAGAGTCAGTACAGCCTGTGGCACATGCCTGGATTTATCTGTCACAGGACAGGTGAACGTGGGTATATAGTCATAAATTTGGGCCTGAACTTTTTCTTATTGTTCCTTCACAGATCTTAATATTACTTTCTTTCTTTTTTAAAATTTTTTCCCAATTTTTATTATTTTTGTTACAGATGTTTTTCCTTTTTCCCCCCTTAGACACCCTCTTCTGCAACCTGCCCCCTCCTCCTTAATATTACTTTCACTGAGCCTTTCAAAGAACCCCCTTAGATATTTATTTATTTTTCTTTATTGATTTTAGAGAGAGAGGGAGGGAGAGGGAGAGAGCGAGCTAGAAACAATGATGAGAGAGAACATCAATTGGCCGCCTCCTTATGCCCCCCACTGGGGATGAAGGCCACCACTTGGGCATGTGTCCTGACTGGGAATCAAACCAGTGACCCCTTGGTGCATGGGTTGATGCTCAACCACTGAGCCACACCAGCCAGGCTATGAGTGTCTTAATCACTATGTTATATCAGCCTCCCAAATGTACAAAGTGCTGGGAACCACAGCTTACATGAGGGTTGGGCTGTAAAGTCAGTACACAGGGAATGATGTGTAAAGTCAACATTACACTTGAGAATGCCTCCCACAGCCATTAGGTAAGGAGAGCTTCTCTCGTGCCTAAAATCTATGGGACTGAAACCTGTGGGAAGCAACAGGATTCTGTTACCCACAATTGCTCTGATCTAAGAGCAGCCACCAAATCTCTATCATGCATCCTACCTGGGGTTTTTCCATATATTTCTTCTAACTTTCCCAACAACTCTGCAAGGTAGTTACTACTATACTCATTTTACCAATAAAGACACGAGGCTAAGAGAGGCTGCTCAACCGGCCCAAGGACACTCAGCTGGTAACAGGGACCTGTGGTCACTTGAGTCCTAAATCAGTACCTTGTTGTACACACAGCAGCTCCTCTTCCGAGAGGCCTGGCAGGAAGACGCTGGAGTCAGCAGGAGGCACGGAGGTCCACCCAGTCCCACACGTGCACAGAAGCATCACTCGCTGCTGATAACAAAGTCCTTGGTTTGCGAGGGTGCCAGGTGTGGGTGGTGACCAGTGGAGCAGTGCCTATCCCATTGCCCTCTAGGAAGATGTGACCTCTGTGAGTGAAGAGAGGTTCTACTTGGCTCTCTAATCCATCCCAAGATGTGACATCATAGACCAGGACTGTCCCATCAAAACCTGAGGAAGGGTAAGAAATGAGAAGATTGACACTGGAACTCTAAAATAATTTTCTTTTCTTTTTGTTAATCCTCACCTAGGGTATCTTTCCATTGATTTTTAGAGAGAGTGAAAGGGAGGGAGGGAAGAGGGAAGGGGGGGGGGAGACACTTCAATATGAAACACACTGATTGGCTGCCCCCCCAACCAGGGCTGGGGATTGAACCCGCAACCCAGATACATGCTTGTTTGTGTTTTTTTTTTATCGTCACCCGAGGACATTTTTTCATTTTTTGTTCAGATAGAGTGGGAGGGAGAGAGAGTAAGAGAGGGAGAGAGAGAAACATCGACGTGAAAGGGACACATCGAGTGGCTGCCTCCTGCTCGACCCAACCAAGGCCGGGGACAAACTGCAACTGAGGTACATGCCCTTAGCAGGAACTGAACCTGGGTCTCTCTGGACCACAGGCCGATGCTCTAACCGCTGAGCCAAACCGGCCAGGGCCAGATACATGCTCTTGACCAGGAATCGAACCTGTGACCCTTCGATCTGCAGGTGGACACTCTAACCACTGAGCCAAACTGGCCAGAGCAAAAATAATTTTTAGTTTGCTCTATGGTACCAAAACAGGCTATGGGATGAGGAATGTAATAGTAAATAAGCTATTTCACGGCCAACCAAGGGTGCGGAACATCTGCCCTCATGCTAGCAGCTGCTGACTCCGTGGGGCATGTGACAACAAGAATCTGGTATATCTATCACGTGCCAGGCCTGAGGCTAATCCTAGACATACATTCTCTTCATTCTCAACTGTATGAAGTAGGTACTAATATTTACCCCAGGAAACTGAGGCTTCAGAGACTTTTTAAACCTTTTCTTCTTGCCCCAAATTCTAGTCCATCTGGGCCTCTCTCAGCAGATGACCTCTTCTCCTAACTGACAAAGAAATAAAAGCCCTTAGAGCAGCGGTTCTCAACCTGTGGGTTGCGACCCCTTTGGGGGTCAAACGACCCTTTCACAGGGGTCGCCTAAGACCATCAGAAAACATATTTCTGATGGTCTTAGGAACCGAGACACGGCTCCTCTATCTCCAGGCGGGCGCACCCACATAGATTCGCCCACATATAACATGAGGAGCTGTATTAAAGGGTCGCGGCAATAGGAAGGTTGAGAACCACTGCTTTAGAGGAACATTCTCATATCCCCCCACGACCTAGCTATACCCACGTGTACTCTATCCTGCTGTCTTGTTAGAAACCAACCCTTCCACCCACACTTGGCTCTTTCACTCCTTCTGGATCCTGCCATTATTAATGATCCTTTCTTGCTCTCTCAACTATTCTTTCAACTTCTCCCCCCTCAATGGATCCTTCCCACTGGCCTGCAGATGTCCTCACTAAATACCCTCATTCAACTAGACACTGCCAGGTCGGACCTAGGAGCCTACTCACCTAGGGGTTTGCTATAATTCAAAAAGCAAGTAGACTGAGAAGCACCCTTGGGATCTATAGTCTCTTTCTGGTACAGTCCTATGGCTGTCCCAGTGTTTACTATCTGCAGGCCTCTCAAACAGCCTCAGCACTGAATTTGCTGACAGGAAAGCTCTGCTACCAATGTATGAAAGTTTAGTAGCCAGACTGGAAAAGGGCCTGCCCCTGAAGAACCTGGAGAGTTAATCTGGAGATCCCCTATGAGCAACTTTAACTTTTGGGGCCAGAGGCTCCTTTCTGAGCTCTCAAAAGTCGCTTGGAAGGGAAAGCTCAAACAATAGAAGCAAAATCCTGCTCAGCAGTACCTGAAATGGCCAAGCAGTTGTCCAGGCATGGAGCCCAAGTCACTCGCAGCAGTTCTGGGTCAGGGCTGGGTGAGGACACTGGGCACTGGACTGAGTTCACAGGATGGCAGAGATCCCGAGGGTCAAGAAGGCGGAGCCGCCCGTCTGAGCAAAGGCTGGCAACACTGGGTCCAGGGCCTTGGCCCTTGGCCCTGACTTCTGCACACCACCTCCCTCCACCAGACCCAGGGTTAGGGCTGACACTCTCTGACGGTGCCCACTCCTGGCGGGTGTCAACGAGCCCCAGGCGGCCTGAGGTGCAGCAGAAGGCAAAGGTGTCTGCATCCAGGACCTGCAGGCTACTTAGCTCCTCACTGTCACTGACACCTGGAAGACAGGGGGCAAAAAAGAAAAGCTGTTGGAGTCGCATGGGTCTGGCAACTTGGCAGGGCTGGCTAGTCCCAGTCCCTTCCCCTAGGAAGCATCCCCAATCCTAGGCAGAATAAACCATGTCTCCCCTCTCCTGTTCATTTCACCATTCTACTCGGCTGGGTAGGTGCTGGTCCCAGCACTGCCTCCTCCAATCCTAGAACAGGAACCCCTAGGCCAGGGCTTGCCTCTCATTCATCTCGTGTCCCCAACATCAGGCACAGTGTTGAATTCAGTCCAAACGTGGCTGAATAGGGCTGGAAAGCAGACAATGGCTAGAGGAGCCAGCAGGGGGCAGACTGCAGCCGTACCTGAGGTGTACGTGGTCTTCTGGGTCTCCAGATCCACAACCTTCAGATCGCTGAGCCGCACCCCATGGAGGACTCCAGGTGCCACTGACGAGAAGATGGCGACCCTGGGCCAGAGACTCCCCTCTTTCTCATGCACGGCAATGGTGCTGACAGCTTCAATGACATCTGGGGGAAAGTGGAAAAGGTGAAAATCCAGAATGTTAATGAAGGTTTGAAACATAACATGGTGAAAGCCAGCCAGCGGTCTTTCCCTGTACATTTGGAAGGTCAAGGAAGAAAGGGAAGTGCCAGGTGGCAAGAGATGATATGGAAACATAAACACTCTGCATTATATTTATATTTTGAAACTGTCAGAAGCACTTTAATTTCCTTTTTTTAAATGTATTTTTATTTTATTTTATTTTAGAGAGAGGGAGAGAGAGATAGAAACATCGATGAGAGACACACATTGATCGGCTGCCTCCTGCACACCCACACTGGGATTCAGCCCACAACATGGGCATGTGCCTGACCAGGAATCGAACTGGCGACCTCTTGGTGCAGGGTCAATGTTCAACCACTGAGCCACACTAAAGTGGGCAGCACTTTAATTTCTTTATCATTTGTCTTGTGAACTGTTTTGCAAATGGGAGATAATGAATCACAGCCACCATCTCAAAAGCCCCCCAAACAGTTCTGGCTTTTTATAATTTAGTGGAGTACAAAGAAAAGAGAAAAGGAAAGAATACACAGATGGTGGCATTTACACATTAACTGAAAAGAACAGGCACAGAATTCATGAACTAATATTATTTCTTCAAAAACATCTACGATCTCAGCACTCTCCTGAAGCCTTGCAGATGTCACATGCAAATGTCACTGTCTTCAAACATAAACTGGACAAGAAAGTCCATGTCTTTTTTACACTGAACAGAAGAAAGCACTCGACCTCAAGTCGAATCAATTTTAGTTTCACCTGTTTGTCTCAGCCTACTTCTTCACTGGCTCAGATTAGGGGAAGGAGGTGTGTGTCAAATTCACTCACCACTGTCCTCTGTGACCTGCCACACCTGCAGGTAACAACCCGGAAGGCCACTGGTCACCAGCAACCTATTCAGGATGAATAGAAAATCTCAGTGCAGACAGTGGGGAGCTCACCCACATACCTCCCAGCCTTCTCCCGCTCCAGCCTACTCAGCTTGGGATTCCTACACCCCCACCTCAGGAAAGCTCACTGCAGGAAGGGATTGTCTAGTTACCCTCATTTAACAGAGGAGGAGGGGGCTCACTCCACTTTAGGGACAGGCCCACAGCCATGGAGAGTCACAGGACTGAGTCCAGGCTTCCATGTGGCATGAAGTGTCCTAGAGAGGACACCAGCATGGAGCCTGAACACAGTCCTGACCCAGACTCTCAGTCTCTGCCAATGGAGCTATTAGCCCCGGCCACCCACCATCAGCTCTCTGAGAAACTAAGAGCATCCTCTGCTCTCTATCTATTTGGAGCAGCTCCAGAGATCTGTGGGTTATAGTAGTAAAAAGGTCTTCTGAGAGACGATGAAACCACTAAGCAATAGGTTCTTTGTATTCCAGATTTGTGTGTGTGTGTGTGTGTGTGTGTGCGCACGCGCGTGCGCTCACAGACATCTGTGTGCTGAAGGGGTAAAGGTGGGGTGGTGATAAAGAGGCAGAACACTCCTGACATTTCCAGCCACTCCATCCCGAATGGAGGGTCTGGGTAACAGAGCTGACCATACCTGGTGTCTGGCACGTGCTTCAGATCAAAGACAGATCTGTCTGAAAATCCTCCATGACGTACCTTGAAATCTCTTTCAGGCAATAAGCCCTGAAATACAGAGGGGTGGCCAATCAGATAGAGCCCGCTCTCCAAAGGAATGTTTCAGGCAAGCTGTAGGTAAGGAGCCAGATCTCAGCCTGGCAGGAAGCCACGGAAGCTGTTCTGGTGACAACAGATGCTTCTCCCTGCAGGGCCTTGTGTGCTAATTGTCAGTATGGGTCTCAGCTACCTACATGAACGGACAGTTTCCTTTCTTTTCTGCACGTCCAAAACCCTTCTCCTAATCTTCCCCCAGCCCCTTTCGCTCTAGCACAAGTGTTCCACTCCAGGCCTTCTTAGGGAGTCACAGAGGTATAACAGCTTCATCAAAAAAAGCTGGAGCCCTGGCTGGGTAGCTCAGTTGGTTAGAGTATCATTCCGACACGCCAAGGTTGCAAGTCCAATCCCTGGTCAGGGCACATACAAGAATTAAGCAATGAATGCACAAATAAGTGGAACAAATCGATGTTTCTCTCTCTCTCTTGCCCACTTTCCCTCTCTCTCAAATAAATTAAAAAAAAAAAAAAAAAAAAAAAAGCTGGAAGTTATCAGTCAACATATCCCCATTTCTCATGCCACCTCCCACTGGAAGTCAGGTGAGTTCTTCTAGCAATAAAAATATAACAACTACCAATTATCCAGCATTTATTGTATTAGACACTGTGTTTAGTGCTTTATCTGCTTTATCATGTTGAATTCTAGACGCAGGTACTATATAATTACCCCTATTTAAAATGACACAACTAAGGCCCAGGGAATTTAAGCAAATTTTCTAAGATCACACAGGGATTATGTTGTGAATCTGAACCCAAGTCTGTCTACCAAGTCCATGCTGTTAGCCACTAGACTACTATCTCCATGCGAGGAACTAGAGACAGGGGAAAGAAAGTAGCACAAGAGGAAAGAGGAAGAGCAGTGGTGAGGTGGGAGGTAAATCAGTCTCATGAATCAAGCTTGAGTGGTGGGGATGGGGACATCAAGAGCACGAGACAGGACATTTCCCCAGGGAAACAGGGACTAGGAGGCCTTATCAGATGAATCACAATTTTATAGCAAGACCAGGCAGCTACCAACTCTTTTCTTTTGACACATTCTCTTCTCTTGGTTTCTGGAACACTGGCCTTTTCTGTGATTCCTCTTACTTTATTATTATTATTATTTCGATCTTTTTGTTAATCTTCACCTGAGGGTATTTTTCCATTAATTTTTAAAAATATGTTTTAATTGATTTTTCAGAAAAGAAAGGAGAGAAAGACAGAAACATTGATGTGAGAAACAGCGATTGGCCACCTCTTGCACGGCCCTCACCCGTGACAGAGCCTGGAACTGGGCACGTGCCCTGACTGGGAATCGAACCAGGACCTCTCGGTCCATGAGCCACACCGGCCGGGCTGCATTAATTTTTTAGATAGAGTGGAAGGGAACAGAGAAACATCGATGTGAGAGATACATCAATTGGTAGCCTCCAGCACAAACCGGACTGGGGCCAGGGATCAAACCTGCAACCCAGGTATGTGAGCTTGACTGGGAATTGAACTAGAGACCCTTCAGTCTACAGGCCGATGCTCTAACCACTGAGAAAACTGGCCAGGGTGAGTCCTCCTACTTTAAAGATTATTCCTTCTTAGTATTCCTTGTGAGTTCATCTTCCTTTGCCCATTCCTTAAATGTATTCTCTGAAGTTCTGTCTTTAGCCACCTCCCCCTTTTATTCCTTATACATTACACATTAATTCTTAATCATTCTAAGGGTTTTAACCATCCTCTATACCCTAAATCTATTTTTGATACTCTAAAATTGACCTCTACCTCTGGTAACCCTCTGTAAATCACAAGACATTCCTTAGTACTTATCTCTGTGCATACTGGCCTAGTCTGTTAGACCAGAACGGCAGGCCTGGGGTTTGTCTGTCTCTCACTTTCTAGTATCCAGGACAATAGCAGCTCCATAAAAGTTTAATAAATGATTAAAAGTAGACCCATAGGCTCAGCATTTATATTTCAAGTTACCTGGTTTTCTTTTACAGAAAGTCTGAGAGGTAACAGCAGATGAAGAATTTCATTTCTTTTCAGGTTTTCATAGCCAGCAACAAAAACTCCTGGAAAAAAGAAGCAGAAGTAGCCGTGACAAAACGCTAGAAAGATTCCGGACCATGGCTGGCTCTGGAAACTCCACCAAATCCGCTGAAGCAAAGATAAATTCCGTTGTCGCTGATATGCAACCTTGTACTGGGGGAAGGAAGAGATCTAGAACTTAGTGCTGATGGGGCACAAAGTGACCAAGGGGCCCTCAGAAGGGTGGGCTGGGTCCCACCCTTCTCTGGGCTGAGCTCTTGAGTCCCAGCTTGGGTGGGAGTGCACCTCCTCACCTTTGTCACCAACCCATTCAAGGACTCGAGTGGCTCCTGGGAGGTCGAACGCATGGAAATCCTGGTACCTGCATGATGGGAACACAGTGTCACACGGTGCACGGCACGTTACTGTTCCAGAACCCTGAGGTGGCAGCATGCTTCGGGGCTGAGGCCCAGGCCCTGGAGCCAGACAAACCCGGAATCAAGCCTCATTACACATGTTGCTCCCTGCGAGATTGGAATCAGGCCAGCCACAGTCCCCGAGCCTCGCTGCTCGTTGTAAAACGGAACTCCCAGGGCACCTAGACTTCCCAAGGTTGACGTGAAGAATCCGGGAGATAGTAGGGAGTTCAGCTCAGAGGCTGGCGCACAATAACCGGCCCCTGATTACCACCCCCCACAAACTGCTCTCACTAGTATCTCACACACCTGGGCGCACGCAGAAACGTGCCACTCCCCAGAGGCCCGGGCGGAGTCCTCCGCCCGCCTCGCCCCGCCTCGCCCCGCCCCGCCCCGCCCGCCCCGCCCGCCCCGCCCGCCCCGCCCGCCCCGCGGCCAGCGCCGCCGGCCAGACCAGGATCCCCTCCCTGCTGCGCCTCGCGCCGCCCAGCCCGCGGCAGACGCGAATACGCTCTCCCAGGCCTACACGACTTACAAGCGCAAGGATTCCACCAGCCAGTCCTCTGCGGGATCCATGGCAACTGTCGCTTCCGGTACCCCACTTCCGCCTCAGAACCTTCCTGGGCGGGAGCGGCCTTCTCGCGAGGAGTGGGTGCGGCCTGCTCTAACGTGGAGGGCGTGGCTTCACGCAGGGGGCGGGGCCTACAGTGGTCGAGTGCCGCCGTAGCCTCGCTGGGTTGGGGTCGGGGTTCTCCCCGGCTAAAGTTCCGGAAAAATGACGTAGAATCAGGGATTCCCAGGATGTCAGCTCTGAGTGGGGCCCGAGGAACGATATACTGTTCGCTTTACAACCGGGTATTTGCAGATCAGAGGGCCAAAGGCCAGGTAAGATACAGGATGCCCAGTTAAACTAGAATTTTAGGTAAACGACGAATAATTTTTTCTTATAAGTATGTCCATGCAATTTTAGGCCATCTTATACAATTAAAAAAGGGGATTGCTTATCTGAAATTCCAATTGAACTGGGTGTCCTGTATTATTTGCTAACTCTGGCAACCCTACCGAAAGTCAGAGAGAAGGCAGCAGGGTAGGATCCCAGCTGGGCTCTCACCTTGATATGCGCTGGGGGCGCCCCTCAAAGCCTGGCGTGGGGATGAAATGAATGGAATAAGCAAAGCCCCATGTAGTGTAGGCAGCTCTCTTTTATGGGCAAGAAAACGGGAGAGACTTGCTTGTGCCAGTAGGTGGCAGAGGCGAGCGTGGAACCAATTGTGCGGCACAGGACCTGGCATACAGCAGGTGTTGAGTACCTGTTTGCAGAATACGCTAAGGAGTAGGAGTCTTGAGTCAGTGCCAGGCTGGTGCCATGGAATGCTCTGGGCTTTTTGGAGCCAGCCCCATTTCACGGACCGCCCTTTTCCTTCCCATACCCTCAAACATTCTGGAAGGAAAGGACCAGACAGTCCATGTAAAGAGCAAGGTTTTTATTCACAACTTCAACAGGGAAGCAAGAAATACAGCAGGAACATAATTTGTCTGCGTTGGCGATATTCCTGGTGACCCAACCAGTAATGGAGTAAAAGAGATTTGAGTCCAAGATTTACATCCAAATGGGGCCACTAGGACGGTTTCATTCAGCACCTTCCCTGGGTGGGCACAGCCTAAGCCACGCTGTCGCGTCTTCCTCATTAACGACATCACTTCTGCAGCATTTGCACCAGCAGCCTCCTGTACTGAAGGGGAACACAGAGGAATTGACCTGGGCAGAGGGGGCAAATGATACGGGTATCCTGCCATTCCTAAGTGCTAGGCGTCCAGAGAGTTAGACAGGGACAGGCTCCAGCTGAGGCAGGCCCCTCCAGCAAGCACCTTTCTTCCTGAAGGGGTCCGGGCAGGTTTTCTCACAGTAACAGCTCTAACCTCACAGGGTGGTCACGACAGTCAAGGGAGATCATGGAAGTAAAATCCAAGTATGGTGACTGGCCCTCTGCCCGTGTCAGTGTTTCCACTCCCCCAGACCCCACCTCTGAAGCCAGTCTCCCAGGGCTACAGGCTGCTTCCTCTGAGATTCTCTTGTGGGTCTTCAAGACCAGCAGCTCCAGAGGTAACACAGTCTCCCTTCAGACTCAGCCAGCTCAAGCTCCTGGCCCTTTCATCCCCAGGGGCGGGTGGTTCTGTGCATCAGCAGGGTCAGGAAGGTTGACTGCAGCTGGACCTTCTCTAGGGCACACCCCTTCCTTTTTTTGAAATGTCTGCACCATATGCTATGCACAGTGGGGGACACAAAGGTGAGCCAGCAACAGGTGCCTCCAGGGAGCTCACAGACCATACTAGCTCCCGTTTACTAAGTGCTTTCTATGCAACTGTGCCACGCTGAGCACATGACATGGGCTCATTTAATGGGAGATGGACACTATTATCCCTATTTTATGGACGAGAAGATGAGGCTTAGAGAGGTTAAGTGACATTTCTAAGGTCACACAGCTAAGTAGGTACGTTTTGAGCCTAACACACTGTCACGAGAACCTACATCTACCACCTCACTGCCTTCCACACACAGCAACAGAGTACCAGGAAAAATGGTGTGGGACAGAAACAGCTCCAGGAGCAGGGAATGGCTAGAGACTAAGGCTGGCTTGGCTTGATCTTTTGGGCCTTGAAACCCCACAGGTCAGAGGTTTACAACTAAGGATGAGTTTAACTCTCACCTCTGTCCCCTCACCACTGCACCTCTGGCAATGTCTGAAGACATTTTTGGTTGTCACAACTGGAGAGGTGGGGAGGGAGGGATGCTCTAGTGAACAGAGACCAGGGATGCTGCCAAACTTCCTACAATGCATAGGACAGCCCCCACAACAAAGAATTACTCAGCCCATAATGTCAAGAGTGTTCTGAGGTTGAGAAACACTGCCATAGGTCACTGAGGCAGATGACAGACTGGGAAGAACACTGGTCAAGGTGAACAAGGTCGGACTCTTCTCTCCCCTTCTGTGGGCATCAGTGTCCCAACCCTAACCACAAGCATACACAGGGCACAGCAAGGGTGGACAGCTGGGGTGTCCTGTGGGTGGACTGTGGGAGGAAGGTCCAGCTGCTAGAGGCTGGATAATCCTAGGCTGGGCAATCAGTGAGGGGAAACTCTTCTCCTTCCTCTTACTCTGTGGGGTTTGCTGGGAAGGTCAGCTTCCTTTCTTTTTTTACTTAAAAAAAATGTCTTCACCTTCCTTTCTTTGAAGACCTCCCTCTTTCAGCTCTGGATCACAGGTAGAGCCTAGAATCCCTGGATTTCTGGGGCCTATTAGGCCCTGGTTAGGCAGGCCCATCCTAAACTCAAGGCTGGATCCAGGGGCAGCCCTGGCTGAGCCTCTCCCGGGGCCGAGGTGGGGCCTGGCTCACCTGGGTATGAGGGGCTGGGCTGCCGGGGCTTGTGCCCAGAGCTTTCTTCAGCAGGAGGATCCTGAACAGCTCATGACTCAGCTGTAGTCTCTGGTCCTTCAGGGAGACATCGGGAGCTGTCCCCAGTAGGGATGGGCTGGGGGCCTCCAGACTCTTCTTGCCCATGAAGTGACCTAGAGAGGAGGTGCCGAGGCACAAGGCAGTCAGGGAGCAAGGATCCTATCTCCTGTCACACAGGGAAAGTTCCTCATCTCTCCCACGTTTTAGCTCTCATGGAAGGAATATACACAACCTTCCTCCTCTTCACCAAGGAACCATAAAAACCCCTGGGTGGTGGCAGAGCCTGTCCCTGAACTTTTCCTGAACAGGTAGTGGTGGAGAGGATGGCGCAGACAGGAGGAAGTGGGATGGGCCGGGGCCAGGGATAAACTACCAGTTGGCTGCCTGCTTAGAAGAGGATGGCAAAGGGCAGGGAATGAAGTAGAGAATGAAGAGGCATCTGAAAGGAAGAGGTGCAGGGAGAAGAAACACAGAAGTTAGAAGAGTCCGTGGGGTCTTGCTTAAGGGAAAAGGCACCAGCTGGCAGGCAGGTGTAGGATCCAGCCTCAGCTCTGCTTGAAACTGGATGAGTGACCTTAGCCAACACACTGACCTGTCTGCGTCTCCAGTCCCCTATCTATTAAATCAGATGAGTTCCAGGCCCCCACCAGCCTCTGCACGAATTCGGTGGCTGAGGGGAGGCCAGAGAAGGAAACGTGGATAAGAGCGCGGTGGTGAGGGGCGCTTGCCCGGATCCCAAAGACTTACCGGTGGCCCAGAGGTTGCCCCGGGAGTGCACTCGGATTTTGCTGGCCCGGCTGCGGGGCTCCGGGAGATCCCAGCTGAGAGAGGCAGTGCCGGCGGCGAGCAGAGCGAAGAGCAGGACGCCACCAAACCACCAAGAACCCCCTGCCCGTAGGGCCATGGCTGCGCCCAGGCCACGCGCTGGAGCTGGAAGCTTAGGAGCAGCGAGCATCTGCTCCAACCTCCAGCACCCGCCTTCCCTGCTTTTAAACCCGGAGCCCCTGGGGGCGGAGCCTGTCTGAGGTGCCCGCCCCCTGGCGCCGGCCCCTCCCGCAAGCCCTTCGCCCCTCCGTGTCTGGTCAGGGCGCCCATGCAAACCCGCATTCCTGCCCCTGGATGCTCGGCCGAGCCCACCACCTGCAGGCTAAGGACCTGGCCCTCCTCTCCACTCTCACCGGCTTTCGGCCAACGAGTGACTATTTCACCTTGAACCCTCCCTCTATAAGGGTAAAAATGGGGGCGAGGATGCCTCCTCCCGTGTCCAGGTACTGGAGGAGCTCCCTCCCTCTCAGGGGCTCTGGGCACCACCAGAAACCACTGCAGGCGCTTGGGGTGGGAAACGGAGTGACGGGGGGATAAGGAGACCCGCCCCCACGGGGCTCTGCTGAGGAGAGCTATCGGGTGGGCAGGGGGAGGCAGAGCTCTGGGTCCGGGGAATGAGCTCTGGACCAGAAGTCCATACACTAGCCGCGTGACATCCTAGAACCTCGCTTTCCACGACTGTAACATAGGAATAACTGCAATGCCCTATTTTAAATACTTTTACATTTTTTAGTACAATTCTTTTTTTTTTTTTAGAGAGAGAGAGGAAGGCAGAGGAAGAGAGAGAGAGAGATGCATCGATCATTGCCTCCCACATGCACCCCAACCTGGGTGTGTGTCCTGACCTGGAATGAAACCCACCACCTTTTGGGGTACAGGATGACACTCAACCAACTGAACCACACCGGCCAGGGCTTTAGCACAGTTCTTTGTTTGGCTAAAAGCAGCAGTCCTACAGACTGCCCACTGACACATTCAGCACTGCTTCCTCCCACGGGGCTGTCCAGTCTTTCTTAGAATGAACTTCTGGGTCAGTGGCATCACTTTATGACTAGGCAAAAAGGCTGTGCTCCAGAATAATACATTTCCGTTGGCTTAAATGTGTACTAAACACCAATGATCACAGCACTATGCCAGGCACAAGAAGGAGAGGAGACAAAGGATAATTCTCTGCTCCAAAGGGAGTTTACCCTCTCATGGGAGAGACAGGAGTGATGATGGAAGAGGGGGGTGCAGACCAACCCCTGGACTCTAGATCCTTCCCTGAAACACTGCAAAATATGGCTGTAACAGAACCTGCTCAATAATGGCATTGCTATTAGGCCTGCTAGCTCTATGGACCACCACTCCAAAAGAAGTGTATACAAGAAGCTGCTTGTCATGCTGAGCTCCCAGGAGCATGACCCACAGGACAGGGACACTCCTCTTCCAGCTGTGCCTTTCCCCCCAATCTCCTTGCTTCTCATCTCCCACCCTGGCATTTATACCTCTCTGCATCCTTGCACTGCTTAGCCAAGGTGTGCAGATATAGCTCTTCTCACCTCCCCATAACAGTCCTCCCCCTTGCATCAGCCACACACCCATCCCATCTTCTCTGGTCCTCAGATGCAGTAACTGTGGGAACACACAGGAGCTGGCACTGAATGCTGCCTCACTGAAATGCTTGAAGGAAACTTATTTGGTAGGTTTATCTCTCACTTTATGGCTGGAAGCAGCTCAGAGGTGAGTCACTTGCCCAGACATCACACTAGACGCAGACTTCAGGTCTGTCTGGACCACTCTATCAGGGCAGATGCTGCTTTTCCTAAACCACACTCACGGTTTTTTACCCTCTCAAGTGTGAAGATCAAGTTCGTTTAGATTCCTCAGGGGAGAGGGAACGGGCACTGCATTTCGAGTTTCACACCTCTCTTCAGCAGGTAACCCTGGGATTCTGCTCTGACAGGTTCATTTACACTTAGGCCAAGCCTCCCCTGAAACGGTCAGTTCACAGCTCCAAGCCTGACCACAGGTGCCCCAGGGACCACTTTATCTGTCAGCCTAGCACAGGACAAAAGGGACTCTGAAGACCCCGGACAAAGAAGCAGGGCAGCAGCTCCACAGCCAGCTACAAAACACTGCCTCAGGAATGAGAAGCATTGGGCACAGCAGAGGGCGGTGTGCCCGAGATAGCACGTCTCAGCGCGATCTGGGAGCACGAGCCTCTGGGCTTAGAAAAGGACCTCGACTGGCGACTGCCTGCTGTTCCCCAAGTCCACTGTCACGGCAAGAGAAGTCCACAAGCCTCCTGCTATCCCACTGTGAAGACGGACAGTGAGCCATGTGGAGATGCACGGGAAGTTCTGAGCTCACTCGTGACCCTTCTATGTAGTGCTGTAACTGTATGAAAGAGGAGACACTATTGTTCCTATAATGCAAACTTAAGAAAAAGCGAGATAAAATATTCTCAGCTGGTAAGGATAAGAGGTTGGATATAAGAGACCTCAGGGAGATTTTTATCAGAACGAAGAAGAGGTATGAGGTTTTTACGTTTCTTAAGGGGCCATGAGTTTTAAAAGATTACGGAGCACTCTTTTATAGGAAAGCTAGGAGACAGCTCCTGTCTGTCTAGGAGGGTAGCCAGGTCATCTGTGAGGTGGCGCTCAGCAGAAGCTGCCAAATTATACCTACTCTGAAGGATCATCCTTTGAAACAGCTCATAAAAACCATTAGGCTAATAAATACAGGGATTAATGAGCAACAGCACACGGTACCCTTGCAATGAGGTCCCAGAAGAGAAATCTCTTGCTCCCTGATACCATTACCGTTGGTTTTTATTCCATTATGCCTATTCCATAAAGCACAGACATGATCGTTTCCCTCTTTACATTAACCCCAAAGGAACTGAGAATTATAGCAGACAACAGAATCTTTTGATGTGCCTTATCATCTATTTTCTCATCCGTTTCTCCTCCCACACTTATGTCAATCCCAAATCCTTCAATTATTTTATATCTCATCACATATCTTGTATTTTTGTTTGTTTGTTTGTTTTTATCCTCACCCGAGGACATTTTTTTTTCGATATTTTGTTCAGATAGAGTGGGAGGGAGAGAGAGAAACATCGACGTGAAAGGGATACATCGAGTGGCTGCCACCCACACGACCCAATCAGGGCAGGGGACAAACTGCAACCGAGGTACGTACCCTTAGCGGAACCGAACCCGGGTCTCTCCAGACCGCAGGCCAACACTCTAATCTCTGAGCCAAACCGGCCATGGCTTATTTTGTACCTTTATGAGCCGCTCCAATTCCTTTTGGAACAACGCAGGGTGTAAATAAGTCTAAACTGTGCAAAGCACTGTGACAGGGACTAGGGGACAGCACAAGGATGAATTGGAGGCTGGTCTTGCCTTAATGCCTTCAGAGAGCTGGTTGGGAGTGGGACACACATCACACAATGTCACAGAGGAGCACGAACAAAGTCTGGCAGCACAGAGCAGGAAGCACTATACACTTGAGAGCTTAGTTGAAGAATAATTTTGAGCTCCCTGTGCATCTTTTGAATGCTGCACCTAGGATCCTAAGTGGAAAAAATCTGTTTCATGTACCCCTGTTAAGGCACTGAGTTTCTGGCAGAGGAGGGACGTAGCCTTACTCATTTTACATCCCCAGGGCCTAGCCCAAAATCTGGCACAGAGTAGATGCTCAATAAATGTCTGAGGATGAGAAAGCTTTTAGCAGGTAGAGCAGTGAGCTGACACTCCAGGGAGAGTGACCAGCAGAAGCAAAGACTGGAGGTCTGTACAGTGAGACCAATGTCAAGGGTATAAGAATGCGGGCTTTCCTTAAAGCTGAAGCTAGAAAAATCCTCAGGTCTTCGAATGACACTTGGAAGGCAATGTCTTCACTATTTTTTGATAGCACCTGCATATTCTGGTCTCTCAAACTTCTTGGTCTGGAACTGCTTACAGTCCTAGTGAGGGAGGATGGTGAAGGAGCACCTTGAGGAAGGCAAATAATCCATTTAGCTGCTAGAATCAGCTGGATCATTTCTGAAGCTCAATAGAGTGACACATCACAAGAAGGCTGCCTCAGATGCTGAGATGCCCCATGTTCTAAGGGGTCACTTAGACTTGGAAACACACATGCAAATGACCAACAAATGCACTCAAGGATAACAGAGCCTTTATTCCTAGACTAGGCTCTCTCAGATGCCTGAGACCTCCTAAGAAAAGTGACAACACCAATACTTCTCCCACCAAGAAAGAGCACAAAGAAGAGTCCAAGGACAGCACACAAAAGAAGAAAACAGAATTAACATGAACAATTCTGGAGCGGGAACATGTTGTTTAAATGGAACCATGGAGAGAGAAAGTTTTCAGATTTAAATTTGGCAAGACCAATACAATGTACTGAGTAAATAACAGGAAAGTACAAATTGTTTTAATGATTCATATGCTCTGCCCCAGAATAATAGCTCAATAATAATACTACCTTGTCTGGCCAGTGTGGCTTAGTGGTTGAGCATCAACCCATGCACCAACAGGTTGCTGGTTCAATTCTCGGTCAGGGCACACGCCCGGGTTGTGGGCCAGATCCCCAGTGGGGGGCATGCAGGAGGCAGCCAATCCATGTTCTCTCTCATCGATGTTTCTATCTCTCTCTCCCTCTCCCTTCCGCTCTCTGTAAAATCAATAAAGGGAAAAAGTAAAATAAATAAAATAATGCCACCCTCTGGCTCCAATCCATGGTCACGCTGAACCCTTGGGTCATGCTGCTGGGCACTACAGGGAGAAGGCGGCAGCATCCGTGAAGCAGAACTGCTGCACCGCAGGGGCTTGCAGTCTGATGGTGGGACTGGAGACCACATCCAAACACTTACACCAGCAGCGCAAGGCTGCAAATGCTGAGCGAGAGGAAGAACAATTACCTTGCGAAGAAAGTGAGACTTAGACAAGCAGAAATGAGATCATGAGATAAGTGGAAAAACAGCGGTACAGCCAAGGGTGCTTCATGTTGGCTGAATTCAAAGTATGAACTTCACACATAGGTGATACATAGGGCAACCAAATTTATGGTCCAAAAGAGATAATTCTCAGAGTAAAGGGGGTTCTGAAATAAATTAAGAGATGGAAATGGTCAAAAATGAGCACAAAATAAAAATAAAATAAAATAGGCAAAGACTGGCATGCTGCAGGGAAACTGGAACACACAGTCACCTTAGAGACAGGGAGTCACAGAGTGAGCTTCTGGATTCAGGTGATGACAATGGAAGGATGGGGGTAAATGCAGGACTGATGGGTGACTCAATATGGTGGGAAAATGAAAAGTCTAGGTGAACACACCTCCCAAGGAAAGATAAAATCTGGAAGGGAAGTCTGCAGGAACTACTGAACTTAATTAAGTTGAAAGACGGGCCAATCAAGTGCAAGGGCCCAGTGGGACAGAGGCAGGGACCAGAACTAGGGACCAGAACCAAGGACAGGAGTGGAAAACACCACGTAGACCTAAGTGGAGCAATGAGAGTGGATGAGTAACAGCCAAGAGACAATCCCGTGATCAAATTCTCATTAGAAGTTTTATCAATTCTTATTCTCTTCGATTCCCTTTACTCACAATGGTTAAGCCCCCCCCCCCCGCCCCCCCCCCCCGATCTTGGAGAGCTGGTAATTCCAGTAAAACACCAAATTAAACATTTGTAGTATTTCTTACATTTTCAAAGAACTTTTAAAATTCATTATGTTTACAAAAAACCTCCCAGTTTTAAGTCCTATATTTTAGCCACTAACCTAGACAATATAAAAACTGGGAACATAATACCTGCTGCTATACAAAGTATCTTTTTATTTTGGGCTAATAGAGCAATTCAAATATATACACATGATTTGATTACTTTTCAGAGAATTTAGCTGGTGCTTCCAACTAGAGCATCCAGCAAAGGAGGAAACACAGTAATTTCTCAAAACTGGGTATGAAAATATGCAAGTGAGGAAAATATTAATGTTTTCCTCCCAATAAGTACATAGGAAAGAGAAACTTGGATATCTGAGGATGCAAGGACAAGGATATTTACACTCGGGCAGCTGGGTCCCAGAAGTCCCCGGAGGGCTGGTTTGAAAGCAGAGCCAGGGCACTGACTCTGGGAGCAGCTAACCCACCCTCTGAAGACAGTGAGGAGGAAACGGAGTAAGTAGTCTTTCTGTCATCCACACATGGGGGCTATTTCAGCACTCTGTTTGGCTCTTAAGAAAACAAATGCCCCCAAGACAGGTTGGAGGGAGCACTTGTTAGCCGTTATTTGCCAAGTTTCAGCCTCTGTTGGGATCATTAAGAGCCCAAATCCAAAGCTTGCAGGCTAAAGCCTTGTTAATGGATTCAGGACGGCTCTCTTCTCCACAGGGGAGGCCTTCGGAAGATCAATTGTCCTTATTCTCATTCCATTAGCATTCAAGTATGAACTGATTTCCACTTCAGTTGAACAAATAATAGAAATTGTGCATTTAGCCCAAGACAGAAAACTTGCTTACTTTGAGATTTCACATTCATATTAACAACAAAGAATTAGGAGTATTCTGTGCTTAAAACAGATGGGCTTACCCTACTCTCCTACTTCCCTAACTGCCTCAGTAGTAAAAGAAAACACGCCTGGGCTTTGCTTTCGCTACGGGAACCCCGCCTCCTGAAGTCTGTAGGAACGAAGCCAGGAACTAAGGGGGCAGGTCCAGGCAAATCCCAGTTTAAAGAAAATGAGTGGGTGCCTGCCCTCCAGCACCTTCCTTGTCCCTCCTCCAGACGATGAAAAACCCTGGCTTCGGGCACATGGCTGCAAACGTCTCAGATGTAGAAAAGGTTAAGAGTCTACAGCAGAGTGAAATTTTCTGGACCCCTCAGCAGCACCAGCTGGGTTCACACACATCTGAGTCACACCCTGGTGAAGAATCAATTTTGTGACTAAGATTTCCTATGAACGTCAATGGCTACTTTGACTTCACAAAAACAAAAAAAAACAACAAACAAACAGTTCGTTTGTTGGCAGGATGAGGACAAACTTCTTAGCTGAAGGACTGTTCACATCGAAGCCTTTAACTCCCCAGGGGACGCTGGGAACCAGCACTGAAAGGCAAATTGCAGAAAGCTTTCCCGACAAACACAAGTCAGGGATAAAGGGTTCAATATGCAAAGTCTTTTATTTAAAATTTGAAACGTTAAGATTCCCGACCACCTCGGCACACCATTCCCATTATAAGGAGGAACGGCGGTGTCCATCTCGGGCAGAGCTCAGTGCTCCTTGACAGGCTCTGTAGGCACTTTAGAAGTGAAGCTTGGCTTCAAAATACAAACACTGGGGGCTTTGGCTCAACCTTTTAATATAAAAAATTCACTGATGTACAAAAATGCGAAAGTGTGACAATGACAACATGAAATCCTGCGTTGGAGTCCATGGAGAGCGAGCAGTGGTGCACGCACACCCGCCCACACAGACTCTGGTGTGGAAACATAAACTAATGCAAACCGGTGCTACCAAGAAGGGCCAGCATGTGTGTGCTCCACTCCACCAATCACAGACCAACAGCTATCGCAAACATCAGTAACAAAAAGTACGGCACCTCCCAGGAACAGCAAGGCAGCTTCTTACTCACGATGAACCAGCACAAATAAACCCAGCAAAAAGAGTACGGCATACTAGAAGAGAAACAGAACCACAGTCAGAGAAGACTCACACGTTCACAAGTCCTCAGACTTAATAAACTGGCCTTTGTGACCAGGATATATTATTCGACTATCCAATTAGTTTTCTCTCTCTTAAGTGTAATCCATTTAGTAGTTTCCAAACTTTAGCAAAAGATCACTTTTTTTTTTTTTTAATCCTCACCCCAGGACATTTTTTCCTTTTTTTTTTTTCTTCAGATAGAGCAGGAGGGAGAGAGAGGAAGAGAGAGAAACATCCACATAAAAGGAACACATTGAGTGACTGCCACCCACACGACCCAACCAGGGCCGGGGACAAACTGCAACCGAGGTACATGCCCTTAGCGGGAACCGAACCCGGGTCTCTCGGGACCGCAGCAGGCCGACGCTCTAACCGCTGGGCAAAACTGGCCAGGGCAAAAAGATCATATTTTTAATGAAACATAAAGTATAGGATCTTACCTTAAATTTAGGATAGTCATTCATGAGGATAGTCACAATCCCAATGTAAGGAACAAATCTAAACAAAGGAATAAACAAAAAATTGATTACCACAGAACTTCCTAAGTAGTTATTATCATTTACTGCACATTCTCAGTATCTTCCACAGAAAAGTAATTTTCAGTTCACAAAGTCCATTTGTATATACTATCGTCCTATTAGATCCTGTCAACAGCCCAATGATAGGGGTTAGCAATATAGCCATTTTATAGATGAGGAAACATGATCATGCCCACTGCACGTGGCTTCTACGCAGCAGAGCGTGTACTGGGTCAGAGGTCTTATTCATCTATTTGGTGACGAATTCTACCTGCTGATTTAGTGCTGGGGGCTGGGTTGTGGCCATAACCTTCAGGGAGCTGTCAATCTAGTTGGGGAGACAAGCAAACACAGCCAGAACATTACTAGTTACTTCATGCAACGTGTCCAAAAAGTGAACGCAAGAGTCCAATTCCAGTACTTCATTAAGATTTCCTCATCCTCTCATTTATTAACCACCTGTGATCTGGCTTTGGCTCTCTTACTCCTGAAACTTTCTAGAACAGTTTAAATCACTATATGCAGCAGTCCAGTCTCAGCTCTCATTTCCCTTTACTTGGCAGCATTGGATTGATAACCACAAACTTGCCCTTGAAACCCTTCTCCTTGGTTCTGTAACACACTACAAATCTATTTCTCCACCCACCTCTTGACGGCTACACCTTTGTGTTTTTCACTAGTTCTTTCTTTCCTGTTGCCCTTAAACTAGGTAAAACCACTTGTTCGGTAATCTCATAGCACCCAACATAGATCCTTTGAAGTCTCCATCACAATTTTAATGGCATATTAGTTGTATAACTAGCTGTATAGTGTCTGTCTCCCCTACTAGACTCTAAGCTCTATAAGGGCAAAAACAATGCCAATCTTGTTACCCACTGTATCCTCAAGGCCAAACATAACACCTTGCACACAGCAGGCATCCAGTAAACACTGCCTGATTTAATGTTTGAATGTCCAGGCCTCTTCTTTCTCTTTCCCTTGGGGATCTCTCGTTTTCTCCCAGGTTTTCAGTTCTCCCCTCAATGCAGAAGGCTCCTCAACAGCATAAGAACTCGGGAAGAAAGAGAAAGTTAGCAGGGTACCCACGATGTGGCAGGAAACTGCCCCGTACATGAGTGGCCTGGGTGATACTGTCCTGGACCCTGTCCTGGAGAAGGGGGGTGGGCTGAAGGAGACACTTTATTTATTTATTTATTTTTTTATCCTCACCCGAGGATACTTTTCCATTTTTTGTACAGATAGAGTGGGAGGGAGAGAGAGGAAGGGAGAGAGAGAGAGAAACATCGACGTGAAGGGACACATCGAGTGGCTGCCACCCGCACGACCAACCAGGGCCGGGGACAAACTGCAACCGAGGTACATGCCCTTAGCGGGAACCGAACCCGGGTCTCTCTGGACCGCAGGCCGACGCTCTAACCGCTGAGCCAAACTGGCCAGGGCTGAAGGAGACACTTTAAAATAGCCCAAATACTTTTATTCTGAACATTCACAACCACTGCACCATGCCAAAGGTGCACCATCAAAGCCTTGGGCAAACTTGAAAAAACAGAAATTTTGTCTTTGGTATATTTCAGTTCCTTTTAAGAACTCCTCTTACTTCCTGTCTCCTGTCTTATCCTGTCCTGCCCCTCTTCCTTTTGGCAGCTTTACTAGACCATCTCTCTCCACCATCCCAAATTCCCATTCCATAAGTTGACATTTCTTAAAACCTAGACCTCCTCTGTCAGAATCACTTATATGGCTTTTAAAAAATGCAGATCACATATTTTCTCCAGATTTACTGAATCGGAGCATCTCTGGAAGGTGGGGCTCAAATGATGTTTCTGCACATTGAAGTGCCAGAAACACTGCTACAGACTGACATGCACAGAGCAGACATGTATGTGGTGGCGAATATTATCCCTTCGCAGGGCCCACACTTTAGTTTCCACCCCTCACGTTGTTTTCTAAGAGCTGAAAACAACGGTCGCTACAGAATGGTACAGCTAAGCCAGGAGTGCAGATAAAGGTTCTCTGTGTTTTTAATACACATATTTTTCTTTTTTTTTTAATCCTCACCTGAGGACATTTTTGCATTTATCTTCATCTTCAGATAGAGCGGGAGGGAGAGAGAGAGAGAAGCATCGATGTGAGAGAGATATATCGAGTGGTTGCCACAGACACACCCCAACTGGGGGGGGGACAAACTGCAACCGAGGTACATGCCCTTAGTGGAAACGAACCCGGGTCTCTCTGGTCTGCAGGCTGACGCTCTAACCTCTGAGCCAAACCCGCCAGGGCAGGCAGCTACTTCTGATGTGACGATCAGCCAGCCAGCAGCCATTCTCATGAGCAGAGACTCTCGCTGTCACCTCCTTACAATGGTATTGATGCTCAAAGAACCACAATCTTTGGCTCTCACTAATCACATAGTCTGCCATGGTGTGTTTGTAGTTATCCATGGACACATCGTTTTTCCCCTAAGATTGTTTTCTCTTTGCCACCATAAGTGAAATGGAAGCACCTTGATCTTTAGGAGTAATATAACCAAACATCAGACAGCATATGACAAGCAGTCCAAAGTCAAACATGATATATAGCACTGTTTCCCTCCATGGACAGAGACAGCAAAGAGTGCACAATACTGCTATCAGTCACCTTCCATTCAAATCAGATGCACTTTTTTCCTACCCTTAGCAGATGAAGTCTGCTAAAGCAGAGTTGGTACTAAGCAGAAGGTTTAATATAAGTAAACCAAATGCTACCCACAAGGCCACCTCCAACACCAGCCTGTGCTACCCTCTAGAAGGCAGAGTGTGAATATATACATGTCCTGAGTGTTCTGGGTCAAGGTGCTGCTGAGGCAGTAGCCTCCGAAGGAAGAAGCACCTGCTGAGGTTGTGGCAGAAAATACTTTTGTCAAATGTTAAAAGGGCTCTATATCTGGGAAGTTTGGACTCCTATAGCTGACTTAATTAAATAGGATAATTGTTTCTGCCCTAAAATAATCTGTTTCAAGTTAAGTAAAGAGCACATATCAAAAGCCTCATCCATAAAACTTATTTCAGCCAACAGAGAGCTCAATTACTCTGTGTTCCTTCCTTATATTTTTATTCCTCTTTTTAATGTCAGGATTCCTCTATTACCTGACCCCATCAGCTTTCATTCCTTTTTCCGGTTGATGTCAACTCTTGTTTGACTAGCAGGCCCTTTTGTGTTTTACAATTCCCTGACTTTAGAAAGAATCGCCCCTATTAAATATTTAGTTGGTTCAGTATTAGTTTCATTTTCTAAAATTGTTTTCATTGCATGTTACAACATGAGTGAATCTTGAAAACATTATTATGCTATGTGAAAGAAGCCAGACATAGAAGATCACAGTGTAAGATTCTGTTTATGTAAAGTGTCCAGAGCAGGCAAACCGTAGAGACAGAAAGCCGATTAGTGGCTGCCAGGGGCTGCAGGGAAAGGGGGTGGGGGAGCGCCTGCAAATGATCCAGTTTTCTTTCTGGGCTGTGGAAATGTCCTGGACTAGATAGTGGTGATGGCTGCGCACACCTTGGGAATATAATAAAACCCAATGAATTGCACTTTAAAATGGTGAATTTTATATCCTAATATATGTAGATTACATCTCAACAGTTTTTTTTTTATCTTGTTTTATTTAGGGCCTCAAGCGTCAGTGCAAAATTTTTTTAGTGTGCAGGCAGCTGTTTGGAAAAAAAAAAGTGTTTTTAATGCCTAAAGACATGTCCCACAGTTACAGAATAATCTGTGAGAAAACTCTATTCTCAAGGTCTGGGTACAGTCTGACTTTGAAATATCAGTTTAGGGCTTTATAAACACAATTTCCACAAAAGGAGGTGATATGCCCTATTAAGTGTCAAGGTAAGCGATGATATAATCAACGGAAAGTGAATTTGTGCAGTTAAGGTCCTGTGCCCTGCTGTTCATGCCCAGATGTTTATACCTCACGGAAACTTACTTCCTTCAGAGAGTACTGGGCTATTATATTTTTTTATTAAAAGCCATAGAAAAGACTGTACCTTTAATGTTGGAATTTTAGAAATAACACCATATATCGTTTAGGTATGGTGATGCATCTTTTACCCAAACAGGGGCCATCGTGAGCAGACAGAGCTGCATTAAACACCTAATGATGAAGATCCAATTAAAGGAATGCTCTGTCAGGCTGGTTGGAATATAAATGAAACACTAAGGCAAAATTTGTCAAAAGCCTTACATGTCATCCAATGATTCCACCTCTAAGAATTTACTGTGAAGAAATGATTCAGCAGAGGTATTGAAATATGTGTAACAAGGATGCTCATCCTAACATTGTTCATAATTTTTAAAAATAAAAAGAATAAAAGCATCCAACAATAGGAGAATATTCAAATAAAAATATAGTCTATCCATACAGCGGAATAGCATACAGCTCTGAAAATGTTGATATGGAGATAAATCTTTTGATTTGCAAAGATACTGATTAACTCTGGGGAATGAAAAAAAGGTTATAAACTGTGACCATTCTTTCCCTACATACAAAATGTGCTTATGTATGTACACACACACACACGTATATTAACAATCTACATCTTTATACATAAAGGCTAAAAAAACATACACCAAAAAGTTAAGTATTTATGAAGAGGGAGCAGAAAAAGAGAAGTGGATTTGCTCTTAGATGAGTGTTATTCTCCTTATGTTACTACATGAATCTGTACATTTCAAATGAAAGTAAAAACAGAAAGACTCAATGAGGCTGATGAGGTTGAATGACCATAACAGCAGCATCCCGGGAACTGAGAGAGATGGGGACAATGATTTCTCAGAAACACTGATGATCTAATTTGAATGATAAAGGTATGTCTGGCTCTGTCATAGAAAATGATGCTCGCTTGAACTGGCGGCATGCACAGAAAAACCCCAGCACTGCAGAAGACAAAAACACGTGGGTGCCTATTCTGATCAGAACTCTCTGGCCCCAAACTGAGCATCTCTCACGCTTAACAGTGGCAGCTTTCACCTAATAACTTGCACTTACTTCTCTATGGAAACCAGGTTCTTCAGTGTGATGGCCTGTTTGCTAGAGCAGTGATTTTCAACCAGTGTGTTGCACGAATTTTTAAAACATGCAATACCTGACTATTTAGTCAGGGGCACTGACCTCTTTTCTCTGACCAGTCAGGGTCGTGCAGGAGGCAACCAACTGATGTGTTTCTCTCACATAGATGTTTCTCTCTCTCCCCCTCCCTTCCTTCTACTTTCTCTTAAAAAAATAAATAAATAAATGGGAAAATATCCTCAGTGAGGATAAACAAACAAACAAACAAAAACCAACAACAGCTCTGGCGGGTTTGGCTCAGCAGTTAGAGCATCGGCCTGCGGTCCCTAGAGACCCGGGTTTAGTTCCTGCTAAGGGCATGTACCTTGGTTGCAGTGTGTCCCTGGCCCTGTGGTTGGTTGTGTGGGTGGCAGGCACTTGATGTGTCCCTTTCATGTCGATGTTTCTCTCTCTCTCTCCCTCCCACTCTACCTGAACAAAAAATGAAAAAATGTCAAGTGAGGATAAAAAAAAATGACAACAGCGTCCTGGCTAGTTTTGCTCAGTGGTTAGAGCATTGGCTCGAGGACCAGAGAAACCCGGGTTCAGTTCCTGCTAAGGGCATGTACCTCAGTTGCAGTTCGTCCCCAGTCCCGGTTGGGGTCGTGCAGGTAGCAACCAGTCGATGTGTCTCTCTCACACTGACATTTCTCTCTCTCTTCCTTCCACTCTGTCTGAATATGAATGCAAAATTGTCCTCGGGTGAGGATAAAAAAAAAAAAAAAATGACAACAGCCAACACAACAGCCATCTGGTGTGAATGAATCAAAATTATATAATTTTTTTTGTTTTAGTAATTAATTCATGTGTGGCATGAGATGGAAAAGGCTGAATATCACTGCGCTAGAGGAATCACTCTGAACCCACACTGTCCGTTCTAGGGCAAAGGAGCAGATGCTCTCACAGTGGTAAGAGCGCCATGTGGCATCTGAACAGTGACAACCAGCAGCTCCCCATTTCAGAACTGTTTTGCCTGCAATTTTGGTGTGATGGGTAAGAAAGTGGGCTCCAGGGTCAGCCAGCCACTTACCATCAGTGTGACCTCAGATTAGCAACCTAACTCGTCTGTGTTTCCTCATCTATAGAATGGAAATATTAGGGTTGTTCTGAGGTTAAAAAAAAGTAATACTTGTAAAGCGCTTAGAATGAATTGTCAGCACATAGTAAGTCCTAATAAATGTCAGTTATTGTTAATACTATTAAAAACATGAAGGTAGTTACAGTCCCATACTTCCTCATACCAATCACTTACAATTCCTGTCCTCCACTGATCTGCTCTCCTGATAAAATCGGAAATAAACAGGCTTAATATAACTTTTAAATTTCATTTGACCTCAATAATTTCAAGACTAGAAATAAAACAGTATGGAATAAATGAATATGATCAAGTTAATTTAGATGAACACTTTAAGTTACTGAGTAAATACTTAAGAAAATAAGTTTCACGAAGCAGGATGAAAACTGCTCTGGCTCCCCAGAGCCCAGCGGCGTACAGACATTAGAGTACACGGACGGGTGCCCAGTAACATCTCTTGCCTGATGAATATTTAAACTGACACTCCATTCATTATCTCATCACTAATATTTGATTCTTTTACTGTCCCCCATTTTCTCCCCTCTAGAGCAGTACATCTGAAGTTTTACATGCATTTTAAGAAGGATATTTTTTCAAAGGATACAAGGTGATCCAGTAGAACTAGGACCCAACCATTATGTTCAATCGTATGTGATCAGACGATACAAAGAGAGGATCGTGTTTACAGAGACATGAAAAACTTAGTAAGTGCTTCTGTCTATACTTACCCCCTTGCTCTCCCCACAACATCTTTTTTCTCTAGCCAATGTTGTCCTTGTTTATAGAGACCTCGGTCATCAACTGCATTATTGTCTCCTTTGGTCAAAAACTTGATATGTCCATTTTGCCTTAAAAGAGGAAGAGAAGCCCATGTCATCAAATACCTTCATGTCATTTAAAGCATAAAATGTGCTCTTGTTAACAAAAATCCCTGTGTAACTGTGGTATTCCAAGATCAAAAATAATTATTTATTTAGCTAAAAGGATGTTTATAGCTGTGTAATTTATAATAAGAAAAAACTGCCCTGGCCAGTTTGGCTCAGCGGTTAGAGTGTCGGCCTGTGGTCCGGAGAGACCCGGGTTCGGTTCCCGCTAAGGGCACGTACTTCGGTTGCAGTTTGTCCCCGGCCCTGGTTGGTCGTGCGGGTGGCAGCCACTCGATGTGTCCCTTCATGTCGATGTTTCTCACTCTCTCTCCCTTCCTCTCTCTCCCTCCTACTCTATCTGTACAAAAAATGGAAAAATATCCTCGGGTAAGGATAAAAAATAAATAAATAAATAAATATAATAAGAAAAAACTGAAAACAAGCTAAAAGTCTAACATTCAGGAGCTGAAATACTAAGCAAGCATTAAGGACGATGCTACAGAAGACTATTTAATGACATCAGAAGATCATACAAACTGTATTAAGTGAAGAAAAGATTACAAAATAGCATGTACAATATAATTTCATTTTATATTACAACAAACCACCTATTTCTTTGAAGTACAAAGAGCAAAGGCACACATTACACTGCCCCACAGGATATAATAGGCAAAATGAAGGTTATGGGAAACTACAGAATGACCCAGTTTTTTTCAACCAATAAGTTGCAGAGAACAAGAAAAGTTGGAAAAGGAATTTACATATTAAATAAGAGACTATAATAGCCATATCAACCAATTGTAACTGAGGACCATATCTGAATCTAGATTCAAACTGTTAAAAAAAAGCTCATTGATTATGTTTCACAGATATTTACTAAAATATTATATATATGACACGACATATTTATGATTGGATTCAAAATACTACAGGCAGGAGAGAGGGAAAGGTGGTAGTATCGGTGGGACAGGACTGACAGAATAATCATTACTGGGACTGGGTGACAGGTACATGGGAGTTCACTGTACTGTTTTGTTTACTTTTATGCATGTTTGAAATTCTCCATATTTAAAAACTAAGCAAAAATAATAGTACCTTACTTAATCAGAAACTTACTGGTTTAATTCTTCTGAAGAACCACGAGGTTTCTAGTAATTTTAAATTTTAATTGAAAGCAAAGTACATTTTATAGTTGATAAAAACTGTCTTAAAATTAATTCAAGTGTGCCTGGGTTAACCACTATACTAGAAAGAAGAAAATTAGCCCCAGACTCCTACTGACTAATATCCACTGAGATGCTAAGCCAGAAACTGGTTCGTCAGACACTAAATCTGCAGATGAAACTAAATTGGGAGGTGTTGCAAACATCAAAAACAGCTAGGTGCAAGCAGTCACGTTAAATATGAGATTGCAACAACAACAACAAATGCAAATATATACAGAGAAAAAGCATCTTCAGCTGACAACTCAGTAAGCAGAAGAATGTCTGACAGATGCTGGGGTAAAAGGGGACAGGTGCTGAGAGGGGCTAGCTGCACGCCTGACAGCCAGGAGCGGCAGGAAGCAAGAGTCAGTTCCAGCAGGAAGATAACAAAAACCACAGAGGCAGAAAAGTAAAATCAAACGGGAGAGGAGGACTGGGAAATGGGAAACTCTCCCAAGAAAGGATGGGAAAGGAAAGAGATGCCACAGGAGACTGGGCTATTCACAAAGACTTGATCTGCCGACCAACCAAACATACACAATTCTGCTCCCTAAAACCCCCCTCCCTGATATAGTCAGGAGAGACCACTTAAGCTATTTGCAAAAGCATAGGTCTCCTTCATCTACTTAAAACTGTAACAAATATTCAGGTGGCACCCTATTAGACCTCACAACTCACAGGCCCAAAATACTGGCTGATGACACATTTGTATCAAAGTTTCCCCTTGCCAGCACAGGGACCAAATATTTAATATTATCTACCTCTAAGGAGTTCAATACACTTACAATTTAATTAAACCATCGTAATACTGTGATGGCAGGAAGGAGGAAATAACCACTTTATAGATGGTTAAAGATAAACCATGTAGTATGTTTATAAAACAAAAAGAGGATTACCCCAAATTTAACATTATCTTTGGGTACTAGGATTACATGTGATTTTGCTTTCTGGATTTTCTAATTTACATAGCATCATGTGTAACAATACACATGTAATAGAATGTTAACAAGATGGAGATACATGAAAAAAGAAAAAGAGCTTTATATAATATTTACACATTTGCAAAGGTGCCTTATAGAATCAGCAGGTGAAGAAGGAAAAGAGGAATAAAGAGAAGAGAGAGCTCAGTTGAACAATTCCTACCTCTAGTCTTCTTAAAGCTCAGAATGATATTGCTTCTGAAAGAAACGAACAACAGTGCAAAAACCAGCCTGAAAACACCCAGGAAAGATTGACTACAAGACTTAATCAATTTTGGTTGTCATTTGGTCCCATATTTAAGAACAAGGCTAATATTAAATCAATGATTATTATAACCAGGTATTTTAGTCTCCTGAAAGAAAGGAGGAAATTGGAAACGTTGGAATATTAATAGCATCTGCTATTCAAACAGTCCTGCAGATCAAAGGCATCCCAAGAGTCAAAAACAAATCACCCAAATCCCCAGATTACACAGTACCACACCTTAAAATATTTAAAATTCTGTTTAAAATTACTTTTAAAACTTAACAAATCTGTAGTTGATAAAACAACTCACTGGATTTCAAAGGATCACACATAAAAATGGGCAATTTCTACTCTACCCAAAGCAGGACCTAGGTTTAAATTGATTTTTTCTCTGATAAACTCAGAGGAAAGTTGGTTCTGCATTGTCCACAACCAGTGCTGAGAACCAATAACCGAAATCCACTTGAAAAATCTGAAAAACGCTACCTGAACCAAATAAACTTTCACAATTCCAAAATAAAAAAGAAGTTATTCCTTCGTAGTCAACAATAGAATGCCATTTAAAAATTATCTCTTTCCCCCCTGGCCAGTTAGGCTCAGCGGTTAGAGCGTCGGCCTGCGGTCCGGAGAGACCCAGGTTCGGTTCCCGCTAAGGGCATGTACCTCGGTTGCAGTTTGTCCCCGGCCCTGGTTGGTTGTGTGGGTGGCAGCCACTCGATGTGTCCCTTTCATGTTGATGTTTCTCTCTCTCTCCCACTCTATCTAAACAAAAAATGGAAAAATGTCCTCGGGTGACGATTTAAAAAAAAAGAATATTTAGAGCTGCCTCATATTCAAGAACCTAAATCACTCCACCATTTCACTTCCCCTATGTGTGTCCTCCATGATAGTTCCTTTTTCCTTCATTTCTTTCTTTCCTTCCCTTCTCAAAGTTTTCCTTAAACCAGAAATACCACAGGCTTGAAGGGAGGGGCTGAGGAATATGTAGTTGGACAGGAAAGCACAGGCTTAGAACTCAGAGATTTCCTAATTCATTTCCCTAAAATTCTTTATATTACAGATAAGGAAACAGAGACTCAGAGAGGTGCTCTAAAGGTTTTACTATGTCCTTTCTAATTCTAAAATGCAAGAATCTATATTTAAAAGAGTAACTTAGATTTCAGAAATTTTCTTTGGAATTTGAAAAAGTTGATAAATTTATTCTTATTTAAAATGTCTGTTAGATTGCCTTAAATTTTTTATTTTTAGGATTAGGGCTTCTTTATCCATTACATCAGAAGATTCTATTTGGGATCAACCTTTATATCATTTGTGAGGTTGGGTTTATGCAACACACACACATACACACAGTATACTGTTCCTGTGGCTTTGTCTGCAATTCAGACAGCTGATATCACAAAAAGTGACAACTGTGTTCATTCATCCCCTCAGAGGCTCAGGGACCACTCCAGAAGGAAGGGGCCATGAGATTGTAAGAACTGATCACGAGGGGTACAGTGTTGGACAAAATGGTTTCTGGTGCTTGTCGTGACTGATGCCATTTTAAGCGAGTTGCTCTAAGTGACCACCAGGCCTGTATCATCTGAAAGGAATATTATTACATAGATAAATAGGCACATTAAGTTGCTTACTGCTTTGAAATTTGCAGGGTTACTAATCTGGTTGGGAACTAAAAAAAACCTACAGGGAGCCCTGGCTGGTTTGGCTCAGCGGTTAGAGCATTGGCCTGCGGTCCAGAGAGACCCGGGTTCGGTTCCCGCTAAGGGCATGTACCTTGGTTGCAGTTTGTCTCCGGCTCTGGTTGGTGGTGCGGGTGGCAGCCACTTGATGTGTCCCTTTCACATCGATGTTTCTCTCTCTCTCTCCCTCCCACTCTATCTGAACAAAAAATGAAAAAATGTCCTCAGGTGAGGATTAAAAAAAAAAATCATAAAAATAAATAAATAAATAAAAAATAAAAAAAGAGAAACCTACAGGGAAATAAATGAATTAATAAATAACGACTTAGTGCCCTGGCCGGTTTGGCTCAGCGGTTAGAGCGTCCGCCTGCGGTCCGGAGAGACCAGGGTTCGGTTCCCGCTAAGGGCATGTACCTCGGTTGCAGTTTGTCCCCAGCCCTGGTTGGTCGTGCGGGTGGCAGCCACTCGATGTGTCCCTTTCACATCGATGTTTCCCTTTCTCTCTCTTCCTCTCTCTCCCTCCCACACTGTCTGTACAAAAAATGGAAAAATGTCCTCGGATGAGGATTAAAATAAATAAATAAATAAATAAATAAATAAATAAATAAATAACGACTTAGTTTTCAAGTGTTCACCAAGCCTTCAAACATTCATAAAAACGAATGGAAGGAGGCCCTAGGAGTTTTCCACCCTTTCCTAACCTTTAGGCTATCAAAATTAAATACTATAAACACCAAAAACATTGAAATATTATAAAACAAAAAAGATATAGTTTGTACATACTTTTCATGAATCTTCAAGACTCGATGAACTATAGGAATCTCTCTTCCTTCTATTCTAAAAACAACAATTTCTCCCACTCGTATGGGATCTTCAACTCGATTCGTTAGGAAGAGAAGATCTCCTCTATGAAACGCAGGTTCCATGCTGCCACTGGGAGGGAAAGAAGAATATAATAGCAAAGAGAAAGTCTGCGATTAAATTTGTTTTCAAAATTAAATATTCAACAAAACAATCAAAAGTATCACCTCTGAAGTATACTCAATACTTTAACAAATAGTGACGACATAAATGTATATTGTTCTGAAAATATGGCTTCCTCAGATTGATGAATTACATTAAAGGTTTCTTTAGTTATTAGCATTCATCGACTAGTTCCATTTCAAGCATTACTATTCAAAGAAGCTTAAATCTTTGAAAAGGGCAATGCTACTAATTCTTTAACCTTTTAAAATTTCAAGTGACAAACAGAAGATTACAGAATGAACTTTATAAACATTGCCCTTATTCTCACTTCATCTGAAAACACTAAACATATTCAAATATTCAAATGAGAACTGGATCATCATCTTCTGCCATTTATAGAGATACAGACCAAGATGACCTTATGATTTCAAGCCATGAAGAAGGAAGAACAGCTCATCAAGTCAAAGAACAGTCAGCTACAGAGATAATGCTTGTGTTATCAATTTATTCATTTTTTAAAAAGAAACAAGAAAGAAAAACAAGGACAAAAGCAGATTTTTGCTTAAGAATTTCAGAAACGAACAAAGGATTCAATTCCATGGTAATTAGTGAGAGCAGACTTCTCACCTCTCACCTGTTCTACCCTATACCAAGCTCTTCAAGATATGTTCACTAATTAATGAACTTTGTCTTTCTATGAAGAAGGCCATCAGTATTAATTTTAGAGACTCAAGTTTTAGTTTTCAATAATAGATTTAGTAAGAAAATGGATAGACAGGGAATAAAAATCAAGACAGGAGTAACAACAAAGTCCAAACACTTCTGTTTGAAGACTCTGGTCATGCTATATAAAGAGACTGAAGCTCAGGGAGGCCTAAAGTTACACATCGAGAAAATAATGAAGGTGAGACTTGAATCAAGGGAGTCCAACAGAAATACACTCTCATGAATGCCAAATTGCCTCTGAGCCACTCTAGAATTTTAACAAATATAGCCAGTCTAGAATTTTAAGCGGGAAGTATCACGATAACATTTGCATTTAAGAACCATCACTTCAGAAGCTATAGAGTATAAATAAGACATTCAAATATTTATTGAACTAATAAGTTAAATGGAACAGATGAGAAAGTAGATTGGGAGACTACTTTGTTCAGGCTATTACTTATAACTGAACACTTGGCAAATATTAAAAGTGTTATTTTAAAAAGTGGACACAGTTTGGGGAAACAGTTAGAACATTGCCCTGAGGACCAAAGGGTCTCAGATTCGATCCTGGGTCGTGTGGGAGGCAACCAATTGACATGTCTCTCTCACATCTCTCTCCCCCATCTTTCTCTCCCCCATCTTTCTCTCCGCCCTCCACTCTCTCTAAAAATCAGTGGGAAAATATCCTCAGGTGAGGACTAACCAAAAAAAAAAAAAAAAAGTGGACACAGGAGAATAAGGAGGAAAATACTGAGAAAAGGATGTATATACAGAATTGTCTCAGTTATGTAAGAAATAATATACGTGAAAAAAGAGACCAAGCTGTTAACAATGAGTATATCCCAAAACTATGGATGACTTAGTTTCACCTAGATTTTTGTGTATGTTTTCAACATTTCATATCATGAAAATATCCTAACTTATTTCCTGATAAATAAAAGCATTTTTTTTTAAGGTCACTACAACAGGCCAGGCAGGAAATGAGAACTTGAAATAGAACAGCAGGGGGACAACTGTACAGGGTGGAACAGAGATTGGGAAAAGAACAAACTTGATGGTCAACTAGATATAACAGAATGACTCCTAGGTTTTTAACACTGGCAACTGAGCAGACGGCAGTCACAGGAAAATGAGGAAAAAGAACAGGTTTATGAAAAAAGATGAATTTCACATTCATTACGTGGAGTTTCAAGTGCCTAGTTAACATGCAGGTGCCGATGGCCAGAGTAGGGTGAAAACGAGAGTCTAGATGCTAGGGAAGAAAGGTAGATGAGAAATAAACAGATTTAAAAATTCAGATATAGATGACAACTAAACACAGGAAAAGTGTACAGTGAGAGGACCATTAAAAAAATAAACTAGCCTGGCCAGTGTGGCTCAGTGGATTAAGCTCATTCCATGGACTAAGAGGTTCCGGTTTGATTCCTGGCAAGGGCACATGCCCAGGTTGCCCGGGTTTCGGGCTTGATCCTCAGTGGAGGGCATGCAGGAGGCGGCCAGTTGATGTTTCTATCTCTCTCCCTCCCTCTCTCTCTTAAAAAAAAGAAAAAAGAAATAACTTGAGGGCCCTGGCTGATTTGGCTCAGCTATTAGAGTGTCGGCCCATGGATTGAAGGGTCTTGGGTTTGATTCTGGTCAAGGGCACATTACTGAGTTGCAGGTTTGATCCCCAGCCCCAGTTGGTTGGGGTTCTGTGGGAAGGCAACTGGTCAATGTGTCTCTCTTACATAGATGCCCCACCCTGCTGCCAATCCTTCTTAAAAAAAAAAAAAAAAATGGAAAAAATATCTTTGGGTGAGGATTAACAAGAAAAGAAAGAAACCAAGATAAACATTTTACTTTATTACTTTTTAATTTTACTTTTATTGATTTTAGAGATAAGAAGGGGAGAGGGAGGGAGGAAGGAAGAGGAAGAGAAGGGAGAGGGAGGGGGTGGAAGAGGGAGAGGGAGAGGGAGAGAGAGAGAGAGAAAGAGAAATACTGATTTTGTTGTTCTCCTCATTTATACATTTATTGGTTGGTTCTTTCTGGATGTGCCCTGACCAGGGATCAAACTCACCACCATGCCATATCAGGACCATGCTCTAATCAATTGAACTACAAGGCCAGGGGAAACTTTTTAACATTAAATAAATTATGCCTGGCCAGTACTCAGTGGTTGAGCATTGACCCATGCACCAGGAGGTCATCAGTTTAGTTACTGGTGAGGGCACAAGCCCTGGTTATGGGCCAAATCCCCAGTGGGGTGGGGCATGCAGGAGACAGCCGATTGATGTTATCTTCTCATCGATATTTCTCTCTCTCCCTCTCCCTGTCTAAAATCAATAAAGAAAAAAAAAATTTTTAAACAACAGATCTAGTCTCTTTTCATTTTTTTTCTTTATTCCACATTAGCAATCAGAAAAGTTTACTATATAACCTAGCTACCAAATAACTTAACCCAGAACTTTTTTTTGTTTGCTAATCCTCACCCAAGGATATTTTTCCATTTATTTTTATTTTTATTATTATTATTATTATTATTTTTAACCCTCACCTGAGGACATTTTTTTATTTTTTGTTCAGGTAGAGTGGGAGAGAGAGAGGAAGAGAGAGAGAGAGAGAAACATGGACGTGAAAGAGACACATCGAGTGGCTGCCACCCACATGACCCAACCAGGGCCGGGGACAAACTGCAACCGAGGTACATGCCCTTAGCAGGAACCAAACCTGGGTCTCTCGGGACCACAGGCTGACGCTCTATCCACTGAGCCAAACCGGCCAGGGCTTTCCATTAATTTTTAGATAAGAGTGGAAGTGGAGGGAGAGAGAAAAACATCAATGACACGTCAACTGATTGCCTCCCAAAACACCCCAACCTGGGGCCAGGTTCCAATCAGCAACCCAGTTATGTGCCCTTGACCTGGAATCAAACCCAAGACCCTTTGGTCCACAGGCCAATGCTCTATCTAATTGCTGAGCCAAACCTGCCAGCACTATCCAACCATGTTTAAGTTCCAACTGATAATACAAATTTTCCAGCTATAGTAAAAGTGGACTGTTTCAGCCCTGGCCGGTTTGGCTCAGTGGTTGGAGCGTAGGTCTGCGGACCAGTGTCCCGGGTTTGGTTTCCGCTAGGGGCACGTACCAAAAAAAAAAAAAAAAAAAAAAGTGGACTATTTCAGAACCACCACTGAGCAATCCCCTATTAGCTCCAGCATCTTGGGTTTAAAGATCATCAGATTGTCCTTAGAGGTCTCCACTGAAGGACACTCAATCTGAAGTAATCCCAGAAGACTCTCCACAGGAAGCCTCCCTGGGCCCAGTCTCTACAACTCTTCCCCAAAGAGCCAATTAGTGTGGCTTCCCCTCTGTCAGTGTTTGAAAACTTCACCAATTGAAGCTCTCCACTGAATCAAAGACTGTGTGGGAACTTAGGGCCACATAATCTTAGAATTGGAAAGGTCTGACATCGTCTAGGTCTAGCCTTCATTTCATAGATGAAACTATGTTCAATGAATAAGTGACTTGCCCAAGGTTGTAGTTAGACAATGAGAGACATCCAAGGCTCTATACTCCAAGACCAGTATATTAAGTGCTTTCCCAGCTAATAAAATCCATACATTTCTGTGGATCTCTAAAATTACAGGTGCATTTGATTATTTACTTTTAATCCTTATCCGAGAATATTTTTCTATTTATCTTCACATAGAGTGGGAGGGAGGGAGAGAAACATCAATGTGAGAGGGACACAATGACTGGTTTCCTCCCGCAGGACCTGGACCAGGGCCGGGGACAAACTGCAACTAAGGTATGTGCCCTTGACCGGAATCGACCCCGATTCTTTGGTCCGCAGGCCAACATTGAGCCAAAGTGGCCAGGGCTGATTATTAATAAAAACAGAACTAAGGCAGGAGTAAAACACTGGAGACCCAGTGCTTCCAACCACTTGTTTCTAGAAGTATATTCTATACAACAATGAAGGAGTCAAATTCATCTTGTTGAGAGTAATGTGTATTAACCAGACTCTCAATAACGTTAATGATGTGGTTTATTTTATGCTTATACTCCATTATCTCCAGAAGAGACTTGAGAGAGCTTATGTAAGTAAGCCCAAAATAAGGTAGAACTATAATGATTCAATTAAGTAACTAAGTGGTAATTCTCCAAAAATGAGTAAGTTAGATTTTTAAAGCACTAACAGTAGGCATATTAAGGAGGGAAAGGAAGTACAGTGGAGAAAAAATTCAGTACTATTTGTCACTTTTTAAAAAATTTATTTATTTATTTATTTTTAATCCTCACCCAAGGATATTTTTCCATTTATCTTTTAGATAGAGTAGGAGGGAGGGAGAGAGAGAGACACTGAAGTGAGAGAGACACATCAACTGGTTGCCTCCCGCATGACCCTGACTAGGGCCAGGGTTGAACCGCAACCGAGGTACATGCCCTTGGCTGGAATCGAACCCGGGTCTCACTGGTCCACAGGCGAACGCTCTAACCACTGAACAAAACCGGCCAGGGCCTATTTGCCACTTTAAACAAAATTTTTTTTCTTTACTAATTTTAGAGAGAGAGGAAGGAAGAGAGAGAAATAGAAACATCGATTGGCTGCCTCCTGCAGGCCCCCCTCCCTGGGGATCGGGCCCACAACCTGGGCATGTGCCCTGACCGGGAATCGAACCAGTGACTTCTTGGTGCATGGGTCGATGCTCAACCACTGAGCCACTCCAGCCAGGCTTATTTGTCACTTTATTTTTTTTATATTTTTTGGTACGTGCCCCTAGCAGGAACCGATCCCAGGACTCTGGTCCGCAGGCCGACGCTCCAACCGCTGAGCCAAACCAGCCAGGGCTATTTGTCACTTTAAAGATGGCATTAGTATATTCAAAATTCCTGCCCTGGCCGGTTAGGCTCAACGGTTAGAGCACTGGCCTGCGGTCCAGAGAGACCCAGGTTCAGTCCCGTACCTCGGTTGCAGTTTGTCCTGGCCCTGGTTGGTCGTGCGGGTGGCAGCACGATGTGTCCCTTTCACATCGATGTTTCTCTCTCTCTCTCTCTCTCTCTTCTTCTCTCTCCCTCCCACTCTATCTGAACAAAAAATGGAAAAATGTCCTCTGGTGAGGATGAAAAAAAAAAATTTCCTGAAGTCTATTTAGAAGTGATATTTAAAGGTCAGCAGGAAACATGGAAGTAATTAGTGATGCTTTTGTACTGACACTGGGAACATTCTGCAGAAAAACTCTTACTTTGGGGTTGGTATACAATCTAGCACACTAACAACTAAATACCAGCCCTGATGTATCAAAGTGAAGAACAAGAAGACAGAACAACTTCAGGAAAATAAAGTACATTGAAACACTTAAGAGATGAGTGGAAAATAAAGCTCACATAGTTAATGTCTTGTCTTTGGGTCTGAATGTAAAGTGTCTAACATGTTGAGAATTTTTCACAATTGAGAAATAGTTACTAATTTTCTTCCAGGCCCTCTTCTGGGAAGGAGTAGTTTCTAGAGGAATGATACAACAATTATTCAGTATCTCAATATTTCTCTCAAGCAATGCCACCAAATTCCATGCCTTGAAAAGAAAAGTTATTACCTGAGCACCACTACAATTGGACTTTCACTTCCAGTTATGACCATTAACCCCTTCCAGATCATTAGTGCTGAGGAGACAATCATTCCAAAATTTAGGACTTGATAATAAAGCTGTAAGAATAAAGGAGAAGAGATTAGAGGTATGATTATCCCCACCCAGGAGAGCAACTGAGTAGTATCAATTTAAAAGTTTCGAGTAACACCATTAGGGCAGCTGAAGTTCTGAGAGTCTTTAAACTTCTGTAATTGACAGTAATTTTAAATGCTGTCATTTAATAGGCCATAATCTTAAAGTTATTTACTGCTCATTTATCTATTATAGTTATCAAATATACCAATTATATTTCTATTCTTGTAAAAGATATCTGATGTTCAGCATATAGGATATTTTCATAGAAGTCTGAATTCCAGCAATTTTTAAGCAAAGACAGAAGTGACCATGGAAGCAAGTGTGTCAGAACTATAAAATAGCAGTTGGCCTAAGCCTTATCTGAGGACCTCAAACTAACAGACTCTTAACCCACAACCACAATTCCCTTGCTTTCTAACTCACAGCAGAAGAGATCAAAAGCTAGAGTATTGGAGGCAGACACACTGACAGCAGCTAGACATAAAACTGATGGCACTGGAAAAATTGAAGCACATTCAGAATAGACACTGTTATTATGTCCCCATAAAGTCACTGCTTGTCCAGTGAGAATCTTAAATGATAATGACAACAACAACAACAACAAAAATCCTGAATAATATTAATAACAGGCATAATATCAAACAGGCATAATATCAAAAACAGTAAGACAAGTTTCATTTTTGAAAATCTGTTAAACTGTTTTAAAATCTGACAAATGAAAACATCAATACAACACAGGTACAATAGCTTCATTCATAATCGCCTCAAATTGGAAAAATAAATAAATATCCATCAACAGATGAATACATAAACTGCAATATTTCCATATAGTAGGCCACTATTCAGGAAGAGAAAAGAACTACTGACACACACCATAAATGAATCTCAAAAATATGCTGTTTAGGCCAAGCTGGAGTAACAGAGACCAAATTTACCTCCCTGTCTAAAATAAGTAACACTGGACAAAATACATGACACAAAGGTTGACAAACACTGCATATGTGACTGCATCCAAGTAGCACAGGACTGTGTTTACTTAGAAAGGCGAAACAGAGAAAGTGAGCCTTATCTATGACTGCCCCAACTTTCAGACTGGAGAGTTTCTAGAATAAGGGCAAAGGGGAAATGCAGACAGAGCCAGGAGTCTTGACTTTAGAATAAAGAACTGGGAGTTTGCGGAGGCAAAGGTAGCTAGAGACCACTGGGCAGGATGGAAATGAGAGCTACACAAAAGTCTGCAGAGGGTCTCTACTCAAGTCCTCAGCAGAGACAATCAGCACATGCATGTGAGGGAATTACCAAAGATGGAAAAGAATCATATAAAAGGAGCAGATGAAATAATTCTCAAAGCTCATATGGGACAAGAATAGCTTGAGTTCTTGAAATAACAGCAGACTCCCTGAAAGTATTAAAAAAAAACTATTAAGCTAAAATTCTATACCCTGAGAAATTTCTTTCAAAAGTGAAGGCAAGCCCTGGCCAGTTTGGCTCAGCGGTTAGAGCATCGGCCTGCGGTCCAGAGAGACCCGGGTTCGGTTCCTGCTAGGAGTGCGTACCTTGGTTGCAGTTTGTCCCCGTCCCTGGTTGGTCGTGCAGGTGGCAGCCACTTGATGTGTCTCTTTCACGTCAATGTTTCTCTCTCTCTCTCTCTCTCTCTCTCTCTCTCTCTCTCTCTCTCTACCTTTTTCTTCCTCCCACTCTACCTGAACAAAAAATGGAAAATATCCTCAGGTGAGGATAAAAAAAAAAAAAAAGAAGGTAAGTTCTGAATGGCTATGGTTCAGTTGGTTAGGCATCATTCTGTATACCACAAGGTTGCAGGTTTGATTCCTGGTCAGGGCAGGTGCCCAAGCTACAGGCTCAGATGGCATTCACTGGTGGATTCTACCAAGCATTTTATGGGGAAAAAAAAATCACAACAATTCTACAACAACTCTTCCAGAAAATTGCAGAAGAGGGAATACTTCCCAACTCATTTTATGAGGCTAGCATTACTGATACCCAAACCAGACAAAGATGTTATAAGAAAACTACACAATAGTATCATGGATACAGATATAAAAATTATTTGCAACATGTTAGCAAATCAGATCTGACAATATCTACATCATGAACAAGTAGGACTTACTGCAGGATAAAAAGTTGGAGACTTCAATGTCCCTTTCTCAATAGTTGATAGAGCACACAAAATCAGCAAGGATATGGAAAACTTGAATACCATCAACTAAACATCTACAGAACATTCCACTCAACACAGCAAAATATACGTATTTTCTTTTCAAATACACAGGAAACATTCTTCAGAGACCAGGCTCTAAACAAATAAAAAAGGACCTCAACTTTTAAAAGACTATAATCATAAAAACTATGTTCCCCAACCTTAGTGGGATTAAATTAGAAATAAGCACCAGTCCATTGGGCAAGGCAGAGAGGGCTGGGGAAAAGGCTGGCTGACATCTACAGAACAAGTAATTTCGTCCATCTGATTATTAAGACACTGCTTTGGCTGAGGTAATTGTCTCGTGAGCACTTGTATGGGACACAAACATCTTCACATTTTATGTACCTGCTTGGAGAGCTCCATCCACATACCTTTCCCCAAATTTCTTGTCTCCAACTTTCCAATGAAGTCCCTGACCATCCAGCAAACTCTAGTCACTCTTAAATCAGTGTAAATCCACACCCATGTCCATCTGTCTTACATTTCCCTTCATCACAATCCTTTATGGTCAACCCTGAATGGGGATGTAATGTTCAGCTGTTTACTTTCAGTTGGTGCTAGGTGGTTCATATAGAATCTTCTACAACTAGGTCCAAAGTCTTCCTTGGTTGGTTGGTCATAGGGACTCCCCATGAGGTGGTGGGTGGAGGGTGAGAGTGGAAGCAATGTAGCATGAGTAGGAGCCATGAGTATCTGGATCACTTACTCATACAACTTGTGTCTTCAGGACCTGCTTGAGTCCAGTCTTGTGTGTACCACCTCCACTTAGCTTATAGTGTAATTTGCCATGCATAGTTGTGGGATTGAGGGTGGAGGGGGTTGCTTTTGAAATTTTGTTTGGATACTCAAATTTACCCATCTTTTTTTCAAGGCTTCTGGATTTCAAGTCAGTTTAAAAGACCTCCCTCACTCCAAGGCCTTTTTTCCTCTGTTTTTTAAATTATGTTTTTTTGGTGTTCTTCTTTTAAAACATTGTTATTAAGATATTTCTAAAATTCACCCATTGTAAATACAAGATTCATGGTTTTTAGTAAATTTATAGAGTTGTGCAACCATCACCACCATCCAGGTTTACAACATTTCCATCATCCCAAATAGATCCTCTGTGCACTTGTACAGTCAAAACTTGTTGCCCTAGCCAGTTTGGCTCAGCAGTGGAGGGTCGGCCTGCAGACTGGAGAGCCTTGGGTTCAATTCCTTGTCAGGGGCACATGCCTGGGTTGCAGGTTCAATCCCTGGCCCCAGTTGGGGTATATGGGAAGCAACCTGTCAATGTGTCTCTCACATTGATGTTTCTCTCTCCCTCTCTTTCTTTCTCTCTCCCTCCTTCCCTTCCACTCTCTCTAGAAATCAATGAAATAACGTATCCTTGGGTGAGGATTAACAGCCCCAGGCAATCACTGCTTTCTGTCCCTTGATTTGTCTTTGCTGGACAGTTCATATAAATGGAATCATATAAAATGTAGTCTTTTGCAGTTGGCTGCTTTCATTTAGCATAATTTTTTAATTCTGGTAAAATGCATAACAAAATGTATCTGAACCATTTTTTAAAATATTTTTTCTCTATTGATTTTAGAGAGAGAGGAAGGAAAAGGGGAAAGAGAGAGAGAAACATGGATGAACAAGAACATCATTTGGCTGCCTCCTGCATGCCCCCTACTGGGGATCGGGCCCACAACCTGAGCATGTACCCTGACCAGGAATCGAACCTGCGACCTCCTGGTGCATGGATCAATGCTCAACCAGTGAGCCACACCTGCCAGGCCTATCTGAACCATTTTTTAACTGTAAAGTTCAGTAGTATTAAGTACATTCACACTGTTATGCAACCAATCTTCAGGACTCTTTTCATCTGGCAAAATTAAAACTCTGTACCTGTTAAAAACTCCCATTCTCCCCTCCATCCAGCCCTGGCAATCACCATTTTACTTTCTGTCTCTATAAATTTATCTTTTATTCCCGGTCAGGGCACATGCCTGGGTTGTGGGCCCAATCCCCAGTGGAGGGTGTGGAGGGGGCAGCTGATCAATGTTCTCTCTCATCGATGTTTCTATCTCTTTCTCTCTCTAAAATCAACTTAAAATAAAAACCACAAAGGTAATAAGTATTCTAAATTCACGAGTTCCTAATCGTTTTACTACATTTTATTATTATCTATTTTCCTTGATATTATTATTTTTCCAATTACCCATAAGGTGGAAATTACAGTTGCATGCTACCATATCTCTTTTTAATTCCACATTCAGTGATGTCGTGTTAGTAGTTTGAAATTAGCCCTGTTGGGAGTATTTACACCATAGAAACAGGCAAATTCTAAAAATCAGGACTTCACGGATTAAGAAAAGTTTCAGAAAAAAAAACAGTGATCTGTGACTTCAGTAATGGAGCCACACTCCAAAAATTTTAGAGAAGTAAAAACAAAATCTATAGTTTCCTTCTTTTCATGTGATGAGCTCTCAGTATCTTTAGTCACTGTCAATTCTTTTTCCCAGAATGTACAGGTATTCCAATGCTATCCGATTCCTCCCATTTCCTCCTCACAACCTCTGGAAGGTTGTCCATTTAATTTATATATTTAGAGAGAGAAGAAGGAAAGAGCGAGAGAGAGAGAGAGAGAGACATCCATCGCTGCCTCCTGCACACACCCCATGAGGGATCAATCCCTCAACCCAGGCATGTGCCCTGACCAGGAATGGAACCTGGATCTGTCAATCCAAAGGACGATGCTCAATCCACTGAGCCATTTTCTTAATCTGCATAATGGGAATAGCATTACCTACCTCACAGGTATATAATGCACTTTACACATAGCAAAACAGCCTTAACTATTTCCTACACATTTATGCTCCTTGAAGGGAGTCTGTTTTATCTGCCTTTGCATTTCTCTCATTGTATTTAGCATAAGGTGCAATAAATAGGAGGCCCAAATAAGTATTTCCTCAGAGAAATGTCTGTGGTACCTAGAAATTCAGATGTGGATGGAAAAGACAACACTATACAACAAGGGAGAATCTAAAGTATTATCTTAAAAATAAATATTTTGTGTAATTTGAAAATAATTATCAATTATGACTGAAGGAATTAAGAAACATGTCCAAGAGAAGATGACACTGAGCTAGCTCAAGTCTGAAGAGGGCTAAGAGGAGGTTGCATATCTACTTCCCTAAACGGTATATATAAATAGTGAAATATACAAGTCCAAGGGGAAAACCTTTAATAGTGACATCAGGATAATTCTTCATAGCAAAATACTGTCAAAAGGTCCGAGACAAGCAAAACTAGGCTCTACAGACAGACACACTTGGTGCAGAAGATAAAAAGGAACCTTTCCTAATGACTAAATAATCACAACAGCATTCCCAGTACCATATGGCATACAATCTGGAAGTTCAAGGCAGAGTAAGATTTAAGGACAAGATCAGGACATCTAAATTTCAAGATCCCCGTGCCCCTAACACTGGGCGGTATACTCGAGGATTCTGAAGGCTGCCACCGTAATGCTAACTTGACTCGACAAGTATAGTAACTGTTCCAACTCCAGGTCAAACGTGGTCCAGGGAAAAGTCAGTGAAGCCCGCTGGGGCCCAACTGTCCTGGAAGGGTTGCGACTGGCTAAAGGCAGCAAAACGGCTTTTGTGGGGCCTACCACCGCCTTTCCGAGCATCCGGGCAGCAGTGAACTGCTCAATCTAGTCTCGGGACTACATCGGGAGCCGCTGCGATTGGAGAAACCCTGAATTTGCCGCCTTACCAAGTCTAAAACAAGGAGCAACCCCAGCTCCCACTTCCAAGGCGCCTCCGGTTTCCATTCGCTCCTCTGCCTCACGGGGAGGAATGGCAGGCTCCGCATCAGCTAGGGACCAGAAATCACCGGAGGCGGACAAAGCGACCTCTGGCCTCAGACTCCACAAAGAGAGCGTCCAAGCGTCAGACCCGCTCAGGCCCACACAGGGGCCCAGAGGCCCGCAGGACCCTGCAGGGGCAGCGTCGAAGGGACAAGGGGAGCCCGGGGAAACGGTGGGCGGCCAACCTCACCTGCCGTTTGTTCATCCGCCGCACATCGTCCAAAAAATCTAGAGACAGCATGGTGGGCCAGCGAGGACGACACCGGCAGAAGCGAGGCACGATGTGACCGGCGAGCGGAACGACTGACACCGGGCTGAGCTCGCTCTGGACGGGACCCCGCGGCGCCCCGACTTCCGCTTCCGGGGCGGCAACCGGCGCGGCCCGCCCCTAGGCTACGAAAAGTGGACAAAGGTACTCGCGACCTTCCAGATCCAGCCTCCCGGCCCGGCCTCGCTGTAAGAGGGCTCTCCCGCCCCGGACCTCGCCGGCTGAGAACCGACCGGAGCCCACTTCCGTGCTCAGCCCCACGGCCCTTCACGGAGGCGTCGACCCGGGGTTAGAGAGGAGGCCTCTCTGTAACTTCCGGAAGGCGGGCGCTCGTGCAAGGCTGGCCAATCGGGAGTCGCGTCTCCGGCGTCTGAGGCAGAACTGGTCCCTGAGTGGCCAGCGCGGTGAAGCCCCCGCCGCGAATGTGGGTGTGGCATTAAGTGCGTCGCCCAGCCTTGCGGTCTCAAGTGGGGCGGGTCTCCGGAAAACTGACAGCCGAGATGGGTTCAGCAAGTGCTTTTCCCGTAAAGGTGGAGGAAGCGAAAGACTTTGAAAGCACTACCTGAATCTTTCAAGTTTATGAAACTCTTGGTTGGAGAGAAAATAACCCTGTATCATTAGAAAGCAACCAAACCCTGTAACAGTGTGATGAGAAATCCAGTGGTGCGGGCTATCAGGAAGCCCCTTTCTCCCTGAACTTGACCTCGCTAAAGGTATCTGCCTGCCTCCTTGAACTCTACCTCCTGCACCTTGGTGTGACCCTTCTCTCGCTGCCTCCTGTCACGCTAGAGTACAAACAGCCTTTGCTTTGACTTAGCTGAAGCTCCTAACGGGCATCTAGGTCTAGGACAAGAAGGACCAGAGCTGGTCTCTTGCTATTCTTTCCATCTTTTTTTTCAAAATGCTGTTTGCCTCACATTGGGGCACAAGACCCTTCTTTCTTACCCTTTTACCCCCAGGCTCTTACAGGAAATAAACACTCAAATAAGTTGTCAAATGAATGGATGGAAATCTTAAAAACCAAGAAGATGCATGAAGCCAGACTCTAACCTCTCTCAGATCAGTGGGGATGGTAGCCTTGAACAGTGCTTGTTCAAGGCTGAAAGAGGATTTATCAAATTAAAAAGCAGAAGATATAACGCTAGTCCTTAAAGAGCTTTCAGTATCATTTGCAGCAGCAGTAGCAAAAAAAGAAAGATACCTTTATGAAAGGAGACAACAAGTTAAGGTATAACTGCTAGCCTATACATGCTATAGAAACTCAGAGAAGAGAAAGAATCTTCCAGTCATGGCCTTAGTCAAAGCAGATTTCTGAGGAAAATTGGACCACAGTTGGGCCAATTTTGCATTATAAAACAGGAAGCATAATGTCAAGCACAGGTTAGAAATAGGATTAGGTGTGGGGAGGTGGCTAACACTCAGGTTTCCTTTCGGGGAGCTTACAGTCTTGAAGACAAGAGAAACTGAGTGAGAAATAATTGGAGTGAAAAAAAAAAAAAAAAACCTTTAGGAAGGAATAGTACCTGGAGGGATTAATATAAACTGGGTAGATCTGGAAAGGTTTAATTAATGAGGTTGCCCTGCAGTCCTGGGGAAGAAACAGTGTCTCTTATGAAAATAATTCAGATATTTAGGACAGGTGAACCCAGACTAGATAAAGACGTAAAGCCTAAGGAATTAAATTTTTCAAATGTGGGACTCTGACATGCTATTTTCTCTGCTCACTGGGTTGCCAGTCTTCCCAACACATAAGTCTTTTGGACTCCATCAATCACAGTGGCATGTCTGGTATTTTCCTTCATATATAGACTGCTGGCCTGCCTAAAGGAAGCACCTTATTATAGAGATTAAGTCAGACCCACTTGGCTTTGAATCACAGAGCAACCATTCACTAGCTGTGTAATCTTGGGCCAATCAGTTAACTCTTTTTTATCTTCAGTTTTCTGGTGTGTAAAGTGGGAATAAAAAATAATTTATGTCATTTGAAGATTAAACAAGATAGTAATTGTTAATATAGCTGTTGGCACAATGGACGACAAATGATAAGTGCACAATAAATGTTAGTAGTTATTAAAAATAAGAAGTGGATTCAAACTGATGTCCAAATGCTAAGGGCTAAGAAAGTCTGTCATTATAGTTGAGCCCTGGTTAATCATTTCTACACAAATTAATGCTGTCTACCAGCAGAAGCAAAGTCGATTCCATTTTTTAAAACGCTACTCAAAATAACCAGGATCTCACCAGTTTCTCCTTGTCCTTCTGAATGAAGGAAGTGGCGGGGGGGAGGAGAAGGTCCCCTTATGACCCTGCTAGGAAAGGAAGTGGCCCACATATATTAGGGCAGGCCCCACTGGAAGCTTAGCTCTTCCCTGGCACCACTTCCCCAAAGGGTCTGTCTGGGTTTTCTGGGAGGATCCATTCACTCAAGGTCAGATCAGGGGCTAAAGAGTTGGGGCTTTCTGCCTACCAACCATCAGAGACCATGGTTTTTAAAAAAATGCAGCAACTCTGTATAACATGGTGTGTCAGAAAGAAACCTCATTCTCCAAAATTAAACATGCCTTCTGTGCACAGAGATTACTAACATCACTCAAGCCTCTCTGGAAGATTTTTGGAGAGCTCTCTTTAAAAAGTCCTAGACAGCTGCAGAGGCAGCTGGGGGAAGGAAGCATCAGCCTTCTGGGTTGGTATGTGTGTTTATGTGGTGGGGCGGGTGGGAGTTACCAGTTTCCTGTTTGGCCATTCTGATTTGGCTAAAAGAAAGGGGCCTTACTGTTTGTTTTATAAGTTCTTAGAGAGGAGAGAGCTGTGTTGTGAATCTGGGGGTCCTGTGCGTGAAGGGCCAAGAGTGGAGGCAACCATAGCTTCTCCCCTGTAATGGGGGCTTCCACCTCCTGTCACTGGTGACTTGCTTTTTGGCTTTTGCATTTTATTACTTAATGACAGGGGATTGGCTCCTCTTGATAGCTTAAGAGATCCTATGGGAATCTGTTGAGGCAGTGAATCACTGCAAGAAATGTGGCTCACGTAAATCTGGATTTGAACATAATGTTCTCTTAACGCAACCACATTCAAAGATACGATCATTAGCAATCACTTATATATGCAGTCAAGTAATAAAAATCATTTACCTAAAGGCTACTATGGTGCATGTGTTGAAAATGCATGATTTGGCCACTGCCTGCCTCATGAGTTTGATCCTGACATTCCTAGCCAACCCCTTATTCTACAGTCCTGGGCTTATGCAGCCCCAAGACATGACAGAGGGGTTAATGAAGTGAGCTCTGGAGCCAAACTGCTCTACCCCTTACAGACTGTGACACTAGACAAGTTACATCTCCTTTCTGTACCTCAGTTTCTTTACCTGTAAACAGGTATTTAGGAGTTTTTATGGAGATAAGTGAGGTAAGAATATAAACCACAAAAATAGAGCCTGACACTTACTAAATAATGGTTATTATTATCAGAAAGTCCTTCTGAGGCAAGATAGTAAGAAGCTAGGAAAATTTCTTGACAAGTGGAATGGGGAAACTGAGACAGACAGCTGATTCAAACCGGCTCCATCCAGCATCCTGATTCACCTGCACCTGCCTCCTTCTCCCTTGCACCACCGTTCCCTTAAGCATTAAGTCCTCAGGACAATGAGGTTTGGATCAGCATCAAATAATCTTAGAAACAAAGTCTTGGATCTGTTGACCACAGAGACACAGTTTTGGTCAAACTAGAGATCATATCTAGGCCTCAGTTGTGTTTTAGCTCCAGGCCCAGAAAAGCAGCAAAACCAGTTGAAGTAAAGCCATGGCTGATATCGGGAATAGATGCAATAACCAATGACTTCCTACCCTAGTACTGCCCAATAGTAGAGACCACAACCCTGAAAGGACACACCTGGAAAGCTGATGACTATTCTGTTGAGAACTTCCCCTGAGATCCTCCCTAAAATTCCTGCCTTTAGAAAACAGATAAAAATCCTAAGGCATAGGACCCAGTGCATACCTGTGTGTGCTCTCTCTCTCCCTCTCTCTAGAGCAGACCGGTTCCTTTCCTTCACTTCTTTCCTTAGTTATGTCTTTCCTTAGTTACTTCTTTCCTTAGTTACGTATCTTTGCTTTCTTTCTTGAAGGGCCTTTCTTTTGCCTCTATAACTTGTTTCCTGAGTCCATGCAGCCCAGCTGGCTCACTTCTTCTGCCTCTGTGACTTTCTAAAGGCTCATTCCTGTTGCTATGATCTTGCCTCTTCTATGATAAGCCCTTCATTTCACTGTCCCCAGATTTAATAAACATACTCTCAAAATCACCTGGACTTGAATTCTGAAATCTTCCCTGAATGAAGTCAAGAACCAAGAGCCCACATTGCTGCTAACACTTCCACCTGGAGGCCTGACACACTCCAACGTCTTCTTTCAGACCCTGTTTAAATGTCACCTTCTGTGTGACCCAGACCTTCCCTGGGCAGAGTTATTACCCCTTCATTAGTTCCACTCCTGTAGTTTATATGTACCTTATGAGCCCTTTATTACATGGAACTTCAATCATGTTCACTTTTCTGAATCAAATAATAAGGCATCAAGGCTTGACATAATCTGAAAAGAGAATGATCACTATATGAGAGATTCTCGCTTTTATAAAGAACAGCTCATTAATAACCCATTTGAGTCTATAACTAGTGAACTTGAACTGAACTGGTGAGGGAATATTTTTGGGGTGAAGTACTTCCTATGCTAGGCCTGCCTATTCCAGATTTGTCAACATCCTGCCTTCCAATCCCACTGGAGGCCAATCCCTCTTACCTCTCACCCTGGAGGCCCCAACAAGACTACTTTTAGTTCCTCAAAAGGCTTCTTGGCCTTCCCTAGAGCTGGTCTTTCTGCCTCTAGCATTTTCCAGTCCTCCCTTCTCCCTTTTCTTAGCCATTCTTTATTCAGTCTTCATTCTCTGCTCCACCCCCAACCCTTCTCTTATCTCCCAAGATGGTGAAACCCTGCCTCTATCACACTTACATTTTATTGTAATTATATGTCTCCTTTTCTGCTAAAATTGTAGGGTTCACAAGCCAGGAAATATGCCTGAAAAACTAGCCGTAGGCACACTCCCTGACCTTCAGTTGGTGTTTAGTAACTGTTGTTAAGAGAAACAATGAAAAGAATAAATAGAAGGAATGACTGTTTGGTAGCAAGCACCCGCATTGCATTCCCCTGCCTTTTTATCTTTTCCAGGCATTCAATGCACCATCGAGGAGAAAAAAAGACACCTCTCAGGCAGAGAAATAAAATTGACTAGGAGA